TCCTAGGTGCTATGTGATTGTCAGTGCATCCTTGTGAGAGCAAGGTTGATCATTTGTACTGTACGATATGGCATGTATTTTATCAATAGAAAACTTGATAATTGGGGAAGTTCAACATTGTGTGTCCGCATGAATAAATAAGGACAGAAGCTGACAAACAGCAGTGATGGAATTATTATGACTTCCTTCGTGATGATATACATACTCAGACAATTGCATCGGGAAGTTCGCGGCCCCAAAGCGTGTTACATGGCGCGCCGCGGCCCTTAAAACTTCAGCCGCACACGCCGCGGCCCATGTATATTTTACCGGGAACGCCGCGACCAAAGTTGATATCGGGAAGAGATTACCGGGAAGGTCGCGGCCCAACCACCTCACTCGGCGGGCCGCGGGCCCTATCAAAGGCCGCACTTCTTACACGCTGTAGTTCAAGGCGCAACCCTCGTGAGGTACGTCGCAGCGATGGGGCTACCCTAAGTGTTTATGAGGCTGGGTATCGCTTCTCGGATTTGGTCCTATCTGACAGAGTTGAGTTCTTATGCAGATAGAATAAACTTCAGCAGTCAGATGAGTGATATCGACGATATTAGATGATGTCGACAGATGAGCTAACAAGTTGCTCAATTTGTGCTCAAGTCGTTGTCATGAAAGACACGCCAAAAATTTTTTCACTCTTCCTAGGCCTCACAAGCATGCTAATCGGGTCAACTATCGGGCGCTTACAGGGTGCACCGCGGTCACTTAGCGGGTCCAATTTCGGTTTATACCGGGCAGCTCGCGGCATGGATGATTGGTGGTCGAGCAAGCACCCGCGAACTTCCCGATGCGATTGTCTGAGTATTTGATACATTGTGCATGGTACGTATAGTCTGTCACAATGAGAATGTCACAGTTCTAGCAGCAAAGGCCTTTAATACCGCCACGCTCGGTCTTGCGCAGCATTCGCGAACAGTGCGCTCTGAGGATTTTTCCATGCTTCAGCAGCCCTTAATCGCTGCTGAGGAGTGGGAATATGCCAGAGGACACGTACTCAGACACTGGGAACGGCCGAGCCGCGGATCTTATCTCACCGAAATCTCTATAATGAAACTTCGGCCGCGGCTCGGCCGGAGTTTCATTATAGAGATGTTGGTCCGCGGCCCAGCCGCTGCAGTGCTCCACCCCCATCATTAAGGCCGCGGCTGAGCCGGTAAGCCATATTCAGTCCGCGGCTCGGCCGGTGCAATGATATTGACATGAATTAAGGTCCGCGGCTCGGCCGCACTCCAGCCACGCCCACAAATTAAGGCCGCGGACGGGCCGGAACGGCCTTTTGAGGCCGCGGCTCGCCCGGTCCCAGTGTCTGAGTATGGGAAGGTGACGAAAAGCCCGCGCAAATCGGCCGCAGGGCCCGAGGCCGCTAAGCCGTGACACTCACACTGAGGTAGCTTGTACGACAGGAAATGCGCTGACATCATTTTGATACGGTGAAAGAAAGGCATATTTTATCATAATTTTCGCGGCTCTTTGTGCCTGCCGCAATTGCCAACTTTTTGTTAAACACTCGAGCTTTACACAGTATGACGAGATGCTTGCGCACGTTGAACTTATCAGTCCTAAAGCAATGATTTTGGACCAAAAAAGCTTGCTTAGGCCATGCGAAAGGTAGTGAAAAAATAGCGCTATTTTCTTTTTGATAATAGTGCAGAGAACTTCCGACTCTCCAATATTTATCAAGTCTATCACAATTTGTAAAGCGAGCAAAATTGAAAACTCCAGCATTCTTTCTGTCAGCTAAAGGAAAAATAGCGCTTCTTCGAAAATTCAGATCATTGTTCACTGCAAAAAACCTCCCAATTTGCAGACCCTTACGTTGTTGAAAATGGTAAAACAAGAGCAGCATGAACTTTTCATACAAAAATGCTCGTTGCCAATGAAAACATCTCCTATTCCACTTGTATCCCTAAACATTACCATCATGTTTTGGAGTTTTTCACCTTGACTACTCATTCAGTAGAGTATTAGGACTGTCGTACCATTTTGAAAAAATCGTGACTTTTTTCTGCTAGTTTGCATTGCAAAACGAAAAAAAAAGAAAATCATGTACTTCTTGATGACTTTGTCTACTCTTCCATGCTGTGGTCGCAGAGATAAAAATGGAAGAAGGAGACGACTTGAGTTTTGGTGACTTGAGACAAGCCCGTTAAAAAATCCAAAACTGCGCAATAAAATTCAAATTAGTCACTGTCATAAGTCTGACCTCCGCTTTCTAACCGAGTAAAGTTTGCGGTGGCAGGGCTCTTCCTTGAAAAGTTGTGGTTTTTGAGAAGAAAAATGCCAAGAAACCGACTTCTAAGGAAAATCGCTTTTTCCTATTTTCCTCGAAATATATAGCTTTTCAAAAATGAGTCCGCTCACAGCAAATTATACGCAGTTAGAAATAGGAGGTCAGAAAACCTATAACAGTATTTTGAATTTTATTGCACAGTATTTATATTTTTAGCGGTCCAGAGCATAGTAGAGAGTAGACAAAATGTCAATAAAAAGTAGTGATTTATTCTTTTTGGTGGTGTTTTTGCCATGCAGGGTGTTATGACACAAAGAAGATTTTTTGGCGTGTGACAACTTTCGGTTCGATGTAATAATTGAGAGCATTATTTCTCTTTCTGACAGATTATTGCTTTAACTCATTAAAAAAATCCTATAAATCACACAAAAATCAGAGTTATTTGTAGCAGATTTTTTCGTGAGTGAACATCAGACCGATTGAACATATGAGAATATCTGAATAATCCGCTCCTTCATATGCAGTTTTTGAAGTGTGAAGAAACTCGCAAACCACTGTATGATGCTAAGATTACAAAAAGTGAAAATATTAATCTAGCTTATAAATGATTTCGTTTTGACAATATCTTTTTTTATGGAACTTCAAAGCATCATAAGAAACAAAATTGTGAGGATTTCGAGGTATCTACGCGTGGAAGTCAGTATTGGGGCATTTTAAATCACTTGAATTTGACCTTTTGTGGCCATGCAAATGATTGAATGTATCAAAATCTTAAGTGTGGAACCATTCATGCACTTACCAGGGCACGGCACAGGTGGCTTAGCAAGCAAGCTGGATATCGTTTTTGGGGAAAAAGCAAAGGGGATATCGTTTTTGCGGAAGAGCATAACGTTATCTTTCGATCTGCGGCCGGCACGCTGCCGGCATGCCGCCAGCAAATAAACAAAGGGTTTATTTACAGCGAAGTGAAGATGAAATGACACCAAAATAGGTGTGTACATGGGCAATGGGGAGTTAGGACTAAGTATGAAAAATTATGAAAAAATTATGTGAACTAAAGGCGTGCTCAACTTTTCTCGGAGTTAGGTGGCTTTCAAGCCACCTGGATAGCCACCTGAGGTGGCTTAGGAAAGAAAAAGTCATAAATTTTTCCTTCCTCACATAATTTTTCTACTTTCTTTACATAATTTTCATCTACATCCCAAACCCTACAAACTGGTTCCTAAACCGCCTCAAACCCCCTTCTCCCCGCTTAGATGTAGCCCCTTGAAAATTTTGAATGGCGGCGGAAAGGCTACTCTAGGCGCGTATTGCTGCACGATGGATACATCATGCCGCCAATCCGGAGAATATGAATATCATCGCGTGTGTTCGATGATTCTTTTTCGTTTTTTCCTACTGCTGCTTTGTTCCGTTCCTTTTCATGTATTTTCTCTTCGAATATCTCGCGGCGGATGTCGTAATTTCATTGAAGCTAAAGGGGACTTCATTTTTTGCAATTTCGGGACGCCACCTCGTGCCGAGCCCTGGTCTAGGGTCAAAGGGGACTTCGTAAAAATTCGCAAAAGTCAAGGGGGACTTCGTTTTTTGCATTTTCAGCTAGCCACTTCGTGCCGAGCCCTGGCACTTACACCCAATTTCGCTTTGTTTTTTGGAGCATGGTTTTTCGGAAATTTGAAGGAGAAAATGGCTTGCTTGCTTTCCTCCACCATTTCGCTATCAAAAAAAAATATTCTTTAAGCTAACAAAGTCGACCATCCAATTCTTCTTGATTTGCTCTTTCAGATGGTACCATTATACACAAATCTATCTGTGACATTTCAAGAAATCGTCAAAAATGACCGAAATTATATTTAATAACAACCTATTATTGCTGATAATGTCTTCTCAACTAAACCTCAGCCATCCTTTGTGCAGAAAATACATACAGCAATCTTTATAAAGTCATATAATGGAAAATCATGAAGCATCTTAAAGGCAGTGTCCGGGCAAAAAGTCGATTTTGAGATTTTGTGCTTACCCGGACCTATTCACTATGATGAATCCGAAAATCCACATTGGAAAGCGCGAAAACAGCAAAAAAAGGCTCTAACGCAGGAGCGAAATCAGAAGTGGGCGGGGTCTTCCCCACCGTGAATTTCGCAGTCCCAGCTTCTGGAGCGATCTTCCCAATTCCTCTAGCGCCCTGAGATCTCCACCGGCCAGGTGCGAATGCATGACTTGAAATCGGAACCGAGAAGATCGCTTTGGAAGCTGGGAGCGTGAATTCACAGTGGGGAGGACCCCGCCCACCTGCCGATTTCCCTCCAGTGTTAGAGCCGTTTTTCGCCGTTTTCGCGCTCTCCAATGTGCATTTTCGGATTCAGCGTAGCGAATAGGCCCGGGTAAGCAAAAGATCTCATAATCGAGTTTTTGCCCGGACACTGCCTTTAAAAGCAGCATCTGGGCAAATATGAAGAACATAAATGCGATGGCTCCCGTCCTGGTAAAGCTCTTGCCCAAGTAGGCGCCCAAATATCCGGGGCTCCTAGAAGAACCCCTTTTCGACATTTTCGTGCTCTCCAAGCTGCATTTCTGGAATCGATGTGAAGATAAGCCTAGGTAAGTAAGAAAAATATCCAAAATTTTGCCCGGAAGCAGCCTTCAAGAAGATCAACAACAAATGGAAGCAAACAAGATCACAACAGCCTGCATCACTGACATCCTATTAAGCAGGGGGGGAATAATCTGTCAGTCATTTTAGCAGACAAGCCATTGCGATGAAGTATGAAACACTGACGACTTTGCTTTCAGCCGTATTCACACTATTGCAGAAGTTTGAATTACAACAGTACGAGCACCTGAAAATGGAAATCATTATTTTTTTCATAATAAATCCTCGGGTTGATCGTCAATTCAGTCGCGCAAATATCGAAAATTTCTCGAACTGAGGTTTCAGTACCCTAATAAACAAATGCAGTTTTTAGTTCCATGGGATCCTTTCTAGATCTGTATTGTGTTCCAAACCTTTGACGTTAAGCTTACAGTAACATTCACGCAGAAAGCTAATGACTAATTTTTAATTGACGCTTGGTCATAAATCGTAAGAAAATCTCCAGCAAATAACTTACAAAATCTTATCCAGTATCTTGTTTAGTAATAGCTAACATTGATTATATTGCTGGCCGCTGAGAAAAGCAGGTTGATTTTCATTTCATAACGGATGATCAGAGGTTTTTTTAGGGAGTAAGAAAAAATGTGAGAGGTTGAATTTATCGAATTTTCTGATAGGATAATATTCATCTATTTATTTGATATGCACAAGACGTGTCACTACTAGAATGGAAGTACTTAAGACATAAACAGCAAAAATAAAACAAAGAAATATCCACTAACTTAGCTCATCCCCAAACAGTTTTCCAGAAGAGTGAAGGATCAACTTTGTAAAGACCATATGAAATCATATACTCTGTATAATAGGTGTAGAACTGTATGGAATCTCTCCCTTGCCTGCTTGCCAGTAAAAGCAATCTCCAACTCTATAAGCAACTGGAACTAGGGGAAGCGGCACTGTCGCGTCTCGCGATGTAAGGCGCTCCTCGAAGTACGGAGGCCGGGGGCATCGGTTACCGCGCTATCCAGCGACGATTACGGTAGCCGAGACGCTCTTGCCGCGATCGTCTCCGGACCCCTCCTTCATTGGCTCGTTGCCAGTTAGGCGGCTATATAAAGCGGCGGTGCCTCAGTTGGGGGCCATTCTTCGTCTTTGTTTTGATCGATTGATTTTATTTCTTGTTCGAAAGTCATTTCAGCCGCTTCTGCTCCTGTCCCTTTTTATAAGAGCAATTGAGCCGAAAGTTATCTGGATTGGAAAACGGATTCTTTTTGTTAGCGGATTTCGACGCGCCGTAGTACTAACGGATCGGAAGTCAAGTTGGAATTTTAACATCTAAGAGCTGAAGGGGACGTGTCCTCGTCTACGCCTTGGCGTTGCGAGTGGATTTGTTGTGCAAAACCTCGGGAGTCACAAGTATTTTTGAGGTTACTTGTAGACGCGCATCGGTAGCATGGGACGGGCCCTCGTCCCGTGTTCTATTTAGAAGTAGTAATAACAACTTCTTTTAATTTGGTATTTTTTTTGTTCATTTTTAATTGTAGTGTATTGTCATAAAGATAAATTAACAACGGATGCGGGTTCAACGGACCAAACCAAGGTTTGGACGGAGCATTAGTATGTTCAAACACCAGCATCGAACTGCTTATAGGCAGCGTCTCGGTAGATTTCCGCTGTTCATTTTTCACCTATTCAGAATCTTCTCGCCATGAGAAACCCATATCTGGGCTTTTCAGCGCATGAAAATGGAGAAAATGAGCTTTTTTCAAAGCTTTCTAGGCATTCAGTGAAAATACGCCGGAAGTCTTCCGCGCCCCACCTCCTTCGTTTCGGATTCCGCCCACTTACACGTATTTTGCACTGAATGCGAAACCTGTAAGCTTCGAGAGAAGCTCATTTTCACCATTTTCAGCGCTGAAAAGCCGATAGGGTTCCTCAAGTCACAAGTCTCCAGAAAGATGAAAATTTTACCGAACTGCCTTCAAGCTAATATCAGCTCTACTTCCAACGGTTATACAATCGGTAGAGCTGTAAAATATATTTGAATCACAAGTGAATCAAAAACATAACATGTAGATACGCTAGATGACTTGGTTAACTTTTCGTATCATAAAAACTCTCCAGTAGAAAAAAGCAAAGCACAAATGTTGTACCATTTGCTAGGTATTGAACACACAAAATCGATAGGAACAGGATAAATTATCTCATTTTATTTCAGATCTCCTATAAGAAGTATCGAAGTTGTTTTGCACTCCCGAAAAAATTCTCAGTGAATAGCAATCTTACGCAAAAGCAGTTTGAATCGGGGTAGTATTGGAAGATGCTTGATTTTTGACTGTTATTAAACAAAAAAATTTTAATGACACTCAAACCAACATTGTAGATTCATCTGAGAACAGGATAGGGGAAGCAATGGCGTAAATTAACTTTCTTCGATCTCTAGGGCTTACCTGGAAAGAAGAGGGACGCCTGAACCATCATATGCGATTGCATTAGATTCCAATGATTTTTTATCTCACTCGGCAGTTTTTTGGAATGCATAAGGAGGACTAGTTGTCTATATAAAGAACAGAACTCAGATTTTGTCCAGTACATAGAAAATCATAAAATGTAATCATGGATGTATCGCACCAAAATTCTTTCATTTCCTAAACTTTTCTGTTGGTTTTCTTGCCCTTCTGATTTTCAATTTTGCCAAGCGTCTCTCAAAATTGTACATCACTCGCATCAGTCATCCACCAAAACTCAATTCTTTGCCTTTTTTGTATTGCAAGCATTTGTACTCACCCCACAAATCGGTGCTCCATGTCGGCCAACTGAGTGCATCCAGAATGACAGTAATTAGAGCAAGTACGCTCGAACATATAAATCGAAGAGTCAGCTTCAGAATAAAGATGCCATACCTCAAATATTCGAAATTCGTCGATAAAAAACCATGGATAAATGTTCTTTGTCGCTTGTTTTGACCGACTAAGTCATAATGATTGTTCAAAGATCATATCCTATCATTATCTTCCAGTGCTAACGAGGATATACCGATAAAACAGCAATTTGAATGTTTTCGAATGATAACTTTTGCTTTGTACCAAATCTGGATTATATTTGAAGGCATTCTTCAGACAAATACGGACACTCGGGTTCTTAATGTGAAATGTCGTTTGAGATATGGCAGCTCATACATGCAGGCGAAATTTACCGCGAAGCTCTCGCCTATTATCGTACTTAAGAGGACTAAAAGTTCTGTGCAAGAATAATACAGTCTGAGCGAGTTAAATTACCCGGCCACGAATGACTCATGCTAGTCCCTGCTTAGAAAGGCGGATAGGTGGGACTGCGATAGAAAGGAAAAATCTGAATAATTCTGTAAATTTGAATTTTTGTCTAGAAGTTGATCCTCTCTTATCTTTTTTTTGAAAATGACAGATTAAGTTTCAGATGTATTGAACTACTCAAGCTCGTGGATCCGCAAAATACAGGGTGTCCCAAAAAAATGTTAACACTATTTGATCGTTAATAACTCCCTTGCTTTCAATCTTTCGCCGAGCTTTAGGTACCATTTTGTAGAGCGAGGATAAACTTAGATTTACAGTATCGAGCGAATCATCTAACTCTCCTCGTTACTGTAGAATTACGGTAGGAAATTTGACAAGGATTTTAGGCCACTAAAGCCCATTTTCTGCTTCGAAACAGAGCCAAACAAGCTGAATTCTCTTTTACTATGGTGATGAAAGCCGCTGATTTCGGATATGAAACTTTCACTTCATTATGATACTTCTTTTCAAAGTTATCCTAATTAAAGTGTAATAACTGACTTCCCAGCATGTGTCAAAAATGTGATTACACCGTCAAAAAAGCTGAAAACACTCGTAAAAAGTTGTGTAGTAAAATCAGCGTGCGCGAAAACCCTAGTACACGATTTTTCAGATTTTTTGAATAAAATTATGTCAGAGGGCTTATTTCACGACGGTTCCACATGCTAGAATTTTCTACCGCAATTCTACAGTAACGAGGAGCGTTGGATGATTCGCTCGATACTGTAAATCTAAGTTTATCCCCGCTCTACAAAATAGTTCCTAAAGCTCGGCGAAAGACTTGAAAGCAAGGGAATTATTAAGGATCAAACAGTGTTAACATTTTTTTGGGACACCCTGTATAAGACTGCACTTAGGAATGTGAAAAACAGTTTGAATCTTGCATAAGAAATGAAAGCGAGTCAGCAACGCTTCCGACTGAACCACTAAGCAATTTTACCCTTTTTTTCCGTAAGAAACAACTGTACCATACTAAACTCTGTGTTATTTTAGGATAGTTCCTATAAAAAATAGCTCATACACAAGCCGCACCTGACAGTACCCATCACACTGAAACCAGGGAAAACTTCTCGGTCGAGTAACACATGTGGAATTAGCTGAATTAGCTGAGCATCTATAGCACAATATAGCACCGTTAGCTGGAAGTGTCAGCAACACCAGCAGAGATGCCATGCTGAGGAAACGAAGGGCATCTTCAAACCCGGACTTCTGATCGATGCAAGTCCCCAGAGGGCAAACAATAATACTTGATTGCGATGTGTTGTAACGTGACAAGCGCTAACAACAATTTTATCGAGAAAAGATCGATAACATAAAATAACAAAAAGTGGCAGCATTTGACAGCTGGACACTTAGAGCTTCAGCTTGGTACGTCTCCAGTGGCGTCTCTTTGCGTTGTATTTCATCTAAATGGACAGAATTTGAAAATGGATATTCAGACAAAACTGTGAAGAATGCACAGACAATCTATAATAATTTGAGTTTACAGAATTCTATAACTTCAGAATCAACGATAGATTATCTAACACGAGCACTGGTTAGATAATTTTGCGATCCAATTCTAACTCATCTTGAGATTCTGGCCCCATTTTGCCCAGCCATTGAATATATGTAAGTTAGACTCCTACGAATGTAGTGAACTTAAGAAACCATGGTGGTACGAAACCACTTGGTAGGGTTGCCCACAGCGATATTACCTTCAAATTATTAGCGGAGCGTACAACACGCAACACTAGAGCAATGAAGGTGATGTGATAGAAGACTAATTGTAATTTTTTTAGAAGCAAAAAAACAAGGCAGTTTACAAATGCTTCTGATACTCACCGTATTTCCGGTTTTCATGCGCACCCACTGTGGCATCGGCCTGTTTTGCTTTTGCTTTTTGGCAAGCTTCTGCTTGATAAAGAACTTCTTCAAGGCTGCCATACCCTGCAAGTGATTTATAACATGATAACCCATTCTAGGCTACCCGATCGGTGAACAATCGACTGTACAATGAAGAAAAAAACTGTGCTGAGATACACCGGTTATAGTATGAGAATAACAATTGGAAAAACATCTTTATACATTTATACACTAATAATTACACCTATAAAGAACTGAGGAATCAACTAGGTTTCATTTTCCAGTGTTTTCTATGGAAAATGTCATCAGCATACGACTGTGTTGGTAATCGCTTCATTTGACGATATGGTCTTTGCCCAAGATCTGGTTGAGGAAACAGTTTCATCAGCTTATTGAACTGTGCGGTCGTCAACGACTTCCCCTGCGCTCCTTCTCCTAGTGTACCCTGAAAATCACTGTTTAACAACATACGATGTACATAACAAATTGCGTAATTCCCTCTCAAGAAGTGTTGTAGACGTAAGAAACCAGAACGACAAAGCGCAGTCCGGTAGGGTTGCCCACAGTTTTATTACCTTCATATTATTAGCAACGCATACGGAATGCATTACTAGAGCAATGAAGGTGACTAGTAATTCGCCTTAATCAAGGAACGACAAGTAGTAAAAGGGTAGAGATACTATGCCATTTTACACGGTTTTTTTCTAATCACCCTACGACATAGAAGCAGATATATGAATGCACATTAGCAGTAAAATAGCGGTTTGATGAGAATAACCACTAACTATTAGAGTGTTGCGCGATGACAAAGTGAAAACTGGCACTTTGATCAAGTAATCAACTCAAGTAATGGTAAAAGAAAACTTAGACGTAAATAGATTAGTTCTATTGAGGACGACGAATCAAGCTTCAGGTGTTCCAAAAATCGCTGTTCTTACAAATGAAGTTTAAAAAGTGATACCTTTGCTAAATGAAAGAAACTGCCTTTTGACTACTTCCTCTCATAGCAAAAACAAAAATGTTGACTTCAACAAGGGGTGCTAGATTTGCCTCTACAGTTGAATTTTTTGAATAATAGGTTTTCTCAGAATTGGAAGAGCTGTACTACTAATGTAAGACAGATTACTCCAACTAGCTAAATCTTATTTTGGATCTTTTGTTGTTTGTAAGTGCATCATAAAAACAAACTCCGTTGACAGCAATTTAGTCCTTACCAAGTCTCCCAAAAAAGTCGAAAATAGTCCACCTCATTGCTAATGAGGCCATATGAGCGCAAAATGACTTATGAAGTGAGCAGCATTGATGCTTTGGTGTTTGAAGCTAAACTAGAAAGAATCGAGAACAAAACTGAGTATGATAACCATTTTCGTGCAAAAACCAATAGAGTTTCACAAACTTTCACTATATGCGCATGTTTTCTGCTGTAAACATCTGAAAAAAAAACAAGCTCAGGTTTTCTTGTGAACCGAGTATGTTATGCAGGATTTGCGAGCAAACAAAACTATTCTGGAACAAGGAAAGAAATGGAATCTGGTTTATATGACGGTTGAAGCATTACAAGAAACTGACGAAATTCTGTATAAAAGCAAATTTAATGTGAATCAGCCACAAGAAAGGTGAGACACATTAACGCTAGCAAGAAAAAGAAAAATGAAATTGACGGTAAAAACAATGGTATTTTACCACAGGATTATAAAAGTCAAACCAACATCGTTTTTGACTTAGGCGTCATAAAATAAAAAGTGCGTAAGAACCGCAGAGTACGGACGTTACATTTAATTTGACGCCTATCATCAGAAAAATGAGAATTCCTTATTTTTGAACGTGTTTTCGACAACGTCTTTTCGACTCGACTGCATTATGGAATCGAACGGGTCATCGACTTGGTACAGTAGTCAAAACCAAGCGTAACTGCACAAACTTCGCTAAGAAAAATCTACTGAGTTTGTCTCTCGCCAACCACGGAAACCAGGGTAGCCCGCAGTGCATACGCTAAAACTGAGATTTCAAAAAGTACTCCAAAGTGAAGTTCAGTGATCACAATGAACCAATCACGGCTAAAATTGGGATTTATATGTTTTCGAGGTCCCTTTTTCAGTAACAATGTCTGTTTGCTGAAAGCTGATAGTGAGATTTCAAATGCTAAAAGTGAGGTTTCAAAAAAGTATTCCAGGTTGAAGTTCAGAAATTTCAGTGGACCATTCATGGCCAGAATTGGGATTTATACGTTTTCGATGTTGTTCTTTTTCTAGCTATGGTTGTTCGCAAAAACAAAAAACAAGAAGCATTATTTCAAACAACTATTCAAAATCCAAGTTCAATTTCAGCAAAATGTTCAAGGTGAAGGTTAAATAATGAGCTCACGCCAAAATCATAAGTTCTTTTATTTCGATATTCGTACACATAATATGCGTACGACATCACTGACCTCGCAATAACAGGTGCACCGCTTGTAGCCAACAAGACGGTAAATAAGTTTTGCTTGACAACGGATCTATGGGTAATCATAGGGCATCTCCAAAATACCAGTCAACTGATTATGTATACATGAGATACAGGTTATAACTTTTGTGCGCCTGCGGCATTTTACCCGAAGAAAACCTTTATGAGGTCAGAACCATGCAACGCGGGGAAGGGAAGACCGTAATACATGCACAACTAGGATCAAATACAGGCAAGTTTCTAGTTTTACCCACAGATAATTTTAAAAAACAGGTTCTGCAGTTCCAACCGTTGGATTCTGATTTTCAGATATTGTTTGTAGCTCTTGTGTCTCTTTGTAACTCCTGAACTTTTACGCAAAACAGACATTGCTACTGAAAAGGAAGACCTCGAAAACATATAAATAACGATTTTGGCCGTGATTGGTTCATTGTGATTACTGAACTTCACTTTGGAGCACTTTTGGTAGTCTCAGTTTCAGCATATGTCTGTTGGGTTCCATAATACAATCGAGTCGAAAAGACGGTCAGAAATAAGGAATTCCCATTTTTTCTGATATTAGGCGTCAAATCAAATATAAAGTCCGTACTTTGCAGACGTTACGCACTTTTTATTTTTTGACGCCTAAGTCAAAAAAGATGTTGTTTTGACTTTTATAATCCTGTTATTTTACCTTTGTAGCAGCCTCCTTGTATTCCTGCAGCGCTCGTTCCGATTCATGAACGCAATCCATATAAGCTGAGTGCTGTTTTCCACATGGTTTATCGTCAAACTCCCATTTCTTCAAACACGAAAAAAGAGCTTGGAGCTCCTGTGTGCATGACGAAGCTGTAAACAGACCCAGATTGAATTAGCACAAAATCTCTCACAAAGCTGAGCACAGAAGAAAGCGAAACCGACAAAAACCAGCCTGCAGGTCTCCCTCCTTTCGAATTGCTGTGATTTTTTGACGCTAATGGAAGGATTTCAGAGAATACAGTGACCTTCGGATAAACGGATTTTCCCTTTGCTAAAGCACTTTCCTTGAGCAAGGGGGAACTGAAGAACATCCAGAAAGTGGGAAGCCGAAAACTTGGAAAATTTTCAGTGACTGCGCACTGTATGCCATCCACTCAGGACCCGATCTCGTAGACCGTAAATAACCTTCAATAGTGACCACTGCGTTTCAAATTTTGTCATCGGTGGGTTTGATATTTTTTGATTTTTCCTCATTTTCGTTCCTTCGTCGAATGATTTAACAGACTGTTTAGCTATCGCCTGAAAATAGGGGTCTATACTTCTCTTCCAGATACATTCTCAGTTGCACTTCTGATAGGCGCAGATTTTAAAGTCATCAGTTTTTAGATTTCCGTTTCTCCTGCTTAGGGACTTGTCTATAAATATCGAAATGATCGCCAACAAGTTTTTCTCATAATGATCACTGTTTGAGTTACGCGGTGTTGCGCAATTTGGGCTGCCGTTTACACTCGAGTTGTTGTGACTTGATATGTGAGCTTGCACAATACGCGCAGATCCCCACGCCTTTTTACTGGTAACCGCGGTCAGCAGGTCCATAGCGATGGAATTTGCTTGGGCCTGCTCTCTCCTGCTCTTCTTCTTGGAGAGAAACAAGGAGAAATTTTCCCAGATGGATTGGGGCCATATGTCGCGGGATGCGGTGGAAGGCGCATACATATCATATAATAGATATCATACTCTATAATAAAGCGCAGGGGGGACCATGTGACTCATGCGTTTGTCGCTATGTCTCGAATGCACCCATTGCACCCAGGATGTCTGCCTTCCGAGATGTTGACTGGAACGCCCTTTAGTGCTCGACTCCAAAAACAGTAATATTGATTAGCAATATTGTCACCGAGTGATAGCTCGCTTCAGTTTATAGCGCATTAGGATGGGTCAACTTGGTATCAGTTTATTTTAGTTAATAATTTCTACAACTTAATTGTACAAAAGCATTGCTTTACAAAGTTGTAAGTGGCGCAGCAGGAACTCCAGATGTGATTTTCCTCATGAAGGTTCTCAATTTTGATACACTAACAGCCATATTTTTATTATCTGTTCAACATTTCATAGTGTGAGCAAAATAGTGGGATTCTGGCCGCATTGTAACTAAAGGGAGTGTGACAGGCAGGAAAGGCCTTCAAGGAAGGAAAATGGGGGGAATTGATATGGCAGATAAAGTTTTGTGAATGTAAGCTAAATCGTAAGCACATTCATGAAGGGTCTGAGGAAAGGAAGCGGAGTAGGATGGAATTCTACTTTCTGATTGCGAGGTTAAATGTAAAATCTACCAACAGTGAGAAGTTCGAATTTTATTCGAAAACTTGATAAGGGATGTTTTGAGCAGTAGGTGATTTGAGATAGGGAAGAAAAGGGAAATCCAATTTCTTATCATGAGGAACTACCGCAGATGGTGCTTTTTGTAGAATGGGAAAGCCTGCACCTTAGTCAGCAAATTCTTTGTGGACTGTCGGAGTTTCTTATGAGCTAAAGAGCTGGGACTAACTTACCACTCTTTAGTGCTTTCTTAAAAAAATTTTGCGTGCCTGAAAGGCATGCTATTTGAGGTTTCTGCTCTGTACCAGTAGGTGCGGTGGCTGGGGAGGGACCGGGGGAGGGGGGAGGGAAGGGACGAAGGTTGGGGTGGAAAAGAGGGGTGAGAAAGGTACAATGGCACGGACAGAAAAAGCTGGAGTGGATTTAAGCATTTAGTGGCACACTTAATCCGAGTTACGAAGATTATAGTGGAGCTAACAGTAAGGTAGCATGTGGCATAGAGCTTTTTGAGCCCAAATCAGCTAAAGATATTCAAGTTCGTCGAAGAGCTAGAGACTAGGAATTAACTACTGTTCGATGCTCTCTACACGTGCCTGAAAGATTTTATGCTATACTTTCGGCTACGAAAAGCTGAAGACAAAACTTCACAAGTTCTAGCTTTTGAACACTTCTTACTCTACACACACAGCCAGTTCAAAGCGCCGCGAAGCGGCGCTTTGAACTGGTCTATAATAAAGCGCAGGGGGGACCATGTGACTCATGCGTTTGTCGCTATGTCTCGAATGCACCCAATGCACCCAGGATGTCTGCCTTCCGAGATGTTGACTGGAACGCCCTTTCGTGCTCAACTCCATAAACAGTACTATCGATTAGAATTATTGTCACCAAGTAACAGCTCGCTTCATTTCAATTAGCGCATTAGGATGTGTCAACTTTGGTATCAGTTTGTTTTAGTTGCCAATTTCTATAACTTAATCGTACAAAAGCACTGCTTTACAAAGTTGTAAGTGGTGCAGCAGAAATCCCAGATGGGATTTTCCCTCATGAAAGTTCTCGATTTTGATACACCAACAGCCGTATTTTTAGTATTTGTTTAACATTTCATATTGTGAGCAAAGTAGTGGGATTCTGGCTAAAGGGAGTGTGACAGGCTAGAAAGGCTTTCAAGGAAGGGGGAAAATTGAAATATGGCAGATGAAGTTTCGTGAATGGAAGTTAAATCGTAAGCACTTACATAAAGAGTCTGAGGAAAGGAGGCGGGGTAGGATGGAATTTTACTTATTGACTTTGAGGTTGAGCGAAGAATCCCAATAGTAGAAGTCGAACTTTATTCGAAAACTTGGTAAAAGATGTTTGAGCAGTAGGTGCGATTTGAGAGGGAAGAAGAGGGAAATGCGGTCTCTCCTCATGAGGAATTACCGCAGGTGGAGCTTTTGGTAGAGTAGAATAGCCTGCACCTTAGCCAGCAAATTCTGTGTGGTACTGTATAAAAAGCTGAATTTTGGCGAAAAGCGTAGGCATACTTTCGATAAGCAACTTTGAGGTTACGCATTGTAATGGCAGCGTCAGCAGAAGGAGAACCCGAAAAGTAGGACAATAATTGCAGAAATATTCAAAGAGTTTCTACTTAGAAAAAGTTTTAGAAGATAGTAAGTTTTTCTTCTAGAAAACTCTATTGGAAACTGTTTAATTATTTCGTTCGTAATCTTCCCTCTCTATTCTCCGTAGGTAGGTAACTAATGGGGAAGAGGCTGGGGGCAGGGAAAGAGAAAAGCAAAATCCGCTCAAAACTTCAAACGCAGGAAAATTGCACACATGAAAGTGATATTTACGTTGTTCTGTACCAGTAGGGTGCGGGGAGCTGGGGAGAGGGGAGGAAAGGGGAGGGGGAGGGAGCAGAGAGGAATGTACTTGGCATGAACAGAAAAAGCCTGGAGTGGAGTCAAGCAAGTTAGTGGCTGATGAAGCTAACGCAGCATGTGGCTTGCAGCTATTTGAGTCCAAGTTTGTTAAGGACTGTTGGAGTTTCTTTTGAGCTAAAGAGCTAGGGGCTAACTTACCACTCTTCAGTGCTTTCTACATGAAAATTTTGCGTGCCTGAAAGTCATTATGCTACATGGGGTTTGTATTCTGTACCAGTAGGGTGCGGGGGCTGGGAGGGGCCGGGGAGGGGGGGGGGGGAATGGGACGAGGGTAGGGGTGGGGAAGAGAGGGAGAGGAAGGTACTATGACACGGATATAAAAGCCCTGGAGTGGATTCAAGCATTTAGTGGCACTTAATCCGAGTTAAGAAGATTGTAGTGAAGCTAAGGTAGCATGTGGCATGGAGCTATTTGAGTTGTTGAAGAGTTAGAGAGCTAAAAAGTAACTTACTACTACTCTCTACACGTATATACCTAAAGTTTTTATGCTATACTTTTGGCTACGAAAAGATTTGAAGACAAAACTTCACAAGTTCTAGCCTTTGAACACTTCTCACTCCACAAGCACAGCCAGTTCAAAGCGCCGCGAAGCGGCGCTTTGAACTGGTAATAGATATAAAGGCCATGTCAATGACATGCTCACTTTTCCGTAGTACCTGCGCATTCGAGCATGCGCGCGGCAAAAAACAGTAAAAAGAAGTTCGTGGGAGAAAAAGAAGGAGTTAAGTCTCAGAGGCCCATTAAGCGGAAGTTGGCAAAACGCCAGGTCATAAGCCCGCAACGTGGCGCAAGGGAGTCGCGGTGCGGCTTTGCAAATCCACGCATGCAGAAAAGAGAGCATGCCTTTGACACACCCTGTAAGTGACGAATGTACATAAGGAGTTTTCTAACTACTTCCTCACTGCGTATGGTACAGCTATGTTTTTCTGTCGTATTGGATCCCACCGGTCCCATAAGAAATGTGGTTGCTAGTGATTTGGATCCTACGCGGCTTTACTGCCTTTCTGGGACCGGCCCGTTAAAGGCAGTGTCTCACCAAAATTTAGTTGCCGAAATTTTTGCATTTTGCAAGCCTGTCGGACCCTGTCTAGCACTGTATGGGCCTAAAATCGCGCGAAGTTCCCAAAAACCCCGTTTTCTGGAGGCCCAACGGAAGAACTTGGACGAGTTGTGCCTTCCAACTTCAGCCTCAGCCACAGTGGCAGCAACAGAGGGGAGGTGGATGCCAAGTGGAGGGACATGTTCAAACGCGTAAGGGGAAAGACCGATGGAGTCGTCCGCGCGTACCAAGTGGCTCTCCGCGTACCACTTTGAGCGAATTTTTCTCAGCGTGGAGGGGGTCAAATTGAGTGGGACTTGTTGCAATGGCCTATCTAGAGGTCCCTATAATAGAATATGTAAAGATCCCTGCGACCTCAATTTTGGTGAGACACTGCCTTTAAACTGCGCGCGCCAGAAAGATTAGGTAGTTGCAGAATGCATTCTTTCGATTTTCAAATCCATTCTGTCAACGATAACTGTGTTTAAGTGTTTTTTAATCACATTTTGATGCTTGCCTTTTTGTTTCGTAATCATCGATTGCTCACCTTGATGTATGCACATATATGTTTCTAGTTTCAACTACTCTGCATGCTTTGGCACATCTGAATTCAACTTTGGTATTCAGGCAACATCATATGTAACAAATGATTTGTTTGCGAAGTAACTAGTATGTGTGGAACCTTCCACTTAGATAGTTTATAATTAATATCTTCGGAATATCAGCATGCGTTGAAGTTCAGCAAATGCTCGAGACTTTCTATCTATCAATGTATTTGATATTCACATCTTCTTCTCTGCATTAATAGTCCATCGCAATGAATTTATACGCTCATTGGTCTAAAAACCACCATAGACAGAATCCCTCCAGTCCCCACGATGCCGGAAGGAGCGCTCTCCGCTGCAGAACGACGAGAACGTCGAATGAGGAAGATTTTGGAAGGAGGAGAAGATAGGATCAAGAAGATTCTATCAGGGCCGAGTGGAGGTGCGTACATTGAGTAGTTAAAACTATTCCCTCATACTATTTTTGCTTTCAGATGAACAACGTTTGCCTCCGATGATGGAAGGTGGAGATTACAAGCCTTCGACATTTTTGGCCAATGACAATAATGCGTCGGAAACGAAGTCCAAGCGCAGTGCAGGTTAGTCGATATACAGACTCTTTCTTTTGCTATTTTTACATTTCCTTAGATTTTTTTTCTATACTCTGCCCTGCATCTAAGCAATCACAAAGTCGTAACAGTGGCGGCTGTAGCGTGCACTGCGTACGTATTCTGGCAACCTTATTTTTTTTGCCTTCGTTCTTTCAAAGCGTATTTTTTTTCACCTTTTGATAGCCTATAGATACTTACAGCTTGACTGAGCGACAAAGTGTACAATTGTTTGAGTGTTTTGTGCTTTTGTGACTTTTGGAGGTGGGCGCAAAGACCATATTTGAATTCCCTGTCATGATTTTTTGCAGCTACGTCGTTTATAAAGATAAGTCGGAGTTCAACTTCTGCTTTTGAGGGAATAGATTATTGGTTAGTAGCGGTGGCGGTCCCAGGATTTCCGTCCAGGAGGGGCTAAAAAATTTTTTCCAAATGAAGGTGCGCGGCGTTAGCCACGCATTTCGAAGTTTGGGATGCTTCTCAAGATTTTCGCGAGCCCATACCCTTAAAGTCTAGAAAAAGGGGGCGTAGCGGTAACCACGCCCCCAAAAATTTCTTTTGCATGGCTAGTTCGGATTTTTTGATTTAAAAATTATCTCACTTATTTACGAGAACAAGCAAGTCACTTGCACATTTTTATAACCCATGTAAGTAAATTTCAAAAATTTTCCTACCTATGTTGTGATAAGTATTGGAAACTTTCCGACTCGCATAGAATAAAATTTTTCGTTGCTCCAACCCCGACTTGAAGTTCATTTAGCGTTCTGTGGCATAATTTCCGTTATTTAGATGTCCCATTGCCAAAGTCTTCACAATCCCCATTTACCACGATCACAGCTAGAATGCAAGAGTTGAGTGTACCTCTCAGCTTACTGTACGGTAAGTCTTTCTCTATCCATAATTTATCTCAGAAAATTTTTCTAATTTGATGACGATCAATTCTGCTCTCATTTGCACTCTTGTCCTTTGATATCGTTCATAAATCGAGGTCAGTGAGGACAGGTAATCTTAGCTATTCTAGGACTATGCATGCGAGCGATCATGGATTGCGGTTATACTTTCAACATATTATTACCATGGCTGCTGTTCTTCCTTGTTCCCCGTATCCCATCTATTGTAAGTGAAGTCCAACATTCGTCCCATTGTCTACTCTTTTGTCAATCGAACGTTTTCTCTCATAAAGTATCTTTTACCGTCCGTTTTTGCATCAAACTATTGGTCTTCATTTAGTGTCGTGACTTGCCTCAATATATGGCTGATGTTTCTGCTTTGCTCCGTTCTGGCAACTACCTGGGCATCGAGAACGTTGTGAAGCGTTCTTGTAAGTTTTTTGGATTGCACTTCTAATGTTCTCGCTTAATCTATGTTTTCAGATGCCGCATTCTCTTTCATCAATACTTTCATGTCAAATCTTTTGTTTATGGTCGCAGGGTATCTTCTCACCCATGCACTGCTCATCTCTTTTCACCACATGACTTCTTCGTAATCAAGCTTTGTTGTGTAGTTTTATGTGATTTCAGCTTTAGGCGGGTCTCCTGTTTTTGTTTGTCTTTACACTGATTGTACATCACTTATTAATAAATTTTAGTTCAGCTCATATGGTGAAATTAGCTTCAACATATTTGATGTTGATTAAAGCATCATTAGCAAGTGGGAGCATATTGAGGTTTATCATTGATGGTTCAAACTAGCATTTTGCGATCAAAAACTTGGGCTCTTGCAGTTTTTAGATGAAGATATTCGTGTTCTTGCCTCTTTAAGAAGTCCTTCGCCTTTTGAGCGTGGTTGTTTGATAAGTTAGTTTCGCTCAGCAGCAACCAAATGCCTAGATTTAGGGCGGAAGGAAAGTGCATTTCTGCTCGGGCGAATTAGCTTAGCAAAGTTGGAGTTGAAGATAGCCAACAGAGACGTAGTCGGGGTTTGCATGGCCCAGTTTCTGTTTCTGCACGCTTTTGAAGGTGTTTTATACGACTCTCTTTTAACTATTTTTTTAGTGAAATTCATGTTATCCCTGACGTCAAAGATGAGTCGATTTGCATGCAGAAGAAGATGTAGTATCTATTCTCAGCAGTGGCGTACCGAGGGGAGGGGCGGGAACGGGGGATTATTGAAAGCTACTTACATGAGTTATAAAAATGTGGAAGTGACTTGTTTGTATTTGTAAAGAATTGAAATATTTTTAAAATTTTTTAAAAACTCATTTTAGCGTTCTAAAAATTTCGCGGTTCTGAGCCCGCGAAAATCCAAGGGAGCATACCAAAAAAATTTCGGAGTGCGTGGCTGAGGCCACGCGCCTTTATCGGAAAAAATTTTCCGTCGCCCCCCCCCACCCCGAGCCGAAATTCTGGGTGCCACTGATTCTCAGTTATAACAAAAGAAATCGCTCTTGGAACAAAAATGGGATTGGTAGAGCACCACAATCGCACCCAGATCTGGCAAATGCACGAAAAAATGTGAAACATAGTTGTTAAAGGCAGTGGGTCGGCAGAATGAGACCCGTGACAAAACAAGGTCACAGGGTAGGAGCCCCCATAATGGAACCTATGGACCAAAGTTCGATCTTCCTCTGACACTTCTAACCCCCGAACTTTCAAAGCAAAAGCAGCGCTCATCTCCTGTCCTCTCCGAACCCGCCCACCCCATGGACGAGTGAGTTCCGCGGTCAGAGCGCCAGCCGCAATGCTATAAGCATGAGGTCCCGCAACGACTCTGCGTCTTCGCCATGACGGGCTTCGCGTTCACTCGTCCATGGGGTGGGCGGGTTCGGAGAGGACAGCAGATGAGCATTGCTTTCACTTCAAAATTTCGGGGGGGGGGGGGGATTAGAAGTGGTAGAGAAAGATCGAACTTTGGCCCATAGGTTCCATTATGGGGGCTCCTACCCTGTGACCTTGTTTTGCCACGGGTCTCATTCTGCCGACCTACTGCCTTTAAGAGCAAAAATTGCTTGGCGCCATTCGTGGAATGCCACGATTAATCTTCTTACAACTGAGGTGCATCACGATATTTTCAATCAATTCGATTTAACATTCAAAGGCTGAAACTCGTTGGTATAAAATGGGGATGATTCGAAAATTTACAATTTACTGCCATGGTAAGTGGTCCAGTGGAGCGGCAGGCAAATCATAAGAATAACTCTAGACAAAGCAAGCTCGTCCCTGCAAATTTGATGCTTTTTTGTCAATAATCCAGATTTAGGTGCCGAAATTTGGCAACTTTTTTCAAAGGGAAGTCTATATCAGGGCCGGTAGTAATCCCCCCGACCTGGCGGCAGGTCTCGTCGGCAGGTTGCTGGCACCTTTCCGCGAGGTGGCCAGAAACTAAGAACCGAAATTTAGGCCGTCCCAGGCCTTTTTTCAAAAAATTTTCTCGATAAAGTTGCCGCCTCGACTCTGTAGAAAACTTCATAAAAATCTGCGGCTCCAGAACTCCTCCTTTAGTAAAATATCTGGAATTCCAGGAGGAGCTGCCGGCAACTTCGCGATGTCAGTTGCCGGCAACCTGCCGGCAGGTTGCCGGAATCCGCGAGATGGCAGCTGCCGGCAGGTCAGAGAGCACGGGAAATAGCGTGCTCTTTTGAGAGAGCGAGCTGCCGGCATCTCGACGTGCCCCTACCACGTCGAGGTGGTGGCACCTTTGCCGACGGCGTCTGCGAGTTTGCGAATTGCGACGATATCACACAATTTACGTCAGGCGAAAAAATCAAAAATTCTACTTTTCATGAACTATCATTTTTCTCATTATATGGGTTTTTCTTTTTTAAAATGACGATTTTCTTACAGAGAAAAAATCCACTAATGCCTTAGAATCATATAGAACACGAACTGTTTTGGCAATCTTATATATAAAGCTGAATGTCTGTTTGTCTGTATGTCTGTCTGTATGTATGTGTGTACGTATGTTCCGAATAGAAAATTCCATTTCTGAACCGATCGGGACCAAACTTGGCACACATACACTTCGGGCCCCGGCGGGTGTCATAGGCTACTTTTCGTCATCGATCGATATCGATTTTATCGATTTTTATCGATTTTTTTGCTGAGTTCACCTACGGGGCTGGGAGTTGGCACAGGGGGGTAATCGAGCATGGGGATTCCGAATACAATATTGGTTTTCAGGATTATCGATTACTTTTATCGATTTTATCGATTTTTTTGCAAAGTTTGAGCTACGGGGCTGGGAGTTGGCACAGGGGGGTAATCGAGCATGGGGATTCCGAATACAATATTGGTTTTCAGGATTATCGATTACTTTTATCGATTTTATCGATTTTTTTGCAAAGTTTGAGCTACGGGGCTGGGAGTTCGCACAGGGGGGTAATCGAGCATGGGGATTCCGAATACAATATTTGTTTTCAGGATTATCGATTACTTTTATCGATTTTATCGATTTTTTGCAAAGTTTGAGCTAGGGGGCTGGGAGTTGGCACAGGGGGGTAATCGAGCATGCTGATCATCCCCAAGGGGGGTGATCAGCATGCTCGAACACCCCTGTGCCAAATTCCAGCCCCTTAGCTCAAATTTTCAAAAAATCGATAAAATCGATAAAAGTAATGGACGATCTTGAAAACTAATATTGTATTCGTAATCTGCATGCTCGATTACCCTCTGTGCAAACTCCCAGCCCCGCAGGTCAAACTTTGCTAAAAAATCGATAAAATCGATAAAAGTAATGGACGATCCTGAAAACTAATATTGTATTCGGAATCCCCATGCTCACTTCCCCCCTGTGCCAACTCCTAGCCCTGTAGGTGAACTCTGCCAAAAAATCGATAAAATCAATAAAAGCAATCGATAATTCCGAAAACTAATATTGTATTCGGAATCCCCATGCTCACTTCCCCCCTGTGCCAACTCCTAGCCCTGTAGGTGAATTCTGCAAAAAAATCGATAAAAATCGGTAAAATCGACATCGATCGATAACGAAAAGTGGACTGTGACACCCGCCGGGGCCCGAAGTGTATGTGTGCCAAGTTTGGTCCGGATACGGCGGAGCCGGGTAAGCCAGCTAGTCCCTTATAAATCTCAGTTTGCACCGATTTCGCTCCTCTCTCGCTCATATCAATCAGCTGTTCTTTCAGATCAAAGTTTCTCACGCAATGTATCGATCCCTTTTATAGGCAGCCATTCACCAGTGCGTTCCTCCTATTGCTGGTGCAAAAGGCAATGGCTGACCGAATGGTCGAATGGTTAACGTGGTGGCACCTCAAGTTAACGCCTATAGGTTCGACCGCGCGCGAGGTAGCAATTTTGCGGCTGTCTGCGTCGTCAAAATTTAATGTGCGAAATGATTGCGTGCTAAGGTTACATAAGACTATTAAAACCTACAATCACTCCGTGAGCTGCCGGCGGAGTTGGCATCTTTCCGCGATGTGTGCCAATTTGCCGGCATCTTTGATGCCACCAGGTAAGGTAGATTACTACCGGCCCAGGTACTGGCTGTCTAGAATACTATTTTCAGTCGAAACAAAATTATGTTGATTATATCTCTCTGCGAAAAGCTATGACTTTCCAGTATAATAAAAAAAACTAATTGTTCGTTTTACATCTGTTGATAATGTCTTATTCATTTTTTTATGTGCTGAATTTTTATGTAATGAAGAGCTCTCCAAAAGTTTGTGAAGCGGGGAAAGGGGGGGGGAGGAGGAGTGGATTTATTATGCATTATCGGTACTTTTCCGTTATCCGGACCGATTTTTTCAAAGAAGAATCTTGCTTCTATCCTAGTACCATATTTGGCCCCAGTTTTAAAGGAAGGAGTGTCAACCTTCTGCTACGTGTCAAAAATGATTTGACATGTCATTTGCATGTTTGACAGGTATTACCAGGGTTCGTGTTACCTTACCTAACGACGTAAGTCCAATGGTTTTGTAGCCAATTTTGACCTTACCTCGATCAAACAGTTTTCAAGTGAACATCTATCCATCTATTAATTAATTTTAATATATAAAGAATCGTAAGCGCATTTCAAAAATGTGCAAGTTGCGGGAAACCACGCGGCGGTCCCGAAGCGAACGCTCTTGCAAATAGCACCTTTAGATTACTGGTTCACTAGTTGTCCTAATATGGTTGGCACATAAGTTTTGCAACTTTTCCCGTAACTTTTTTCCTATTTTATGTAGCAATCTCATTTTGTGATATCATGTAGATCGTGATGTAAGCTGCAAGTCTGCGCAAACCATTTGATTTTTGATAACGTAGTACAAAAAATCTAACAAATTTTTTGAAAACTGCTGAAAATCGAGGTTTCACGATTTTTTGGCAAACATGAAGCCCTACGAAACCTGATTCAAACATATGAAAAAGCAATTATAGGCAGCATGTAGCTGGAAGTTGGCACATTGGAATCAGTGAAAAAGAAATGAAATTTAAACACAAATTAAGGTGGGGCGCCTTTGAGAAGTTGAACAAGTCAAATGCGTCAAGTTTTGAAGGCAATTTGTCAATAACTAAGCTGCGAAAAGTCAGAATTCGCTATAACTTTGCACTACGGGGTAATCCTATGCGGTAAACACGAATATTATATTCATTTGTCGCTAAAATAAAATTCATCTTTTGATCTCACGAACGAGGCCTTTTCATGCGAAACGGATCTCATTTTTGTGGTCAGCATGTCAAATAAGCCCTATAGGCCAAGTTTCAGCAGAATCTGATGCATTCTAAAATTTTTCCCATAGTACCATAAACCTACCGTAATCCTCACATAAGATGGTAAAATTCGGCAAAAATGTGTGCATTAGAAGCTTACATCATATTCCTTACTTGGCAAACCCGGCTCCGCCCGGGACCAAACTTTGCACACATACACTTCGGGGCAGGGAGCGTGTCATAGTCTACTTTTCGTTATCGATCGAACCCGGAGGGGGTGATCAGCATGCTCGATTACCCCCCTGTGCAAAATCCCAGCCCCCTAGCTCAAATTTTGCAAAAAATCGATAAAATCGATATCGATCGATAACGAAAAGTAGCCTATGACACGCTCCCTGCCCCGAAGTATATGTGTGCCAAGTTTGGTCCCGATCGGTTCAGAAATAAAAATTTCTATTCCGCACATACGTACAGACAGACAGACAGACAGACAGACATACAGACAGACAGACAGACATTCAGCTTTATATATAAGATATTGCCAAAAAATGAATGCGCTATGTTCAAACAGACAAAAGTTAAATAAAAAGTTGCATTACTTATGTGCCAACCTATTAATAACGATATACTATTATCAATGAACAGATTAGACTTGCTCAAAATAAAGAAATGCGCTAGGAATCCGTTTTGGGAGGCGAAATAAGCAGCAGGGTAGATACTTCAAGATATAATTTACAACATTTTCTGGCTAATCGCAAAATCGCATGGTGAAAAGGATTTAAAGAGAAAGACATTTTTGATCACTGCTGAAAGCAAGCAAGATGTTCTAAAATAGATTCAGGGTTGCTTTGCTCTTACGTAGAACAATCAAACAGTTTTAAGGTGATCACAAAATCTTTTTCCTCACCGGAAATGATTCTGAAAAAAAACATGTTGAGATGGACTTAAACGTGTCAATATTTTTGTGACACGTGGCAAGAGGCAGTCCTCATAGAATCCATAAAAATTATTCTCATACTAAAGAAAGTATTATATGAGAGCCTTTTGATAAAATGGGTCCGGATAACGGAAAAGTACCGTGCATCTATACTGCATTATCATTTCTCACAAGAATCTCAGTAGCAACTTATTAGAAAATTTTTGCATGATGTGAAAGCAATTTTGGTAAGGGGTTCACACACTTCTAAAGATCTATATATGAAGAATCGTTGTGCCTAATCAAAAAAGGCGAAATTGCGGTAAACTACGCAGTTCTCGCGGAACGCTCCTGCAAGTCTAGCACCTTTAGGCCCCGCAAAGACTTCACGCGTTTTGATCATCGCGACTGAATCGCGACGAGACAACTGCTACAACATCATTCCATGCCGATCAACTTGCATTTCGGTCGTGATACTTTTCCAGCCCGAAATTTTTGGATGTAAAATGAAAATGAATGGAAATGTCGGCGATTGAGTCGCGACGATCAAATCGCGTGAAGTCTGTCCGGGGCCTTAGATCACTGGTTCGCTAGTGTACCATACCGAATAGCCAAAATGAGGATAACAACTCAATACCTCGTGATGCGGATGTAGTCCCCTTTAGTCTCTTTTGAAACCCCCAGTTCACTATCCTTCTCAAAATCTCAAAAAGTGCAACACTTCACTGATTACATAGAATCGTGTGGGCTCTTAAGAGAAGGGGTCAAGTTGAGAGTTCACAAAAATGACCTGTTGAAGAACCATCAACGTCAGCGCGACTTGTTTGCAGAGTGGGCTAAAACGACCTTTTGGGAAAACAACGGTAGTGCAACTCTGCAAAGTTTGGGATTGCGTAAGAAAAACGCTAAGTACAGTGACACTTCTACAGTCTTGCATTTTTCGCCTCGAAGGTTGACTATGGCAAAGGAAAGTTCCATGTGCTGTGTAGAATTAGCTTGTTGTACCGCTAAAGTTCCAAAAAGTGGCACAAAACTTTGCGGTCGGATCTCTCTAATCCAATCTCATAGAGGATGTTTGAGGCAGTGTCTGACGACTAGCACGTGAAAAATCAAAAGTAAATTCCCTGTAATTGTTAATTCAAATGAGTTTTAGGATAGCCGTGCCAAGGAACAACTCAGGTTGGCCATAACATTTGAAGACGATATTTGAAAAATTGCTCGCAATCCCTCCGGCTACTTTGTTTTCTGAATTCTAGAAAGAGGGTTTTATATAATTCCATTAGTTCTCGAAGCAGAAGTCAATATAAGCATGAGACCATTTCCGCCTAATCTTTTCCACTAACAATAATGTAGATGTGTGCAAGTCGATTTCTTTGCGAATAGCTATGATATTGTTAACTTTCAAATTTGTATACTTAACCAATACAAACTAGTAAGAAACACTCGAGTCGTTTTCAGTTTTAACGTCGCAAAAAATGAATGGTCCAGCAAGATCTGGTTCCAGCGATGGGTCTATGATTTACTCTTTTCTACTATCTGGGAAAGATTTTGTGCCGAATGGATTTATCCATAGATATTATTATTGAATTTTTTATATTAGATTTATTCTACCATGCTAAGTTTCTCGTGTTTTCCGGTCCTTACGAATTTGATTTCGTTAAATAAATTCAGTATGCATGGTAGAATGCAGTATCTAATGTTTATAACGAGAAATCAAAGAAGAGTGAAACACTTTTTGGCCATTTTTAAAAATTGATCTTTATTGTTGCGAGACGGACCAACTTATATTGCGAGTTGAAATTGTTGAGTCAACAATTCAAAATTTTTATGCTTTCAACCAACTTCATGTACTTATTCATCTATCATAAAATCTCAATCTTTATTCTTTTTACGGATTAACAGATATCTTGGGAGATGAGGAAGTCCTAATTGTTTCAAAGATGTTCCTTACTTACCTCGGTTTACAAAAGCGAAAAACTTCACATAGTGTCTGACTCAAGGGCAGCAATCTCGCAAATCAAGGTGGAAATTCTCAAACATTTTTCGTCAATAACATTGTCATGCCAAATCGAGGAAAATTCAGGCATTTCTGCCTATATTGCTGTTAATCAAGAGTTTTGTATAGAAGTCTATTTTCAATACTGAAGGTGTAAGGGATAATACCCCGGTCGAGCAAAGAGCACAAACAACAAAAAAGTTTATTAAAAAAACAGAAAAAAACAAAGACAAATGACGCCACCGCTCCGTGGCGTCGAAAAACAACCAATAATCAACAAAATGAGATCTGGCCGGCGCGGCCCTGCCAATCGATTGCGCGCTTCGATCGCCTGTGATCTACATCGGTCTTCGTTTTGGAGGCCATGGGCCTGACACGCCCTCCCCTCCTGGAGACATCGTCCTCGATGTTCTGATGCGTGGTCGGTACACTTCCAGTTCGGGCAAATGAGCATCCACAGCTCTCCTTCTGACACATTCGTAGATATATTTATTCATGGCGGTTCCCACATAGCTATGGAAAAACTGCGCGCCTCCTTCCGGGGCTCCTGCTTCTATAAACAGCTTCCCTTTCATCCCGAAATTGCTTGCTGTAGTGAAGACTCGCCTCCCCTTGTCGCACTGAAGCAGCGTCTCGTCAAAAGTCTTCCATAATCCGGATAATTCACGCCACAAATCGTAATTCTTCGACGTTATCGGTGGCCATGCGGTAACTATCTTTCCGCCCTCATCGAGATATTTCTTCGCCGCCACCATCATCTTCTGCGGGACATCCTCGGCTGGATTACCATCCAATGGCCACACTATTACCCAGGCTCTGTATGTGCTCCATTCTTCTAGTACTTCGAGCAGTCTAGCGAACATCGTTGCTACTTTTGTAGCCACTCTTCCTCGAATGCCATCTCTTTCCATGGGGCTTCCTCCCTCAAAAGTGGCGTATCCAACTGGTCCTGACTTGGTGGGTAGCTCCTGCATGGACTGTCCCTCAATCTGTCGACGGAATGCCTGCAATGCTTCGTTATAGGACCTCTCAATGGAATGGCCTTCGATCTTGGCGTGCTTCGTAATCGCGTCCGTGTTGCAAAGAAAATCCGTCCAGTCGATGCATGTGTCATACGCGAGCTTCAAGACGGCTTTCAGGGCTTCCGCGTCGAAACATACGTGTCGTTCTCGATGAAACTTGATTTTCGTTCCCATATCGATGTCCCTTCGGCTGAAAATACTGCAAGCAAGCCAAGCGGACCATAGGCTCTCGATGCGTTCTTTTGCTACTGCACCCGGGAAGCTTATTCCTTCGATATCTCCAAGCTTTCTATCCTTAAAACAGTCATCTCCGCATTTGAAAAGCAGATGTCCCTTTTCGAGTGGGCTTTGCAGCGACGCACATCTGAAATTAATAACTTTGACTTTGCATACCTTACTCAATAAAATTTTTCTTTTTCTACCCCTTTTCCCTCTCATTGTCTGGGTGTCGACTCTGTCCTCGGGTATGTAACTTGGGACTACTTTTAGCTTATCGAACTGTATTCGTATAGGATCCGTATTCTCCCCTATGCGCGTAATTAGGGCTGAATTATCGCTAGTATCTAGAACTCTGAATGGACCAGCCCAATCCGAAATAAGTTTTGGATGGGTGCTTTTGCCTTTTTCGCTTGGTGCCAGGGCATATACCCGGTCTCCTACTTTAGGATGCCGGCCTGGGTCCACCTTATGTTTGTTGTCATAAGTTCTTTTCATGCTTTCTCTAACTCTATCATTGTATCCTTTTACTCTTTCCCTTACTTCCGAAATGGACTGCAGTAAGTTTGTTCTGTACTCGTCTATGGGGCTATCAATTTGATACTGTAACTTTCGCGATTCCGGCAGGACCTCCGTTGGAAAATTTGGATCCCTTCCATGCAGGATAAAATAGGGGCTCTCTCCTGTGGCAGCGTGTGGTGTCATGTTATACGCCATCATGCAGAAGGGTAAACGCGCGTCCCACTCTGTTGGAATGGCCGTTGTCTTACGCAGCATTGCCAGAATTGTCCCATTGAGACGTTCGGTAACCCCATTTTCTCTTGGGTTATATCCTTTAGTCATCGAATGCTTAATCTTGGCCATAGCAGTAATTTCCTCCATAACCTTGTTCTCAAACTCTCCGCCTCTGTCGGACAGTATGGTTTCCGGCCAACGGCATCCTTCAGCGATCCACCGAATGAAAAGTGTCGTTGCCACTGTTTTAGCAGATTTATCCGGAACAGGATAAGCTGCTGCATACTTCGAAAAGACGTCTATAACCGTGACTGCAGCGGTTCCCTGACGAAGTCAGTCCCAACTCTAGGATGTCGACGCCGATTATTTCATATGGACGTCCAGTGACCAGTGGTTTGAGCGGGGGTATTATGGCTTCTTGATGGTTGTGTATAAAGCATGTGTGGCACTCCTTTGCCCATTTTTGTATATCCTGGGCCATACCCGGCCAAAATACGCGTTTCCTGAGCATGTTAAGCATCTTACTTGCATTGAAGTGGCCCGAAATTTGTCCCCCATGCAACTCGTGGAATACTTCGTAACGCGCGGCTTTTGGAACTACATACACCGCATTCCCATTCTCCGTGTACAGCATCAGTTCTCCATTTTCTATGGCAAAGTCCGCGACTCGCAAAGGACGAGTCAGTCCTGGTAGCTTCACTACTCCTTGCACTTCTTCCTTCTCCAGACTCTCGATAATTTTGCTGAAGTCACTATCTTGTCTCAGCTCCTTCATCCATTTGCTATCTTCTTTGGCGTGTATCACGTTTACAACGGCGTCATTCGTGCCTTCTAATGACTCTGACATTTGTGCTGCCCCTCTACTTAGGGCGTCAGCTACAATGTTCGCCTTACCTTTCACGTACTTCACGTGCAGGTCGTACCTTTGTAGTTCTAACGACCATCTTAATACGCGTGCCGAGACGTTGTTCCTCTCGAATAATGCCGTTAGGGGTTGGTGATCCGTCATCACCGTTGTGGGCAGCCCGTAGATGAACATGTGAAACTTTCTTACAGCAAATACCACTGCCAGACCCTCCAAGTCTGTAATATGGTACTTTTTCTCCGCCCTGCTCAGGCTTTTCGATGCAAAGTATATGGGGTGGAGAAACCCGTCGTCTCCCTGCTGCGACAGTACTGCTCCCAAACCTGAGGTTGAGGCATCCGTGAATATTACGAACGGCTTCTCTTTTGTCCTGGCTGCTTCCAGATTTGGCTGTGTAAGCACCGGTGTTGAAGAAACCATATCCTTTAACTCCTGGAACGCCTTATCGTGCTCTTCCTCCCAATTCCATTGCCTCTTGCTCGACGTTAGCTCAAAAAGACTACTGGCTTTCTTTGAGAAGTTCAGGCAAAATTTTCTATAGTATGAAGCCATTCCCAAGAACGTTCGCAATTCCTTCACACTGGATGGTCTTGGGTAGTCCTGGATTGCCTTTACTTTATCAGGGTCGGTGTGGATGCCTTCTTTATCGATAATATGCCCTAAGAAGGATACCTTGTTTCTGAGGAGGAAGCATTTCTGGGCTTTCAATTTCATCCCTGCTTTTCGCATTCTTTCGCAGATCTCCCTCAAAGTTTTAATGTGTTCTGCCTTAGTTCGACTGCTGATAATGATGTCATCGATGTAGCAGAAAACATCGGATCCCAGCAGTCCTTCCAGTAGCGTGTCCATGAGTCTCTGAAAGACCGCAGGGCTCGTGCTTAGGCCGAAAGGTGTCACTCTGAACTGGAAAAGCCCCTCTGACGTAGTAAACGCTGATTTTTCTTTTGCTGAGTCTGTTAGCGGGATCTGCCAGTATCCGCTGCACAAGCCCAGCGTAGAAAATAGCTTCTTTCCTGCCAAACTCTGAAGGATCGCATCCATAGTTGGAAGTGGATAGGAGTCCTGTTTGATTCTCTTGTTAAGCTCCCTATAATCTACACACAATCGCAGTGAACCATCCTTCTTTTCAACCAACACGATTGGGAATGCCCAATCCGACTTGCTTTTTTCAATGATTTCCCTCTTTTCTAAGTCCTTCAGCAAATCCCTTAGTCTAGGTCTGACGCTTAATGGTACTGGTCGCGTTTTGAGCTTCACTGGGCTGCTTTCGCCCGTGTCGATGTCCATTTCCGCTATGGTAGTCTGCGTCAACTCATTATCGTGCACGGCGAATACATCACTGTAGTCATCCAGTAGATGCTCGATTTCCCCATCCAATGTTCTGTCCTCGGCATTTTCTTTCACTAGCTCATGCAGTAGCCTTCTCTTCTCCTGTGCCTCCATGTGGTACTCACTTGGGGCGATTACCAATGGATTCAAATCGTTCAGCTTTTCTCTCCATCTTTCGCTACCCCAGTGCCCAACCTCTTCATTCTCCTTGAGTATCATTGGCGTGTCTTTGTCATTCTTTACCGGTACTACAGCTTCGTTTCCGGAGATTGCCATGAGGCCGCGTTCAACTCCTGGTTTTTGTGACCAGAAAACCCTATCCTCGTCGTCGGTTGTGGCGGTTTCACACCTTACTACCACTCTTCCTTCGGCATGCGGTGGTACATACGTTCTTCTTACTACTCTTGCTATATCCTTGACGTGCTCATTGGGTCTGTCCCGAGGTTTGTCCGATATTGACAGTGTCACCCCCAGCTTCTCCAGCGTGTTCATTCCCAGTATGATGTCTTCCTGGTCTTGATCCGTTATATGAAACAAGACCTCACTTTGCAGTCCTCCTTCTAGGTGCACCGGAATGCATACACCTCCCAGTATACGCATTTGGTTGTTTGAAGCATCGTACACTGGTCGCAGGTCTTTGACTCGTACGGTTTGTAGGGCATCCACGTCATATCCTCGCTTTTGTGCTTCTCTTAGCATCCCAGCTGATATGAGACTAATCATGGAGCCTGTATCCAAGAGCGCCGGTTTGCGCATATTCATTATCCTTATTTCCCGTATGAGTGGTTGTCCTATTCGTTTAGTGTCCGTTCCTGTGCTTTCATTGATGCCGACTGTGCAGCTTCGTGTGTGATTGATGATCTCGGATAGATTATTCCCATGCGGGGGTTGCGCAACTCTTTCAATGTTCTGTTTTCTTGGGCAATCTCTTGCAAAGTGCCCTGTTTGGAGGCAGTTAAAGCATCTGTGATCCGTCCTTTGTTTCAAGGCCCCTGCATGCGCGTCCCTTTCTTCTGCGGTTTGTATTCTCCTGCCTTGTTGTGGATACTGGACGCCCGAACTGTTTGGCCGCCTATCTACCTTTACGGCGTCGTAATTTACTGTCCTATGCACTTGTGCTTCTTTCCAGCCGCCCGTTTTATTCGACCCGTTGCGCGGCTTCCTTTCCCAAATCTCTTTTGCTCTCTGGATACTAATTGCCAGTTGCTTCACTTCGTTATATGCTTCGCTAGGCGGTACCCTATGTAACGCCGCTACCAACTGAACGTATTCGGGCCACTCCCTTAAGTTATCCAGAAGGATCTCGGCGTACTCCACCGAGTTTTCTTCCATGGCTCTGTCTGGATGAGCCGCTCTACCTATCTTCTCCAAGGCAACGCAGAATTCCGCGACATCTTGGTGTGGTCTGATCCTGAGGGATCTTAGCTCAGCCATGGCCCTCATTCTACTAGCTACCGAATCCCCTGCTAGCATTTTTCCCAGTTCCTCAACCACCTCATCAAACCCCTTATTTCTTATTGTGGGTGCTAGTGTCCTCATTACATTCTTTGCCTGCCCACCCAAGTGATTATCCCTTAGTATATCTACAAGAGTGTCTGTGTCTGTGATTACTTTAGAATATTTTCTTTTGAATTTTCTTACAAATTCCCCAAAATTTTCGTTGGGCTTCCCATAAAAAACACCTGGATCCGGACAAGAGAGGGATTCCACATAATTTAGAAATCGCAAATCATTTTGCTGACCTCTTAGCTCCACGTCCCTGTCCCTTGAATGCGAACTGGGTAATTCCGACACACAGTTGTTCCAGTTTAGTTCGCACTGCGCTCCAATCCGCCCTGGGTGCTGCTGGGGCTGTAACGTATCTCTTTGATAATCCGTTTGCTCTATGCCACTTTGCACTGACTCACCTTGCTTGAGTTTTTCTACTTCACCTCCCTTCTTTTTGAGGTCTTGGATGGCTGACGGCACCTGAAGTACATCAGTATTTAGCATATTGCATGCTTGTGCCAGAATCTCCCTGTTTCTCTCAGCCACCCTTACAAACCCTCTCCAATCCTCAACTGATTGTATGCCTAATGATTTCAGGCTTCGGACATATCGTCCCGTTCATCCTCTAAACTGTGGCACTGTTCTGCTACTTCATTGAGTTCCTCACACAACTCTCTCACTTTTTCTCTTATGAACACCTCATATTTTTCCTTGTACCTCGCTGAAATTTTGTGTTCTATCATCTCGCTTGCAATCTCCCCAGGTACCCTTTCCCAATCTTTTCTTAGCCTCTCAATTCTTTTCTCTATGCTATCTCTCGCATAGAAACCTACATTTTCTATGTCCATGTGCTCCTCGGATGGCTGAGCTCCTTTGCTCGCTTCCATACTCTTTCTGCAAGAAACACTTTAGTTAGTTTTCTTCACCAAAAACACGAAAAATTTGGCGTTCGCCCTTACGTGCGGCGAAAAAAACAACGATAATTACGAAATTCGCCCTTACGTATGGCGAAAAGAGCTCAATTTGCAGAAAGCGGCTCGGCCCCCATGTAAGGGATAATACCCCGGTCGAGCAAAGAGCACAAACAACAAAAAAGTTTATTAAAAAAACAGAAAAAAACAAAGACAAATGACGCCACCGCTCCGTGGCGTCGAAAAACAACCAATAATCAACAAAATGAGATCTGGCCGGCGCGGCCCTGCCAATCGATTGCGCGCTTCGATCGCCTGTGATCTACATCGGTCTTCGTTTTGGAGGCCATGGGCCTGACAAAGGAAGATAATATAATCTTTGGAGGCAATCGCAAGGCTTATTTGCCCGAAGTTGGCAGGAGATGGAAAATGTTGTACAATTCGAATGAATCCTCTTCAAGACGGACACTTTCTGAGACATTCGTTATCTGGTAAAAAAACGTGTCGGTGTTACAAATCTAGGCATTTGACCAATACTGCTTAGTGACTTTTCAATGGAAACATGGACTTAGTACAGTTTTGCTTGGATTTCACTGATGTAGGGCAGCTTTTCTTCCACTGGTTTTACATTGGTAAGCCCAAATCCACTTTGTATGAAATTTCTTAGAAGTCCTTTAGAGCTTTGGCATGATAACACGACTATGCTGCAATTGAGTTCGAAAAGAAAATTACCTGCAGCAAACCAAGCCGGATAGATGTCAATCAACCTAATGCCACTCGCAGAAAAGGGTGAAAAGAGTAGTTATAATCAGAAATTTTTCTTAGCTTCCCATTTTTCTTTATGTTTTGCAATTTATTTGTATTCAGAGAAATATGAAACTTCATTACGAGTTTACGGTTGTCTAAGAATTTAGATTGTGCGTTCAAATTCAAAAAATTGCGAGGTGCGATGAAGGAAGTATTGGCCATCAAAATTAAAGACTGAAGACTATTATTTTTGATCAGTTTCGAGTGTTTAAGCAATGAAACCCGTTTCAAGTCCAAGTATGGTATCATACTACAGTAGAATGCTGATCTAGCTCACAATCAGTAGAACTACTGCATGTTGCAAAATTCCTCAAGCACATTGCAGGAACAGTTTGTTTCAGTAGCGGAATGGAACCATGCACCAGCTTCCGCACACAATTCATCTGATCAATCGCCACACCTGGTCGGGTTTTTTCGGAAGTGGGCGCTGACTCAGATGCGAGGTGCCATCGGGTGAACAGGCGCGTGTTTTGCCGTCGAGAGAAGGTGGCGCTGTCTCTGCCACACGCACTCATTCACGGACCGACTCAGCTCGACTTGGCTGACCTTTCTCCTACTCTTCGCATACTCAAAGACGCAAACGGAACGATGACGGGGGGGGGGGGGATGCGGTGGCGGCGGCGGTGGCGGTAGGGCGGGTGTGGTGCCCTAGCCGGCGCGGACGTTCGAGTTCGCCTCCCACCCCGTTCTCTCTCTCGAAGGGCATCTTATATTGACTATTGATTTGTACCAGGTTATGTTTGATTTAGACACTCATTCTTAGTGTAAACACACATGCAACTAACCCTAGCACACGTCCGTCTCACACCCCCCTTAGCCCCACAATGCCCGGTTATAGCCCTTTAACCACACATACGCCAGGCACCACACACGCACACTTAGCTCTTCAAACTATTCCCGGCGTGATTCATTCACGACGCACAGCGTTATAGTTGCCGATTGGGCGGCACCGGGCAAAGCCGCGCTCTCCCATATTTTCTCGCGATTTATTTGTGCCGGAAGTTCCGCTAGGGTTTTTCTATTCTGGACAGTAGGAAATAGTCCACTTTGACATTCACTGGTGTTGCGAATGCTCATTCCGCGCACGTTAAGCGAACGAAAAAACGCCGCCAGTCGTCTCGTCATTGGATTTGTGCAAGGTGCATCGAAAATTGTTGATTTTTTCGGATTTTTTAACCATTTTTTCCGAAAATTTCCAAAATTGCCTCCCCTCACATACGCTTTAAATTTCCACATAACAGCTGCTTGTTTGGACTTTAACAATAATATTTCTTCTCCCTTTCTTGATTGCTCATTCTCTCATCAGAAAATGTGCTTTTTTTCTCACTTTTTTGAAATCATTTATTTCATTCTGTTTACAAATATGCTCATTAATCGTAAGAACAAAACTTTTTTTTCGATTGCTTTGAGAGCTACGAATTCAAATATTGAAGCTACGAAAATTCAAATATTAAAAAATTAAAAAAATGTTAAAAATAAAATATTTGAAAATACTCAAAAGCTACGAAGAAATGCTTAAGCAGATAATTGTTGTTTTTCTTCCACATTCTATTCTGCTCGGCTATAGATATCCTTACCAATTTTGTTGTAGATATCCGTTAAGGAGCTTTAAGTTTCGACAAGGTGTTTTTATTCTTTGTATTAGACATTCATTTGAACTCAACGTAGTAAAGACTCTACAAGTTTTTTCTTTTTATTTCCTTTATTTTCACGTATTTCTCTTCTGTGTTTGCTAGAAGTGTCAAAATTTCCATATATGCTATCAAACAACCGATTTGCTCCAAATATGTAGTTCTATTACTATCTGAGAACCCGTTTGCTTTTCTATTGGAAAAATATAACCCCCGAATGTCAGGGCTACTTATGAACAATCATTATTTCCGAACTAATGCACTGCTTTTTTGTCCGTTCACACGATGCTTTTTTCATAGTTTTTTTGGAGTAACATGACACATTTAGCACCAAGCACTTGCCATATTTGTTATCTAATACGAAAATGACACTTTTCATTGTGATTTCCATCCGCAGAACTCGTCCCATTTAAAAATGTTCACAATTTGATGACATCGAGGCAATTCATATGTGCATTTTTCGTCTTCCCATTTCCGGTGGCTATGTCTCACAGTCTTCCACAATCTTTTAAATTGGCTCAAAATGAATTTGTTTTGTAACTTGGGCATGAATTAGATAACATTGAAACACGACATTGAATGAAATTAGAAATTTTTGTGGAACTCAAAAAAAATTAAACTGAAAAAATAGGTATTTCCTGAGAGGCTTAGAGTATCAAGTATACACCGTTGCTTATGCTTGAGTATCAATTTCACATGATACAACCAAATTTGCTCCTTTTTCGAAACATTTTTTGAAAATTTGGTAAAAAAATATTGGAACTTTCTTTTCTTTTATCATTTCGTCATCAAAATGTTCTTCCATAAAATCATGACTTATAATAAGCGGCTTAATCTGAAGTTGTGTGGAGTTTGTCCGTTACGAAATTACAGCGAGGAATGATTTACGATACTAAACATCATGTGAGGTTAAGAAGCGAGTATGGTTCATTTTTAACTACGGCTCACGTTGCAATAAACCGAACAATGATTTGAGAGACAAGCTCTCAAAAAGTGAGTTTACTACGGTTCACGATGCCAGTGCGAACCTCTGCGAAGCAGAGGTGAAGCACTGGTGAGTAATAAAATGTGTCATCTAATTCCACTTTCTGGAACATTATTTCTGGCGCTGAATGTTTTTGAGAGCATTTTTTCGATAAAAGATTCATTAAACTTTACAAAGTGTCAAACCTTACAAATATACAACCTAGTATTAGCTTCTGTGGGAGCATCAAAGAAATTAATAGCATATGCTGTAAATTTTACAGCGCCATATCGATGTTCATTCCGCTGACCTTGCAAATGATAAGAGACTTTCGCTTGATAACACACGACAAGTGTTAAAAAGCAGTGGAACATGCTGCCCAGTGTAATTATCTGCTGACCCAAAGAGTCAGGGTCTTACTCTTCCAAGAATTTACAACCACCGTCACTGCAAGTGCATAGCTTCGTACTTTTGCTAAAAAGTGTCGAGTGAGGGAGAGCAGAGAGCAGTAGCAGTGAAACTTGATTCTAATGCATACTTATCGTTCTTTGTAGCTTCGCTATAGCTACAAAATTCCTTTCGAGAATTTTTTGTTTTATCACGTACGCATTACTCTTTTCTCATTCTTACAGCTTTGTACTCCTTCAATTCTTTGAGTTTTTTAAAATAGAAAAATAATCTAACTTATTAGACTTTTATCATCAGAATCACGATAATCTTACTAAAAAAATGTGCCTCCTGAATTTCCTTAGATATCATCTATTCTGTAAATCCTTTGTCCTTGTGGTTTTGGGAAAAGGATTTCAGACTTTCTGCCCCTCTCCGATTTTCACAGGTCAGAAATTCTTTGGATTAGATTATTTAGATCCAACCTCCTTTGTTTTCTTTAAACTCGTTGCCAAATGGTCACAATGACTGCGAATTTTTGATTAGATTAGTGATTTTCGATCTTATAAAAAACAGCATACTTTGGCATAAAATGAGAGTCAATATGGAGCTGAAAAATTGAAAGAATTTCGTGTTTTTTATCCAACTCATTTTCTTTATCTTCTATTCTGTTTACAAACTATAAATTTGTTCAGAAATATATTATCACAACTATAAATTTTCTACGTTTTTTAATTGTCTGTTATGTAATTACTTAATCATCATTTGTTCAATATTTTTTTGGAAAGATTGTACTGTTCTTCAATAAAAATTTCTGTGTATCTCCAACTAACCATAGCCACCAACTAACCTTGATATCTCCATCTATTTATTCATTATTTTTTGCGTTCTCCTTATCAATCAAAGAGTTTGTGTTTTTTCCAATTAACGTACATCTGTCTATTCATTTGTAATTGTTTGAGAAAAATACCCTGTTTCATATTTGTGAGTTTACTACATTTCCTTTGCCGATACGATTTGGATTTCCCTCACAAATTTTTTATATTCAACATTTCTCGGCGTATATTTTTTCTTTTCGTGCACAACAATGTCGACATTGTCATTTCTCGATCGCAGATGTGTTGAGAAACTGCGATTGCAATGCATTGTTTCGTGGGATTCTGATGCATTATCTTCTTAACAGTTTATAATCGCCTTTGATAATGCATGAGCAACAATAAGGAACAAACCCGTTTTCAAAGGGGATCTTCATTTTATAATGGATCTGGAAATTTTGAACAAGCTCTTGTTTTGGCACGAACCAAAGTTGATCCACTTGTTCCACTTCGTTGTCGGTTAAATCAGTGAACTGACCAATAGCGAAGCGGATGTCCACTTGATCCACCTGAACCACTTCATTCACCTCGCTATTGGTCAATTCAATTCGAGGAAAAATTTCGGCTGTGAAATATCTAAAGTTCGTAAATTTAGGTGCCTCGTAAATTTTTTTCATATAAATATTCTTTACTGTTTAGGATTTATCACTAACGTACACAACTCTCTAATTCTTTAAGTAAAGTCCGGACGAGGTAATTTAGTTTTGGAAAAATGTTGTCACATCATTTGATCGCGTATAGCAGCCATCATAGTTGAATTTATCTATTTTTACAATTTTTTCAGTTAATGAGATTATTGTAATTCTAGATTGATCCCTTTTGAGTCATAAGGAAAAGAAGATGTGAATAATGAAAAATTCCATTCTTTATATTTTGCCTGCTCTAATATCGTCCAAATCTGTCAATCACAACAACATCATCATCTCGTACATACTAATACAAAACCCTAGTGTAGTTTGCTTCGCCTTTGCATTCTGAGTGAATGTCTGAAAACGTCTGAAAAAAGAGACAAATGTCGGAAGTGCTTATTTTTGTGCACTTTACACAATGGTTCCATGACTTCTAGATCGATAGAAATGAAAAGAAGAATGGATTTATCTTCTTCTAGTCTCTTTGATGTGGTAGAAGGTATCTCTACGACTTGAATTTTGGCTGACAGATTTGATTTTTGTCCTTTGAAGTAATTTCATATCTTTATAAAATCTTGTATTTTATCTCGTGGATTGAGAATAAAAAATGCGTGAAAAGGGCGCGACGTCGTGAGCAGAAATTCTTTTGCGTCAATTCTGACGTCATTAAAGTCAATGAAATCATTGCTTGACGGACTAATGATTTTCTCACATTTTCTTCAACAATGTAAATTAACAGCCAAGTTCAAATGTTGATTTTTCGTCGAGAAGAAGGATGTGTGCACATTGCAAAAATTGTTCAGCAAATATTGATGCATGACGAATCTAACCATTCTTTCAATTCTTATTTCCAAGTATTCCTTGAAGGCACCAGAAAAATCTCATCTTTCTTATGTGTAAGCTCTTAGGCTTTGCCACTAAATTCATTGCTCAAGTAACAGCTTGTAGGATTCATTCGTGGCCTAGAAATTCAACTCTGAACCCTTGCCCACTACCGTATCCTTTCCAGCGTATCGATCGACGTCTTCGAGTATATACGATAATGGGTGAAATTTCAGAGTTCAATTTTCAGATCATGAATAATTTATTCAATCTACCGTTTATGCAGTGGCTTACCTGAAGCCTTCCACTTAGTGTCCAATTAAGAAACGCAGAAATGCAGGTCCATTCCCTGGATACAGCAAATTGTATGCTACTGATACCTCTCCCTTCATCTCTCTAAATTCCCTAATCTGATAAAATTTGCGTCTCCCCTAATAAGCCCAAACTTCTTTACAGCCCTCAGCTATTCACTATACTTTTTCCCTCAAGGAGCTCTTCCCAGCCTTTTTTGCTTCCCATCGGGAGACCCGGTATCCGACGCAAGGTGCCAGGCCAAGCCCATACGACACACACGTGTTAATACAGCTGTCTTCCATACACTCACCGCCGTTTTCTTTGCCAATTCTTTGCTTATACGATCCTCCTCCACAGCTGCGCTACTCACATCCCCCTGGATCCGCCCAGCTCCACCTACTGGGAGCGCGAGTCCAGAGCTAATCTGGTATGGTTTTGCTATTTGGCTTCCATATCCAGTTTGTAACAGGAAATTATAATTGTTTGGATATGTTTCTGCTATTTTTGTGTCGATTGAAGCAATGAACCACCGAGCATCTTCCATGACTTCGCTCCTTCCCTTTTGTGTCAAGTTTGAAACAGTAAATTCTAAGCTCTCATCTAGCACTGCTTTTCGGCTTTTATATTGGCTTTGAAACAGGAAACTTTGATTATTTGGATGCGATTTCGTTTTTTGACCTTTGTATGGAGTCTGAAACAGGAAAATTTCGATATTTCCTAACAGGAAATATCGAAATTGAATTATTCGGGTTATGACTGAGCTTTTCGACTTGTCAGTTGTTGCAGGAGATGGTGGTCACTTAGATGTTATTTTGCTTATCGGCTTTTATTTCGAATTTGTAATAAGAAGTCTAATTATTTGGATGTAACCTCGCTTTTCCACTTCTGTATCCAGTTTGTAATGGGAAATTCTAATTTGACCCATTTTTTATCTCAATTTTCATTGATCGAGTGATTGATAGCGTTCATTGGTCAGCTTGTCGCGCCCATTCTTTTTTATTTTATGGTGTGTTTACATGTGATTATAAACTAATGGCTCAGATTTCGCATCACCCCCACATTCAAGAATTATTTCTGCAAAATATGCATTTTTACTGTTTATTTTCTGATTATTAGGAACAATTTGAAAACTTTCTGTTTGTCTCTAAAACGAATTTCTTGATTATTGATGCTGCGATAAATACAGCATCAGAAAAAAAATTAAAATTACCACCTAAAAAAGCCCCGCCACAAACTCGAACCCGTCTATGACTACGAAATCATGTTCAACCCTTAAACCTATGGAAATTTCATCCACGTGGCACCAATTTTCTTATCACTTCAACAGAAAAAAGCCCCCATTGTTTCTTCTTTTGTTTTGTTCGCGGACTTTTTTTATCCCACTCGCACATTCTTTTTCCCACTCGTCCTAGCAATAGCATTACGCGGGCGCATAAATTTAATATGTGCATTTTTTTCCACATCCTTTATTGTCAAGCGGAACTTTGTTAGTATCGTGTTGTCTTGAAGCTTTTACAATATCCTCACTTTACTATCCAGACAAATTTTCTCATTTCATTCACCTAACATGCCCCGGAAAACTGAAGCTAAACTTTTTCGAATTTTCCACACTTGGCATTGTAAAAGAGAATTATCAAAATTTGTTTACTGAAAAAAATATTTTTGATACCAAACATCCACTATTTCGCCTGAAAATCCTTGTCACTCATTGGCTCCATTTTTTGGCGTTCGTCATGATTATGTAGAAAGAAATGCGTAGATCTACCGATTTGCAATGTCATGAAACACCTAATACAGTGCAGAAATGTAGACGCAGAAAGCTGTGACCGCGCCGCCGTAGTGGCCGTTCGCAGCGCATTGTCTGCGCCAGCGACTGAAGTTCAGATCTGCCTGCTTTGAAGCGAACAGTAGCCAGGGGTGTATGTCAAGAGGCGCGATTTTTATTGCCAGCTGGACACCAAAGAGCACATAATAAGTGTTCTGCAACTTTCTAAAAGTATATGAAATCTAGAAAAAGATATATCAGGTAGTTGCATGAGTTGTTTAATCTTGATACTCTAGAAGAAATTCAAAACAGCCATTTTGAAAGTCAGAAACTCATGAAAATGCATTTCAGAACAAATTCGTAATTATCTCAGCCCGATTTATAGCAAAAACCATGAAAATCAGCAAGAGGTGACCTCAGACGGAGAGTAAGCTAATGCACTTCATCCGGTAATTTTCAAAGACTCGCATAGCACTAAACTGGAGTTTTAAATTGGTGACAGCCAGAGAAATCGCGCCTCTTGACCGTCTCCCAGTAGCCAGAACTGCGCAAAATTTTCCGATTTACTGCAGCAGTCTTTATAGAGTTTTTTTTGCCATCCAATCAGGTACATATCAAATCTCGGTGCATTTCATTTCATATTTTCTACAAGATAGAAAGGTCTTATCTCTTCTGTATTTCCTCAAGTTCTTTTTCTTTTTTATTCCTTTACTAATGTTTCTGGTATCCAATCAATAGGTGTCATTTTTCGAGTACGTCTGTCTCTGCTCGTGTCACTCTTATCTCGGTCGGCCTTACTACTGATTTCGCCCCCTCGTAGTAACCCGCAGATGACCTGGCGGGGGCCAAATGACCGCCGCGTGTGCGGCGAACATTACGAGGACTCCTCTCGAGACTTATTCGCACATCACTTTGCCATGTTATTTCTCTATACTGCGCAAAAAAATCTCAAGTGTTTGATTATCGTTCGATGTCTGCGTTGTGCGTGCGCAATGACGACATTACTTGTGGTAGATCTTATTCGGAGATAAATGCGGTATTTCTCTATACGTATCATCCATTCTCAGACTAGGAGGCACACGAACGCTCGCATGTGTACTTAACAAGTCAAAACCGTGCTTTACCTCATTCTCTATGTGCCCTTCAAGACTCACAACTTCAAAAGCGCGCTCCAGAACAAGTTTGTACCTGTTGAGAAGCTGCGCGCAGCGTTTTCGAGTTCCTCACTTTGAGAATGAACTATATGTTATTCGGCTCGACTTTTTCGATAGTTGTATAGCGGTGAACGTTTGTTCGCTCGTGCGTGTGCGCGATTCATTTGTGTCGGCACGAAACGCGTCTGACGCTAACGATGATTAGCAATGTTTTTTTTTAACTGATTGCAGGCGGACATACACCGTCGAAGCGCCGCTTCTGCTTCTGTGCATCCCCAGCCACTGCTCGACGGGCACAGCGTGAGTTCCACTCATTTTTTTCTCTCATTCCCCCCCCCCCCCCTTCCTCTATGGAAAACAAATAAATCATCCGCTTGTGTCCACCAAAAACCTCCCAAGTTTACCGGCAGCACCTCATTCATCATTCCGCTGCTTTTCAGGATGCATCTGGCGCTGATAGTCGTCGCGGTGCTCGCCGTTGCCATTGGCTTGGCCAGCGGTCAACAAATATCCGAGGATCGCTGTAAGGATCGGTCATGCTATCCGATCACTGGAAATCTGTTGATTGGACGAAAGCATCGACTGAAATCTTCATCCACTTGTGGAACGAGGGGAAGAGAAAGGTATGGTAAATTAACAAAAAATGTGTTTTCAAACATTAAATGAACAATTAATTGAACACTCCGATGTTGTATGGATATCCATACCACCTAGCGAGTTTTACTGCGAAAAAGTAAAAAAGCGACAGCAAAAAAGTCCTTGATCTAGAAAATGTGTAATTGCACATATTGGTAAACCAATGACTCGACTATAACTGACACAATCTCTACGCTGTCGTAAAAACAAGGCGAACATCCCAAATGCATAACTTTGTTTCATCGTTTCATTTTCACTCTCCTATTAGTCGAAAGGGAAAAGTTGAAACGAGTCTTCAAACCGAATTTCCTTCAACTTATGGAAATCGCCTTTCCTAATTGTTTGAAGTAACGAACATTCGAAACTCAATTTTCACTTCAAGACTTTGTAACTAGCTCAAGGTCATTTTTAATATGGATTTCAGTCATTCAAATTGTCACCTATTACAGGATGTCTGCAGATGCGGATATTCAGATCGCCTACAGTCTCCATTTTTCCTTTTTTAAACCTCCATAGATAGCAAAGTTAAAAGTTCTCCATCCTTGCTTTACTATATTTGCTGTTTTGCCTCGCTTGAATTATCTACTTAACTCAGTACAGTCGATTTGGTCATCAAGATTTCTTGTAAAGTTAGCGATCGTTTCCCATTCTCCTATATATAATCCGTTCAGATTCTGTATCGTATCCCATCTTGAAGAGCAAACGAAATGCTTCTATTGCGACTCTCGAACTGAATGGCGACCATACAGAGAGCCATATCGGCTGAGTCACAGGTGTGTCATGTCCTCGACAGCTTATTCGTTACGATGTTTATTTCCAACAGTTTTATTCCATTTCACACCTTGTAAAAGATTTTTTCCGTAAGAACATCGATAACTTTGTGAAAAGGTTTTCACTTGTGAAGCCAATATGAATTCCGAAATGATCGTGAAGTAATCCTAATTTCTAGGAAAAATTTATCTTGAAATCACCAAATTGTTTGGAGTCATGCAGGAGGCAGCTAAGGCTTGCCGCATTTGCCTCTGGAAGCGCTTGGGTAGCTCCAGATTCCTCTCGCCTCTAATCATTTTTCACACCTCTGATACTTTACAAGTTAAAGAATTGAACAAAAATCTTTTTGGAGAGTATCTCACCCCGGATCAATTTGAGATTCTCGCAATTTCTTTCAATCTCAGCTATAATCGTTTTCAACTTATTTGGATATTGGGTTCAGGAAATTTTACTCCAAAATTCGTAACAGAAGGAACTGATTCTGATGCAGAATAAAGGACGAGTGCAATAATTCTTCAAAGTTCTTGTCTTCGATCGGAATAACTGAGAAAGATTACATGTTTATGTTTGAGATTCTGGTCTGAAGATTGAATAGACCAATTCATACTTTAAAACCATTTGACGTTGGATGGCTATCTATTCCTTTTTGTACTTGTTATCTATCTTACTTGCTACGAATTTAAAACATGAAGCTATTTCAAAACTTGCCACGCTTTGAGAAATCAACGATCAATTTGGCACAGGTCATCTATAATTAGAAGTGCGAAGAAGTAATTAGAGGCGCGAGGAAGTCTGAAGTTCCTCAGGTACTTCCATAAGCAGAAGCGGCGAGCCTTTGCTGCCTCCTGCCCGACCGCCAAATTGTTTTGCTAGTGGAATCCAATTATATTCGGGTGAACTGAACTATAGTCACTTTTTTGTTGCATTTGCATTTCTTGTCATCAAAAACCGCTGGAAGAAGTCTCTGGCAATCAAAATTGGCCCACATGTGTTGCACACATGTGGGAAATATTTGCAATGTCAACGGGGCGATGTCACCGGCAGTGAAGCGACTACTAATAAAAGAAAGATGAGGGTTTTCTAGGTTTTGGTGTCCTAAAAGCAAAATTTGAACGCTTTGGAGACACAGTGAAAGAGGGCTCGAGTGTTTTCGTGATAGTGCACTTTTTCAGTCGGTCCTACTGAATAGATAAATTTAGTTTTTCCAATACTCATTACATCTTCTTTTCTGTCTTATGACTAGTTTTCGTCCTTTTTCGATATCGAGAATGTGCTTTTGAAAAAATTTGGACTACTGTACATTGAATCTCCCCTTGAATTTTTGGTATATAAACATTCACCTGCTTATTCCTTCATCATTGAAGTTTACCAGATTGATATCCAATGGTCGTATTTAGGATAGAAAATGTCGTTTCCGATGGTTACGAAGATAAAAATCGTAACTGGTGGCAGTCAGAGAATGGAGTTCAGAACGTCACAGTACAACTTGACCTTGAAGCTGAATTTCACTTTACTCATCTTATCATGACATTCAAGTCTTTCCGCCCTGCTGCGATGATCATTGAACGATCGGCAGACTTTGGCAAAACTTGGTAATTTCGATCTACCTGCACCTAATATGGAGAGGTTTGATAAATTTCTTTCTAGGCAAGTATATCGGTACTTTGCGTACGATTGTGCCGGAACGTTCCCAGGCATTCCGGAAGGTCCACCAAAGAAGCATACTGATGTCATCTGTACGCGAGCATACTCTGATGTTGCTCCGTCAACTGGAGGAGAGGTAAGATTTGAGCGCTGCTATGATTGAATTGGCATTTTCAAAATGTAGTTGAAGTGAATAGTTTATTTCTTGAGTGTACTCGTCTGCGTTTACGCGCCATTTCTCACTAACTTCATGCTTTTAGTGTGTGAGATTCAAAAGAGATCGAAGAGTAATTGCTTTGACTTCTTTTCAGTTGGTCTACAAAGTCATTTCACCACATATCGCTACCGCCAATCCTTATGCTGACGAAATAGCCAATCTCCTCAAGATCACCAACCTTCGATTCAACTTTACAAAATTGCACACGTTGGGTGATGATTTGCTTGACTACAGGTAAGTCTGTACATTTTTTCCTGGATGGGATCGACAAAGAGTTTATTCCTCTTAGGCCAGAAATTGAAGAAAAGTACTATTATGCCATATATGAAATCGTCGTTCGTGGATCTTGTTCTTGTTATGGCCATGCTTCGCGTTGTATACCCATCGATGACAATAACGATCCAGCTCTTAATCGGCCAGATATTGTAAGTGCTTGTTCTGTCAATGATTTTGGTGAGCACTTTTCGAACTAGCTATTTTTTTCCGATTTCTTTTCTAGGTCCATGGTCGTTGCGAATGCATGCATAACACCGAGGGTTTGAACTGCGAAAGATGTCGCGATTTCTTCAACGATCTGCCATGGAGACCGGCTATCGGTGAAGACACGAATGAATGCAGAAGATGTGAATGTAACGGACATGCAGCTAGGTGCCACTTTGACAGAGCTGTCTATCAAGCTAGCGGTAAGTCATTTTTTCTGCTCGAATAGCTGTATTCGTTTTGTTGTAGGATATCAGTCTGGTGGAGTTTGTGATGATTGTCAGCATAACACGCAAGGTAAAAACTGCGAACAGTGCAAACCATTCTTCTACCGTGATCCTCAACGCCCCATCACTGATCCGTATGTATGCCTTCCCTGCAGCTGTGACAAAGCTGGCTCCCAGGATGATGTGAGTATCTTAGACCGTTCGCTTCTGATTGGGTATGAAGAATTCTGTGTAGGGAATATGCGAGAGTGAAGAAGATCCGGAGCGCGGATTGGTCGCTGGAAAATGTTACTGCAAACCTAATGTCGACGGACCTCGGTAATAATGTTGTGCTTGTAAGGATCTGGATACGCATTATCTGCTGAGTGTTTTCTTATTCCAGTTGTGATCGCTGCAAGAATGGTTTTTGGGACTTGCAAGCGGCTAACCCGGACGGTTGTGTCCCATGTACTTGTCATCTTCTTGGCACTTACAACAATGAAGGATGTGACAAAGCCACTGGTCACTGCACATGCAAGCGACTGGTTACGGGAGAGAACTGCGATCAGTGTTTGGTGGGTTTTCTTTTTTATAGGTCATCTGGCATAGCTCTTTATATGTCTCAAGTGTTGCTCCGTAGTTGTTGTTTCAAATTCTTTTTTGCTTGTTTCTTCGTTATTTTTATCGCATTTTTTGTAAATTACTTCATGGATATATTCTTCCTCAATTCCTCTGGTATTGTGGATTAATGTGGATTGTAATGATGATTGAAGTAATGTGGATTTGCAGCCTGAGCATTATGGCCTTTCGGAAGATGTTGATGGATGTAAGCCTTGCGATTGCGACATAGGAGGATCGCTGAACAATCAATGCGATCTGGTTACCGGACAGTGCACTTGCAGAGAAGGATTCAGCGGACGAAGGTATCATGGATCTCGCTAGTGCGAGCTTTTTTCTCAAGCTGCAGTTTTTAGATGCGACACAGCTGACTCGAGCTACTATTGTGCGGACATCGATCATTTCACGTATGAGGCCGAGAATGCTGAGCTGACAAACGTAAGTGTGGGAACCGTTATTACACTTTCTCAATTTTTTTGCTCCGCTGACGTGACATCTGCAGGCCGAGATTGAACCAAGGGAACATCCTGGAAAAGATGAGGCTATGTCATGGACTGGTGAAGGCTTTGCTAGAGTGAATGAAAGGAGTTCAATCAGCTTCAAAGTGGGCAACTTGCAAACATCGCAGAAGTATAATATTATTCTACGATACGATGCCGCAAGAGTAGGTTTCATATATCAGTATTTTTCTGGCTTCATAATTTTCACAATGACTAGTTTTTGACGGCTTGCTTTGCAGGATCCCATAGGGTGGGAAAATGTGCAGGTTACTGTAGTTCGTCCTGGCCCAGCAAGTGGGGAATGTGCTGGCAGCGATCCTTCTGATGACTACCTGATTGCGCGTTTACATCCTGGTTCGCTTCATCTGAGCAAGAATGAGACGACAGTAAAAATTGAGTTTTCCTAGGAGGTCGTTATACGGAGCTGTATCCGTCTGTGTGCCTGGAAGCCGACAAGAAGTACGAGATCCGTGTACAGTTTGGCGAAAAGCGCACTGGAGTGCAGGATCGGTGGGCCTTTTTTTATTTGTATCCGCAATTCTAGTTGAATTGTTGTCATTCAGAGGTGCATGGATCTTGATCGATTCTATGGTCTTGGCGCCACCGACAGAAGAACTGCACATTTTCAAGGGCTCTGATCAAGCTTTGCAACACAAAATGGAGTACGATCGCTATCAGTGTCGTAATTTAGTCATGTCTCTTGCTCCAAAGGGACAGCTTAGCGAGGTAAGTTTCCGGGTCTTGTATCTTCGGTGTCTAGCATAAGCTGATATCTTCCTTGCAGACCTGTGAACGTTACATCTGCCCTGTCGCTGCTGCAGTACTGAACCGTACCAGTTCATGCGATTGTGACCCAACTGGCTCAGTATCTGGTATTTGCGGTGTAAAAGGAGGACAATGCGAGTGTAAACCCAATGTTGTTGGAAGGCGGTAAGTTGCAAAACTCTTAGGACCTCTCTCTAATTTACCTGTTTTTCATGTACATACCGGATTTTTGAGCACGAGATAGGCTTTAGGGAACATACCATAGAACTGTTTTTCCAGGTGCGATCAATGCGCTGTGGGCACTTACGGTTTTGGACGTTCGGGCTGTACCGAGTGTGCGTGTGACTCTGTTGGATCACTGCACAACCGATGTGACAAGCAAAGTGGGCAGTGTATGTGTCGTGAAAAGGGCATCTATGGACGTCAGTGCAACCAGTGCCAGCCAGGATTCTGGAGCTTTCCCGATTGCAGAGTCAGTTTTCTCTTCAAAATTCCAGTAGGACATGGCGTTGCCCTACATTTAACCTATAATCAGTGAAAAGTGTAATCTCACGATAATATTATATGTTGTTTCAAATTGCTTTTTTTATCTTCTACCAGCCCTCTATAGGTGTGTCAATGCAACGATCATGCCAACATTTGCGACCAGCAGACGGGAGCTTGTATCGAATGTCGTGACCTTACGGCTGGGCATTATTGCGATCGTTGTCAAGATGGCTACTATGGAGATCCTAGGTATTTTGTCACTATATCACTGACTCATGGAACCAAAAATCTTCTATTCCTTGAGAGATGAGTGTACTTCTCCAAAATTACAGGCTTGGAGTTGGTCTGCCATGCAAACCTTGCCCATGTCCTGGCGGACCTACCAGTGGTTTCCAGCATGCAGATACTTGCTATCTGCAGCGTTCTAATAACACCCAAGATGTTGTTTGCAACTGTCGGTGCGTCTTTTTATCTGTTTTAAGATCCTCAAAGAGTTAATTGATATCGCTGTAGGTCCGGCTATACTGGTGAACGATGCGCAGAGTGCGCTATGAATTACTGGGGCAACCCTACAGAAGTGGGCGGATCATGCGAGAGATGCGATTGTAATGGAAACATTGACATGGCGGTGGGTGCCTCATTGAAATTTTCCGATTATTTCCGTTTTTTTTTTCGCTAAATAAGCTTTGCTATAGGTTGAGGGCAGTTGTGATGCTGCTACCGGTGAATGTCTCAAATGTCTTCACAACACCGAAGGTCCTATGTGTGAGAACTGTATGGATGGATTCTACGGTGATGCTAAACTCAAGAGCTGTCAGAGGTAATGCTACAGTACAAGACAAGATCTTTTACCAATGGCCTCATACTTTCTCTCGTAGATGTGTTTGCAACAACCTCGGTTCGAATCTCACCGCTGGAACATGCGATCGCGTTACTGGTCAATGTCCATGCCATCCCAATGTCATTGGAATGCAGTGTGACCAGTGTGCAGAGAACCACTACGATTTGAGCAGTGGCCAGGTGAGTGCAACTTTAGCTCACTTTCTTGCAACCATCAATGTGGATTCATGTGTTCAGGGATGTTCTAAATGCGATTGTGATCCTAACGGTGTAGTGCTGAAAGAAGATGGAACGCCAGAATTGCAATGTAATCAGTTCGATGGAAGGTGTCGGTGCAAGATTGGCAGGGGAGGTGAGATGCTCACTTTTTTACTATGTATTTGATTTGAGGTGACGGCTTTGGAGTCTAAATGAGCTCAATGGTTAAAATGATGGCAAAGAGTGAATATTCTTAATTTCTCTCTTTTTCTTTCAGGAAGAACCTGTTCTGAATGCGAGGACTACTTTTGGGGAGATCCAACGTCTCCAGAAGGTTGCAAGAGATGTGAATGTAATCCAACTGGTTCAGCCAGTCAACAGTGTCATCGCAACAACGGAACTTGCGTTTGTCTACCAGGCTCTGGAGGTGCGCTATCGCGTTTACACACTTCTCCCTTTTCGTCTTTGTTTCTCATTCTCCCTTGCGTTTGCAGGAGATCTTTGTAATGAATGCGCTCGCGGATATACCGGAACATGGCCATACTGCCAGCCTTGCGGTGAATGCTTCCACCAATGGGACGATATTATCCAAGGCCTAAAATCGAAAGTTGAAAATCTTATCAATACTGCCAACAACATCGAAGATACCGGCGTGGCTTCTGCTTACGATGAAGAGTTTGAAAATATGGAGAAGATCTTGGAAGACACGAAGAAGAAACTATCTGATGCAAATGTTAGCAAAGAGCACATAGAGGAGTTGGACAATGAAGTAGCAAAGCTGAAGAAGGAGGTAGGTAGTTTAATTCATTCTTGCGTGACTTGTAATCTGCTCAGTTTTTCTCAGGTTGCTGGTGCTCGCGAAAGATTGGATATAATCGAGGCTCGAGTGTCGAATGCTACCCAGTCTGTCGATTTTGCTCAAGAAGATTTGAAACAGCTTCATTTGGATGCGGATCGTCTCACGGAAGCCGCAGTTGACTTACATGAGAAGACAAACAAGATCAAGGAAGCTGATGTGCAGGTAAATAAGAATGAGTAAATCTACTTAGCAGAGGTCCCCGGAATCTACGAATTTTTTAGGGTGCCTATAACATTACAAGAGAATCAGCATCACGCTCGTTGGCTGCTCAACGTCGAACAGACGCAGCCATCGGCAAATTGGCTGAAGCGGAAAGTGAAGCTAGAGATGCCGACGCTCTACTTGAAAAGAACAGAGATGATTTTGACAAGCAGTATTCTGAAAATGAGGCAGCGCTTGCTGAAAGCGAGAATAATGTAAATGTTTATTCACCTTCTCTAATCAATTACTCCTTCTCGTAATGTATTTGTTAGGCTATCCCGTATTTTTTCATTATTTTACTAGATGGCAAACCCGGCTCCGCCCGGGGCCAAACTTTGCACACATACACTTCGGGGCAGGGAGCGTGTCATAGTCCACTTTTCGTTATCGATCGAACCCGGAGGGGGTGATCAGCATGCTCGATTACCCCCCTGTGCAAAATCCCAGCCCCGTAGCTCAGAATTTGCAAAAAAATCGGTGAAATTGACATCGATCGATAACGAAAAGTAGCCTATGACACGCTCCCTGCCCCGAAGTATATGTGTGCCAAGTTTGGTCCCGATCGGTTCAGAAATAAAAATTTCTATTCCGCACATACGTACAGACAGACATACATACATACATACAGACAGACATTCAGCTTTATATATAAGATTCGAAAATGTCACTTACTGTCATTGATTTTAGATCCATATGCTAGAAGGAGCATTACCTCGGCTGAATGCGGAAGTTTGCGGTGGAGAATCCGCTCCATGCGATGCGCTTTGTGGAGGTAGTAGTGTCTAGAAAATTTGTGATTGTGCACCTTTTTGTGCATATTTGCTCACCATAATTTTTCAGGTCCTGGTGTATGTGGCTTCTGCGGTGGGCAATCTTGTCTAGCCGGAGCTGTGAGTAAAGCAGATCAAGCAAGGAGCTTTTCCCTCGAGGCTGATCTGAAATTGAATGAGAAGCAGAAGGAAGCTGAAGAGGTAGTCGTAGAAAGTTTGAGGAGTATTTACCACACTTTAATTGCCGCGTGTTTAGGTCCTGACCCTCGTTCGTGATGTCCTGCATTCCACTGCTGCTGCAAAGAAAGACGCTAATGAAGCTTTGGAAGTAGCACGAGCAGCGGCTCAAAGGACAAACTCGTCTCGGGCAGAGCTGGATCAGATTGTAGACCAAATGAACAATTTCTTGAAGAGCTCCAGGTAGAATATTTTATTCATTAGAGGTACGAATCGAAGGAGGTAAATTTTTCTATTTAGGAGCTCTCCAGAGCAAATAAGAACGCTTGCTGAAGAAGTACTTTCGAAGAAGATCAGCTTGACTCCTGAACAAATAGCCGCTCTTACATCTAAGGTTTTGCAACCCTATCGATCATCATGTCAGCATCACAAAAGAAATCTTCCATGACATTTTAGATTCGTGATTCGCTAGCCAAAATCAGCAACATAGGCGCAATTCTTGCTGAAACAAGAGGAAACAAAACGTTAGCATCAAATCTGGAATCAAAGGTAGGTGGATGAATTCATCGTGTTAAATCCTCAACATTCCTTTAATATACGTTTAGGCTCTGGAGGCAAGTGCTCGTGCCGCAGCTATCAAAAATACCACAGATACTGTGAGAGAAGCCATTCAAGTGGCTGAAGAAGCTCAACTTGCAGCCTCCGAAGCCATCCGATCAGCTGATGAGGTGATGAAGCAGGCAAAGTGCGTTTATTGCTTTTCTTCACTAATGTTGCCGCTCATTTTATCCTCTCATATCATTGAATGTTGGATTGCTTTGAAGGGAACATCTCGAAGCCGCTAAGAAAGAAGCTAATGCTACCGAAACCCGCGCTAAAGAAGTCAACGCAAGCTTGTCCACACTTGAAGGTGAAATGAAGAAAGTCAAAGTGCAGTATCTTCAAATTGCCGATGACGCTAAAAATGCATTCCAACTTGTTGACAAAGCTCTGCAAGCTGCTCAAACGGCTGAACAAGGGAATAAACAGATGACAGTGAGTGGATTTGGTCTTATGCGCGTCTATGGTTTGAATGCTTTTGTTTAGATGGACATCGAAACAGCACAAGGACTTCTTTCGAGTAGGACACAAGGCAATGAAGCTCCACAGAAAAGAGCAGAAGCGCTACGACAACGAGCAGCGAAGCTTTTGTACAAGGCGCAACGGCATAGTGATGACATTAGTGGTAAGTTGATTAGCGTAAAGTTTTTGTTACCACAGTTTTTTTTGCAAAGAAATTGTGTTTTCCCACCTGAATTCAGAGCGGTGTCCAGGAAGGCCTGAGTAGCTGGATTTGATTTTTTCTAAAAGCAGTGTCCAGGCTAAACGTAACCCCCTCCAATTAGTGTCAATCCTGAATGCAGGCCCCAGAAAAGGGGCATCTGCGTTGGTCCGGTCTTCTAACGTTGTCTTTGAATGGAGATAAGAGGCCTGGAAGTTCCTGGGTGGGCGGAGTTTGATATCAGACTCCGCCCAGCTAGGGATGCCTCCCGACACGTATTAACATGGTGGTGAGCAGGAGCTGCACACTGCTGCAACTGCACCCATGCATGCCGACGAGGACGAGCGATTCGAAACTTGTGCGCGCCCTCAAGACTGGGTCCCCAGGCATTGGGTTTTTTTTGTGAATTTTGGACAGTTTGAAGTTCGGAGCTGTAATCAGGGCCACGGAAAGGCCCCAGAATGACGAAAACATGGAGGGCCAAATTCCGGGTGGACGCTGCTTTTAAACCTGATTATAGATTGTGAGGCCTAAGTTGAGCCTTCCCCAGTCCTAGCTCGTATTGTATCTGTCAGTCGTACTCTTTTCGCGCGGACCCGTCAGGTCCTCTACTGCGGTACGGTCTGGGCTGGAGCGTAGTGTCGAAGTTTTATGGCCACCATGGATCATAGGAGTTGTCACTTGGGAAATAGCTTAGGCTCCCGCCAGAGTGCCGAAGTTATGCCAGCGCTACGCCAGCATTTCGATCGATACACTTGTGTTTCGTTGGGCGGGGCTAGCTGACATCCCCAACGAAATACACGTGTATCGATCGAAATGCTGGCGTAGCGCTGGCATAACTTCGGCACTCTGGCGGGAGCCTTAGTTAAGACGTTCCAATCAGTCTCCACTAAAGGAACCCAGATGCTCGTATTTGTCTAGGTGTTGCTTTTGGAGCGATGTCCTTATCAAAATTTTGTGGATGGCCATCAGTGCCTCCACTCTGTTTTTTTTTTCTCCATTTTGAGTCAAGCATCTAAGTATGAAAATGTTTCAGCATTGACGAAGGATGCTTCCGATGTACGACTCGATGACTACCAACGAACATTAGACGAACTGAATTCTCGTCTAGAACAAGTCACGAGAGATATCCATACAAGTACAGAATTCTTCGCCAATTGCGACGTGTAAGCCATAAGCTGCCATTGTGCCTCCTCATCTCACTGCCCTCTTGTTATTAGGCTCCCCAAGATGTTGCGTTTTGCCATTTCTCATGAGCCTTTGTTTCTGAATTTTGTTGTCAGATTTAGTTTCCGGTATTATGAAACGATACCTATTGTTGTTGCTATTCGAATAATTTATAATGTTCAAGCATCTCGTCGCTTTCGGACTTTTCTAGCCCTTATATGTATCGATGGTTCTCATTATGTCTTAAGCTTCTTTCTATCACTCGCATTTGCAATACTACTGATTCTCGCTGCCTTATTGGTGCTTCCTTCAATTCTAACAAATACTGCTGAGTTCTTTGATCTGCCTAATTTAACACTGCGATCATATATACACTGTCATTAAAAGTGCAATTATAAATGAATAATTTCAATTATTTGTTATTATGTTTAGCAAAATTGAGCGGTACTTCTCCAAAACTTCTCTACTCTATTCGATGTAGCAGAAATGTAGGTAAAATTTAAAGAATTTTATGAATGTCGGTGAAAACTCAATTGATTTTCGAAAAGTATGAGGTTGGCACATAAGTTTTGCAAATGATTATGTTACTTCTCTTTTTGACTGTGATGCATTCATTTTTGGCTTAATGTAGACTAGGAAGTAGACTGCAAATGTGCTCAAACAGTTTGATTTTTGATGGGGAATTTGAGAAAATGCATGCATTTTCCGAAGGATGGTCAAATTCGTTTCAAAAGTCGGAAAACCAAAAATAAAGCCGTTCTCAGTCTGAATCAAACGCATCAAGCCGAAACTGTATCGATTATGAAGACTCCTCTATGAACAAACCGGGTACGGTTTCGGCTTGATGTGTTCGATCCAAACGGAGAATGGCTGTATTTTTGGTTTTCGGACCATTGAGATTTCGAATTTGACCCTTTCGAAAAATAGAATTCTCCTCTACTTCGCTACCAAAAATCAGACTGTTTGCGCGTATTTGTAGCCTACTACCTAATCTACATTATGCCCAAAAATGAATGCCTTACGCTCAAAAAGAGGAAAGTTACAAAATCAGTTGCAAAACTTGCCACTATTACGAAGTCTATTTCACTAATATTACAGCAATTCACTTAAGTCACTTACCGCTAATTATTTTCCGGTTTCTTCACAAAGTGCTAGAGTTGCAGTCACAAGTGTAATAATGCAAGCTCGAACTGCTACGTTTTCTTACAGGGTGGTCGTGAAAGCAAAAAATAGGTGCTCAGTTTACATCCAAGCGAAATATGCAAATGTGCAGCGCTATTCCATTAACATGTACTTGAGGGGTCGTGACCGTTTCTAAGAAGATGATGCAAAGCATACCTCAGAGCTAGATCAAATATTAGGTTCTACCGAAAGTTCTTTCGCACAAATTCAAAAATTCATAAATTCTGATTTTTTCAACCAATTTGACTGCTTTAATTTTTTATGAAAGAGCAAGTCATGCTCTTTATAAGGACATCTTAGCTGCTTACTACTAATCATCTGTTGCATAGATAGGAGCGATAGAAGAAAATTGGTCAAAATTTGCATTTTCTGTGTAGGATCATAAAAAATCGGAAACTTGCAACAAAAATCGGAGCAGTCGGTATTCTAGGTTCTTTCGCCAGCTCTTTCTAACAGTGCAGAGTTTGTGATGATTGAGCGTCTCTACGAAAAGTTATAATTTCCCTGAAAAAAGCCAAAATAAATCGAATTCGCCCTTTTCTATTGCATGCTCGAAAATCATAACTTTTCATAGAGACGCTCAATCGGAGCAAATTTTGCACTGTTGGAAAGAGCTGGTGAAAGAACCTACAATACCGTCTGCTCCGATTTTTGTTGCAAGTTTCCGATTTTTATGAGCCTACACAGAAAATTCGAATTTTGACTTATTTTCTTCTACCGCTCCTCTCTGTGCAAGATCTTTAGCAAGCAGCTAAGATATTGTTATAAAGAGCATGACTTACTCTTTCATATAAAAATAAAAGCAGTCAACGGTGGGAGAAATCAGAAGTTATGAATTTTTGAATATGTGCGAAAGAACTTTCGGTACAACCTAATGTCTTATCAGGGCTGAGAGGACTCTTCGAGAAACTAACTGCTCATTATATAGCTAATAGTCGTCTGCGCAGTGATGCGCACCATGGAAATCACTGGAATTTTTCACGAAAATTTTCTTGCAAAATTATTTAAAAAGACCCGCTCATTTCGCTTTCCCTATGGCGAAAATTCTAAGTTTTATTTTGTTTGAGCCGCAAGAGTGCGAAAATTACCTCTTTCTTTGGTATTGAGTGTTTTAGGCTTATCCTTACTACATGGAGCGAAAGTTCCGCGAATGCGTTATGCTTAGAATATTTATGCGATTACAAAGACCGCTAAGTCAAGTCATGTTTGCTGCTGCGTTCATATGCATTGAGAATCGCATTTCGGTAGGCATTTTGTAGCACAAGTTCTCCACAAACGTTACCTCTGTCTCAAAAGAAATTCCGGTTTAGTGTCTGTACATTTGACGGCAATACGGGAAAAGGTGATATTGCGCACTTGGCTTGGTTACGGAACAACAAAGCCTGTGGAAAACGGAGTATATTAAAGAATTTGAAAGTGTTTTCAGATGAAGTAGGCAATGTTAATGAAATTTTGGTTTTATTCTTCAAAATTAGTAGTTTAAAAAGGTTTGCGAAAAACGGGTACATCTTTCGAATAATATGGTGTCAACTGTAGTGTCTTTTTGCGTGTGCTTGCGCATTCGCAGCGCGGGGTCTCCTGTGCTGGACTGTGAATGGGCAAATGGAAAACGAGGCACTTCCGAAGCGGATGTGCATGGTTGAAAGACTATAGATTTTTTTCTAAAGGGTGTTTTTCCTGTCATCCGCCTTACTCAGTTCGCTCAATTCGTCTTCTGCCCCTTTCCTCAGTTACATTGCACTAGAAGTCAAAATCAAGATGGAATTTAGTTTAGTCTATGCGAATATCACTGGCACTTTTCTCCACGGCTCGAGCACTACTTCGCGCTGAAAAGGGAGCTGCCTTCCTTGCCGCCGTCGATGCGCGACTGACAGCTCATCGGTCGGGCGATGGTGTAGGTGGAGATCAACGTGCTGGCTACTGGGATGGAATCTCTCGAGCTGCACATGTGGTCGAGAAAAGGCGACACGATATTGGGATAATCAAGTCATTCATCGCAGGTTTTGAACCATAAGCTCTGAGAAAAGAGTGAGCGAGAAGTTGCAGCTTTACAGAATCGAAGGATGCCGATTTGCGAGAAATAGCGGAGGAAGATCGACAGGAAGCTGAGGACGCTTTAGCTTTGGCCGAGGAAGAATTGGTGGACAGCATCGTACCATTGACAGAGCTAGATGTGCTCAATAAATGCCAAATAGAGTTTACAAGGTGGGAGTCTTGAATGTGCGGAAGTTAGATGCAGTACTGATGAGAGTTGGGAAAAATAAACTGGATTTTCTCTCTAATTTCCCGCATTCGCTATCGCAACAAATTTCGAGTATGGGCAGACTGCTATCTGAAAAAAATTTATACCCGCTTTTCGAAGCAATTTTTTCATACAATACTGCCACCAGATATGATAAATGCAGTTAACGTTTGGTTCTTGGATGGCAAATCCTGCACTGGGAAAGAGATTATCATATTACCGTACACCTACCGTAACAGATAAATTAGGATGTTGAGATACGTCGACGTATGCGCTTTAGGGTGATGTGTATGTATATGTTCATTCAATATCGAATTCGTCCGCTCTGGGAAGAGATAAAACTTTGAACCACTGTACTTTATGGTAGGTGGGGGAACGAACTCCGCCAGTTTATGCGCTTCCGCGGACTACTGATCCTGCAACGACATGCAAGAACATTGCAAAAGGACCAGTTGCCAGCGGAGGCGGCTCAAAACTGGCGGAGTTTGTTCCCCTAACCCTTTTTGTTTAGGGTAAATAGAATAAATATAACAATATCGAAATCGTTATTATTGTGGTATCGGCTTGTTGAGAGGAACTTTGATGTACTACACTACTGTAAGGTTACGGTAGAGCAAGCGAAGCTAAGTACTGAAAATCGGACAGAACTCTTGTTCTTTTCAGAGGAAGTCTAGAAGTGGGGTTTTTTCCTGTTTAGTGGTGCTGGTGGACAAGAAGCAATGCTCTTCACCGGCGAACTGTTACAAATGTACTCGAAATACACAGAATGGCGAGGGTGGAAGTGGACCCCTCTTCAAATGCAAGATTCGGATCTTGGTGGGATACGTTCCGCAGTGATTGCAGTTGAAGGCGAGAGAGCTTATGCTGCTTTGAGGTGACACAAGAGTTTCTACATTTTTCGAAGGACGAATGAGATTTTCAGATTTGAAGCTGGAGTACATCGAGTACAGCGGATTCCGCTGACAGACAAATCAAGAATGCATACCAGCACAGCTAGCATATCGGTTTTGCCTGAACCGGAGGAGGTTCAGTTGAATTGGGTGGTTGGTTTAAAGTTTGACATACTATTTCCAAGATTTAGGTGTCCGTGGTGGTTCCAAATGATTCTGTTAAAATTGAGACAATGAGAGCATCAGGACCTGGCGGTCAAAATGTCAACAAGAGGTCTACAGCTGTTCGGATTACCCATAAAGAATCCGGAATCGCGGTTCATTGCATGGATGAACGATTTCAGCATCTTAACATACAGGTTATTCAAATTAAGTGAATTACATATTGTACAGTATCGTTGATTTGAAGGTCAATATAGTGCACTTGCGGTGACGACAATATTTGCGCGAAAACACGCACCTTGGCGGTTGAGAAATGGCCATGGAGTGACTATGCCATTGTTTACGCGCATATGTTGTTGGTAATGCAAGAACAATTTTGACCGTCAAATTTATCGGGATTTAGTATATCAAAAGATGCCAAGTTTCCACAAAAAGAGCTTTTCTCGACACATAATTGCTACTTAATTCCGCTCAACAATTTGCCTTATCATTTTCTATAATTTGGAGAAGATAAATAAATATCAATAACTTTGAGAAAGTTTTTTCCATTCTATACTTGTCCTCCTGGCTGTTTTTTTGTAATTTCATTTTATCGTAAGGAGTAATAATCTTCTAAAACATTCTAATTTGATAAGTAATTGATAAGTAATTTGATAAGTATTGAGTTTTTTTTCATTTTAGGGTTTTATGATTGTTTATTTGATTTCAATTTGAAAAAGGAGTGACATAGGAAGGATATTAGAACAAAGCGTTAGATTTCAGATTGCTTTCAAAAGGCTAGCAGCTATCCTGATGCAGAAAAGAGTCGACGAAGTTAGCGAGAAGTTCACGTCGGATCGAAAGCTACAGGTATAAATTGATACTGAATACTAATAAACTCTTATTTGATGGTCACTTTATCAGGTCGGATCCAAAGCTCGTGCTGAGAAGATTCGAACATACAATTTTCAACACGATAGGGTTACCGATCATAGGCTACAATTACAGGTCTGTGCATTATCGGCCATCTACTTTTCTAAGAAACCTTTTCTGATTTTTTGTGAATTAAGTGATTCCAACGGAAGTGATTTCGATCAATAGTTACTTTGATTACTCTTACATTTATTACGACAGAGAATGATGAACTGTTTCCAGATAACAAATGTCGAAGAGTTTATGCGCGGTCAGGATTCCCTAGACCATGTGATTCGGAAACTCGGTGAAATGTATAAGCACGAAAGATTGAAGCAAATTCTTGAACACTGTATCCTGGATTGAATGATGGAAGACGACAGACGTTTAATATGGTGCCTTTGCGGTGGTGACAACATTTGCGCGTAAGCAAATGCATTGCATGTAAATCAAGAACTTGTTCGCCATTCCCGCGTAAGAGACGGCCATAGAACGCACACACTTTGTCCACGCACAAATGTTGTCGGCAATCGCAACACTATTTTGTAGGTTTACTAGACATGTATCTTCAAATAAATTAGGTGTTAGCTGATTTAGGATGAATTTTTGACTCCAAGTTTTTTTTGCGATAAGGTGCGACTTCTACCTGATTATGCTATTTTGATCTTTGTTCTTTGTTGAGATTCATACTTCCCATAATGAGAAAATTGTTATGTTCAGATCACTTCCTTCTCATTTGCTCTTTTCATAAAACGGGTGCAGCAAAAAGTTTTGACCTTGAAAATTGAAATAAATACATTTTGTACTTCCTGAAGTTTTGTATATGTGGAACTTTATCAGCTATACTTCCCAAAAAATGACATGTTGAAAATTGACATGTAATGTAATGAAAGTGAGAAAATATGCACAATTGTTACAATGGAATTGTTGAGAATCAAAGAAAGAAAATTTGGCCTCGTTATCACCAGAAAATTGGTGAGAATTGGCTGAAATCAATCATGCTCTACACACAACAATCGTACCCAAAACTGACAATTTTGAGAAAAATATCTTTTTGTCACAGATTGAGAACATTTTAGCACTCAAATAATGAATACCAATTAAAATTTACACAGGAGTGGTGCCTGCCGCATTGTATTTGAAAATTCGATGCAATGAATCGCCCAGAGCCGGGACCAGATTTGTTGGTTGCATAAGTGAAATCACATGATGAAAAGAACGTTTTGGCGGAGAAGCTGCTGAGAATAGCGTACGATAGTAGCTGAGTGCATCTTGCGAGGATCGAATCTGAAATTGTGTAAATGCACAAGTTCCCATAGTAATCCCTGCTATTTGATTTGCAAAAAAATTTTTCCGTCGCAGCACCAGTTCAAAAAGATTTTGCTAGCATCACTTTGCTGAATATTTTCTTATTGGGAAGAAGAGTTCATTTATAACGAGCCGAATTTTTGCATACTGACAAGGGAGGTCGATTAGTCGAAGTAGCCTTTCCGAATGAGCCATATACCCTTTTGAAGAGCGTTAAACGCTGATTCCGAGTTTGATTTTATTATCTGCCGAGCGCCTCTGCATGTCGAGTTATAAATGTTTTTTGGAGCGAAAAATGAATGCAGAATTCATGTAAAATTAACTATTACGGGCTTTTCAGCGCCTAAATAGAGCAACAAGTAGTATGAGTGTTTTGTACAAAAGGTATCCGTTGAAATGGAGTGCTCTGATAGTCAACATTGGACCATTTGAGCAATTCTGATGAATTTTGTTCTAATTACGCCTTCGATTTTTCAACCCAAAGAACGCTCATAACTCGGCGACCAGAGGAGCTCGGCAGATATTGAAGACAGATTCGGAATCAGCGTCTAACGCTCTTCAAAACCATATATGACCCACTGCCACTTCGACTACTTGGACCTCCCTGTGAGTCAATCCAGCCGAAGAACGCTTAGAACGAGATATATACTGGAACGCTGAGTTTCAATTTATGTGTCACTATTTGCTGAATGCACTTTGGAGAAGAGCTATGACCATATTTATCATAGCGCAAAATGAAAATACCGTAACGGGATTCAAACCTGCTGCCATTCGCCTAGAAAACGTCACGCTTATCGCCTCACAACATGCCTAGAAGGCAACATCTTTTTTCGGTTACATTACTCCAACGGGCGGCCTGCTGTCAAAATTAGTGATTTTAGAAGGCTGTTCAGCAAATAGTGAAGGCGGATTTGAGCGTTTCAAACCGAGATGGACCAAATATTTCTTGTTACCAACAGCTAGATCGACTTGTTATCTTTTTGGTGATTAGCTAACATGTGATCGGGGTTTGGTAAGTTTACGATTGCTAGATAGCCACATCAGAAATAAATGAATACAACCAATCTCATATCCCAACAGCATGAAAGATCACCGTAATACGCATTAAATTGTTTTCTTTTGAGTTACTGCGATGCTTTCGTTTCGCTTCAAAAGTATTTGGTTTGAAGGAAAAAGGTTGCGACGATAGCAAGATGGAAACCACCATAGTATTTTTGTAAATTCTTTTTTGTGAGCGTAGTGTAAGAGACTGGCACTTTTTCACTGCATACCATCTAAAAATAGTATAACTTGTATTTTGCTGTAACTGTGTATACTCTGCATGTGACATGTTCGCATGATAAGGTCTTTTTGCATTTTTTGCCGTTTACGGTTGGATACTGTATGAAATCAAATTCTCAGAATTCTGTAATTATTCAAAGAGGGTTTTTTTTACGCATTGCATGTAACATGATATTAATTCCTTGAAATAAAGCCTCAATGAGGGATTTCATACCGTAAAGCTATCGTAAGCAAACAATTAGATGCTAACGCAAGGAATAGAAACAATCACTGTAAATGTTCACTTTCTCAGACCAATGACCGGAACTTCCGCAGAGCGCTTGCGGAAGTCCCTCCGGGTCACCTGAGGAAGTTCCGTAAACGTGCTGCGGAAGTTCCGAATTGAGGTCCGAGAAAAAATAATTATTTTTTCTCGGTTCAAAACTGTTGCACGAACAAACAGTCAGGTGAAGGAAAAGGGGCAAGTATTTGGCTAAATGATGTGAAGCGGAAGTAGCTACAGTAGTTTCAGCATAATAATTATTATGTCTTTTTGCACCTCACGACTTGTAAGGAAGTCATATTGAAGTAGAGGAAATTGGTAGTGGCAATTAGCGCTATTCGCATCATTTCAGCTTTTAACAATCAAGAAACTCACATTTGCCGAAAGCTGTTTGAAGTCGAAACCACGTGACATGTCCTCAAAAGCATCCTTCTTATTAAACAATAAAATATAACCGGCATGAGCGAGAAGATCATTCTGGACGAGTTGCTCGTATATCGATATCGTTTTGTTTTTTAAATGACCCTAAAAGTAACTGTTCATAGAGAAAATACACATCAAATTCTGGTTAATATTTGTGCTCCTTAAAATTGCGCGATATTACAGATTGTGAAGCCGAGCAATATTTCCAGTGCTCAAAGAGTTTACAAAAATTTAAGTACTGGTCCTATTTTGGTCTACAATGCGGAGGAACATTTGTGGTATCATTGAGCGAAAAGCGGAACTAAACAGGGTCTGATTGAAGCCAAGACTTTCCAGTCAAGTACTTATTTTATAGTTGTAAAGATTTTTAAAATTTCTATGATAATACTTATAGGTTCAAAGTTCGAAAACACTTTAATCCAGATCCGATCTAGTCTCCTTTTTTCTTTCAGTGTGCATGATTTATTGTGTTCTTTACTTACTTCTCGTGGAGCTCCGATGTGAGATGAAGGGACACGGTTGCAAAGCTCACATGATTCTTGGCAAAAATTTGCTCCCCGAAACTTCACTACATAATAGAAATTTATCCCCCCCCCCATTCCCTTTAGACCAGCAAATTTTTGGGCCTCAAAGCAGAGCGCGCTTCAGCTCAACAAAATGGGAGGGATGCTCAGCAGGAAACCTTGGTATCTGAGATTTCAAGGGGCATCAACAAGCCAAGAAATTTTCATCGAAAAAGAGGGAGAGCGACGGAAATTTCATGCGAATGAAAATGTGTGGTTACTCCGTCATCGGCCTCAAGAAGTTTTTCGTAGGATGCACTTCTTCATAAGTTATGTAGATCACCTACAAAATTCTTACGATCCATGAGAGGTGGTGGCGCCCCTAACCTGCCCAGGAGGGAGTGAAGGGGGGGGGGGGGGAGTTCGTTTTTTTTTTGAGTTCTGTTTGCTAACCTTGTCAAGGCGTTTCTGCTATTCTCATTGGAAGAATCGCAGGATCAGCCTTTCCAAATGTCGAGGGCACAAAAACAACCTTGAAAGGTGCAGATATATAGTTTGAAAGGCAAGCAAACTATTGCTATCTAGCCTGAAAGAACCTTTGATGCTCTCTAGAACAAAAAATGTCCTAGCAGAGCAACTCTGCAACATCATATGCGAATAATTCACTATTTCCCTCTCACTCTGACATTAGAACATCAAGCAGCCGTGGAATCGCGGCGGCAATTACTTTTTTGCTAACATTTAATTCTATAGAGCACTTAATCACAGGTTTATATAATAGCGGCGACACATACCGTGTAGAAAGCAGAATCGCAGAGCTCGCTGAGGTCGATAACGAACACAACGACCGCGGTGTTTCGAAAGAAATCGCTCCAACGCCGTCGAAATATGCGATGACCAGGCAGCTCCAATACACTAAAACAATGGCAAAATATCGGTAATAGATTTAATGTATAACAGTTATTGTAAAAATATACACAATAAATATAAATATTATAAAAAAATAATGTTAAACATTATCAAATACAGGGTGTGCCCAAAAAATGTACCTACTGTTTGATTGTAAATAATTCTCTTGTAATGAGGTGTTTCGAGAAGCTTCAGGTACCATTTTGTAGAGCGAGGTTAAACTTAGATTCACAGTATGGAGTGGATCATTTATCGCTTCATTACTGTAGGATTACGGTACAAACTTCGACAAGGATTTTAGGCCATGGAGGGCTATATTCCGCCTCGGAACAAAACCAAACAAGCCAAAAACTTTTATGCTAAGCTAATGGGAGCCGCTGATTTCGAATTTGGATTTCTCATTTTACTGTGATGCTTCTTTCCTAAGTTATCCCCAGCAAATCGTATAACTCAATTCCATTTATCAGAAATGTAATTACACCGTCAAAAAGCTGAAAACACTCGTAAAAGCTGTTAGGTGGAATCAGCGTGAGTGAAAACCCTAGTACATGATTTTTCAGATTTTTTGAAAGAAATTTCGTTAGGTGGTATTTCACAATGGTTCCGCATGCTTAAAGTTCTTACCGTAATTCTACAGTAATGAAGAGCGATCGACAATTCGCTCCATACTGCAAATCTAAGTTTAACCTCGCTCTACAGAATGGCACCTAAATCTTCTCGAAATATTTCATTTCAAGAGAGTTTTTTGCAATAACACTAGATATAATTTTTTGGAACACCTTGTATAATTATTATACTTTCATTGTTTAGTCTTCCACCAATAGTATGTAGCGAGATTGCGGGTACCAAGTTCACAAACAATAAGATTCAGAGACCTTCTTTCCTTACTGACGAGCTGTGGGAAGAAGTTCACATTTTTTCACTCCGTTTAAGGACAATAACAAAACGAACTTGCATGATTTTTCTACCAATGATAATTCTTGCCATTCTCATATTATTACTGGTCATTAACCTCTCCTCATACTATAAAACCATGGTATAAATTGTGAATAGTTCTCATATGTTCAAATTTTGCGAAAAAAAAAAGAGCTGGTCTCTTTCTTTTGTAGACCTTTAGGTATCATTCTGTAGAGTTAGCTTTACCTAAAGTTCACAATATGAAGCGATTTCTGATTCGTCCTTACCACGTAGAAATACGATAGGAACTTCCAGCATGCAGCGTCATTGCGAGATGAGGCGTTTGATAGAAAATTCCAGAAATTGCGGAAAAATGTATAGCAAGGTAAAAAGCTGGCTGTTATAGTACACCTCGCTTAAATTTTAGAAAAAGCATTACGGCAAAATTCGAATTCCATATTTGAAGTCGAAGATTCTAATTAGCCTAAAGGGCCGGGCATACTTCACGCGATTTCGGTCGCGACGCGATTTGGCAATTCGCCAGAAGTCCTCAGATCCAACACTAGCATTCTGCACATGCATAGTGTGTACAACTTAGGTGGATTGATAAAATGCCCTATCTTCTGTACATTTGAAATGTGCTTACAGTGAGTTATGGACAGTTGGAATATTGCCAAGTCGCGTCGCGGCTGAAATCGCGTGAAGTATGCCCGCCCCTTGATGTAACAGTTTTCAAGTTGTTCGCTTTCTTTTCTGAGGTAATAAGTAGCTCAAATAGCTCGAAATCTTCTTTCGTAGCCCTACCGTAGTCCCATGGTTATTTGAAAGTGATCGGTTATTCGCTCCATAAGGTAAATCAAGCTCTACATAATGATACTTAAAGGTTAACAAAAGACTTTGTGTGAAGACAGATTTTAACGAGCAAAATACATAGATACATACAGCAAGATACATACTTTTGGGACACCCTATAAAATGTATAATAGATAATGGTAGATAATAGATAATTTTTATATTATAAAAGATAGTGTACTAGCTATGATAAAATTACTGCAAGCGGAAGAATTAGAACAGTTCTATTCACTGATTTAAATGTCACGAGTACCGTAATCTTGCACTAATAATCCGCTGTACTCGGAGTTTTTCACTTGTAAAGGTTACAGTTTGGCTGAGCATTGATAAAGGTGCTTTCTTTTATCTTGTGCTCGAGTTATCTCACACTTTGAAAGATCATAGGAGAATTTTTTGCCTAAAAAGGATGATATCATTGGAACCAGAATGAAAAAACTTTGTGATTTTAACAACAATCAAGTTTATTTGGCATTCACACCCCATATTTAGCTCTCTTAACATTATCTTCAACTTGTTGTACGAAATTTAATCACACGAGATATATCCAGTTGTTACGATATAAAATAACATAAATTGCTGTTAGATATCGCAAAAATGTCATGAAAGGTATTTATAAGTACTACTTACTATTTGGTTGCAACAAACACTTGCGACAAAAAATTCCAAAAAAAATTCATAAAAAAATACCTAGGCAACGGTATCAGCCTGTATAACATTTTGCTCGTTGTATATTGTCCCATTTCATCATGCATATTACAATTTTTCGGAATCCATAAAAGAATATGAAAACCACACTTCTGGTAGAGTCACCTAATCAGCATGAACTTACCTCAGTAAAAAAAGCGGTTATCTAGGGTTAAATTTAGAGGCTGTAGGACCTTTTAGCATTTTCATCCACCAAATTTAAAAAACTCAATTTGGTTTGTCTCTATCGACTTCTATAGCCGCTCTGATCTTATGGTTTGAGCACTTAAAAAGCAAATGATTTTCTCTTTTAGTAATTTATTATTTTATAAAATTTATTGTATTTGCAGGAGCTTACAAACTGAATTATGTTACAACCTAATATATTTGTACATCCCACGCTTGAACTTCTTCAATTTAATCATAATCTCCCTAGTTATCAAAAAAATGCTTTTCCTCATGAATTTCGATTAGGACTCATTTTGAATGAACAAAATACGTTTTTCGTATTCAAGTGATAATTGTTTAGGAGAAAATGCGAAATCACATAATCTGTTCTAGACCAAGAAGTAATAAAGCGAAAAAATTTTTCCCATGAAAGGAAATGCAAACTGCAGAAATCGTGACGTACATAAATCGTAGTTTCCAAACGAGGCAATTTTTTATCCTTTTGCTGCTACTTGGCTAAAGAAGTAATATTGAACGTAATTGTTGAAAAACTCTAGCACACGTTAAGTTTTAGTCAATAAATTGTCTTGATCAAATTATTTCTCGCCTTATAAATGAAATATCACCCAGTCCAAAGCCCGAAACTTGATGCAGATGTATCGAAAAGTTCAACAAAGTTCAACATCCTTACTCATATTTAATTTTTCCCATACGAATTGTGTGACCATCCAATCCAATTGTCGGAGTGTACGAACACAGAATGTCGGTTTCTGTGGGCACATAGCCATCTGCGATCATTCGATTCGTATGCTGTACAAAGCTGAAAAATTAATTTTGATTGCATAATAGGGGCGGAGGAGGACAGCGGGGGAGGGGAAGAGGAAGTAGGGGGATAGAAGTAAATCTAATTGTTTCGACGTCAACGACAATTGATTTATACCGCACTTAGCAGACGATGACGAAGTAAAGAAAATCGTTATAGAATCGAATACGTTTAGGCATTAGCTATTATAAGTATAAAGAAAAATCTAGAATACGTAACAATCTTACTTCTCGAAAAAAAAAACATTTGGAAAAAACTCAACGAAACATTGCGAAAATAGTTTGATTTTTCGCAATCACTTTGACTTTTCGAACTCAAGTACAAAATATTGAAAAAGATAATAAGGCGAAAATATGACCTGAGAAACCTATCTGACCTACTGCAAGCTTTGTCTCTGCAAGTGTCCGAAGGAGAAAATCTAAATATTTTTCGATGATCTTTTTCTGTTATTGATGAATAGAAAGCTTTTTGTTTTTTGATTTAGTATAGTCAATAAATTCAATGGTTGGGCATGGCCCGGCATACTCTCTTATAACAAAGAGCCCACTTGTCTGATTACACAAGCTTTTCCCAGAGAAAGTTAACTTTGTATTCTATTTCAGCTATTGACTTTCAAAAAACCTTGGAAATGACAAGATTTCTTCGGATCGATTGTCACAGAATTTGGATGATATTCTCCACGGGTGGCTTGGAACAAGTTGAACAAAAGCACTAGTTGTCGATTTTTCGAAGTTTAATTACCAGTCAATGTTCAGCATGAATTTTACTAGGTCAACTAACGATAATTTCGGCTCGCCTTCGCGGCTCCTACAAACGCTGCAAACAGATTTTTGCCCCGTTTTCGGTATCTTTGGAAAGAGCACACTAAGAGGATTCGAATTCGAAATCTTTTGAGTAAAATGCATTTCCAATGAAATCAATCCGTAAAGAAGTGAGAAACCCTACTCCTCTCATTGTACGCAAATATGCGAAATTCGGTTTTTTTTTGGCCACAGAATGTTGAAATGGTCACAAATTTCATTGTTATTCGCCAAGTAGGGAAAACTTTTCGTATTCAAATTTCTTGCTGTTCTCCAAATCCACTGCAGCGGGTAGAGGACTATATGTCGCCGAAAAAGGGCGGTCCCCGCAGTCATTTGCGACAAATACGCACCCTTGTACATGCCGGACGTGCGTTCCTGCAGGGAATCCGCACGGGACTCTTCCAAATTCGGCGACATAAGCAAGAAAACAAAATTCAAAAAGTAGCAAGAATCGAGCTTTTGATTCAGCCATATTGCGGCATAACCGTCCCTTACTAATAGTTGGAAGTCCTGAAGGGTGGAGGTGAAAGAAGCTTTGAGTTACTTCTCCACAAGCAATCAAGGACAAAAACAAGGAGTTTTTATGAAGATATTTATCAAAACGAAATTGTTTTTCAACCACCCTAATTAAACATTATTTCTAGTGTTTCTTTCATTGATTGATTCTCAGTATACTTTGATGCAAAGAACAGAGCAGCCAGATTGCTTCTTCATTGCTTTTAAAATTCGCGCTTTATGTTTAAGGACGACTACGCCTTGAAAATTTCGACCATTGTGTAAATTATATTCGAAAAAGTTTTGGGCGAACCTGAGCTATCATTTCACAATTCAAGTTGATACTTCATAAAGAAAAGTGAAAGCTTTTTTAACATTGAGGTAATCACTGGGAGAAATGGTATTATACTACAGGAACACTAGGTGGTAAGGTACTCAAAATTTGAACTCACTATTTATAGTTGTAAGGCATCGGTAGTGTCCGTTTCTTTCGTTGGCATTCTTCCAACAAATGTGACCGAGAGATCGAAAGTAAACTGGCAACGACTTTGTCGCTGAGTTTCTCTCGATGTTTGAACTCGTACAGCACAGAGAAATCATTCTGAAACATACCATGTAGTCATCTGTAAGTAAACATGCGTCCTGCACACTATGCGCGCTATTTTACGACTTTTAAAATCAAAACTTGCTCTTTCCGGTAATTTCTCCTTGTATCCTTGTCTTTTTTGATTTAAATGGATATGCTTTAGTCAGTGAACAGATTGTTACGATATCTCGCGCAAAAAGATTTTGTTGAGGATTTACTAAAGAAAGTCGTCGGTTGCCGCGTGTCGTAGATTATTTGCGAATCTACAACCTTTACCATTGTAGAGTCATATTGTATGCTATATTCAGTATCCACTAGTTTGTCGTTGACAGACATTACTGTTCACTGACCACTTAAGCCGCCAGGTCACCCCTCCACTGTGCTTGATAGTCTACTTGGCGGCGCCTACTTTCATGTAGGCAATCCTTGATTCTGTATGATACTGTTATTTGCCAGAAGTGAGCATTCAGGTTATCCACGCCCAAAATAGTGGCATAAAAGGGCCTGAATACTCAGTTCTGGTGTTGGTTCGATTAATACCACTATCGTCAGCGGCTGTTCCGCATATTCACTGTTAATAGTCAGCGGCTGCTCCGCTACTATCTAATAAACAGTTATACCCGTTGTGGTACCAGCTTAGTCTTTACCAAATTGGTGCATCGGCCAACGGATCGTCTCTTCGGTGCTGCTCACCGAAATTCGATAAAAGTCCCGCGTGGCAGGCTACTAACAGCCGATATTCGACTCTCGTGATTGTTGGTCCACCACTCTCGCGAACAGGAGTCTTACTAAGCTGTCAGGCCCTATCCACAGCTTAGTAGAGGTTTCTAGCTAACTGACTGGTTCACCACAGTTAGCAAACAGACTCCTCGCACCTTTCGGCTACTAATTAGCCATATTCGACCCAAGTGATTGCTGGTTCACCACTTTCACTAACTCGGGTCTTGCTAAGCTATCAGGTCGTATCCATAGCTTAGCAGAGGTTTTCTAACTAACTGACTGGTTCACCACAGTTAGCAAAAGAACTCCTCGAACACTTTTGACTTTCCTAAAGTCAAAAAAGGACTCTGTGATTGCTGGTTCACCACTTTCACATACAAGAGTCAAATTGTTAAGCTATCAGGTCATATCCATAGCTTAGCAAAGAGGTTTCTAGCTGACTGACTGGTCCACCACAGTTAGCAAAAGAACTCCTCGAACACTTTTGACTTTCCTAAAGTCAAAAAAGGACTCTGTGATTGCTGGTTCACCACTTTCACATACAAGAGTCAAATTGTTAAGCTAAGGTCCTATCCATAGCTTAGCAAAGAGGTTTCTAGCTGACTGACTGGTCCACCACAGTTAGCAAAAGAACTCCTCGAACACTTTTGGCTTCCAAAAGCCAAAAAAGACTCTGTGATCGCTGGTAGATCCACTTTCACGTACAAGAGTCATCTTATTGAGCTGTCAGGCCCAATCCACAGCTTAGTAAAGAGGTCAAACTAGCTGCCTGGTCAATCCACAGTTAGCAGACGACCCTCATAAGCTCCTTGACAGTTGACCAACAACAGTCAAATCAAAGCTTGCTGCTAGCTATCAGGTCAATCCATAGCTCAGCAAAAGAAGCTACTTCAAGCTCTTTATCCGCATTCAGTCCATGCGAACAAGACAAACTATGTCGATGTTAGCTGGATTCAAGACGCGCATTTCAATGGCCTGCTCTTCGGTCAACAGCCTCGAAAGCAAGATCCTGAGTATAGACAAGGCATTTGAATTCCCTACTACAGCGACTGAATGCAATGCCTTCATAGCCGACAAAATGGCAGAAATTGACGAAATACAGATTTCTCTCACGGGTCTGCTAGAAAACCTGGAAGTCCACGTACAAAATGCTATAAACTTCATCGGCGCCAGGAAGGACCAATCAGAGGGTGAAAAGTTGATGAATGAGCTGGACACCTTCTTAACCTCTGAGGCCAATCGCGTACAATTAGAAGCAGTTCACTGGACAAACAAATTGAAGTACCGAATGAGAGAGCTCGAGAAGCAATCAAGCTTGATAGACAACTTCACTTCTTCAACGGCCCAAACACCACCACAAGCTACGGATACAGCTAGTACTCTCTCCGCCAGACAATACAGCGAGAACAAGATACGACTACCGCAGCTTGAAGTTCCCACTTTCGATGGCAGCTATAAGGAGTATCCAACTTTCTGGACAATATTCAACTCGCTGATCCATAGCAACCCGCAGCTCAGCAACGTGGACAAGTTCCTTTTCTTGAGGCAGGCATTAAAAGGAACAGCAGCTTCACTTCTTGGCAATATGCCAGTCATCGGAGAGAACTACGACAAAGCTATACTACTTCTCGATAAGCGCTTCAACAAGTCTGGATGCATAGCAGATCTGCTTATCACAGAGCTCGAAAGGCTTCCACGAGCAGAAGAAGACGCCCAAAGTTGTAGAAAAGCTCTGATTAGGGTGACGGAAAAGCTCACTCACATTGAATGTGCAGGAGTACCCTTGGACAACAACCGAATGTGGAGACGACTGATACTTTCGAAGTTTCCAGACTCGCTGAACGAGAACGTGCTTCGCGAAGAGCAGAGTGAAGGGAAATCATTCGCAATTGAGAAGATCCTGGACGTTCTTGAAAACGCTGTCGCTTTAAAGGAGACCCTCGCACTAACTACATCCGCATTCAGAGATTGCAACATCACGACACGCTCTGATTCCGATCAAGAAGTTGATGAGAGGCTGAACTACGAAGAAGACTCAATTGCATACACTTCCAAAAATCGACAAGGAGTTACATCGCCGAGAGATTTGAGTGCTCAATGCATTTGCGGAAGTTATCAACATGACGCGACGCGATGCACAACATTCCAAACACCAGCGGAGCGACGTGATGAAGCCAGAAAACAAAGGCTGTGCTTCAGATGTCTTCAAACCGATCACAGGATTAGTGATTGCATCAGCTCACAGTCATGCTACAAGTGTCACGGAAACCATCACACTGCCGTATGCATGGGTAGCTATTCAGCATCTAGAGGCACCCCAACCAGGAGATCACAGCAACGATATGCTCGCGATCAACATCTCCCAAGAGACCCTGAATTTGCACAAAATTCTGAAATTCTCCACAATAAGAGCACTAAGCGAGAAGGAGGAATGCAGCACGTACTGATGACGGCGACTGCATTTGCTTACGACTACACATCGACCAGCTGTAAGCCCGTGACTGTCTTCTTTGATGAAGGTGCACAAAAGAGCTTCATCAACACAAGGAAGACCCAAGCTCTTGGCTTACCAGTGCTGCAAAACACCACTTTCAAGATTGGCGGCTTTGGAGGATCTACCGCAAATTTCACATCCAGTGAAGTTCCGCTTACTCTGAGAACAATGTCTGCTGGAGTCGCTGCCAAAGCTGTGAAGATACATACAAAGTCAACACTCACTTCCACGATGAGCACAGCTTGGCTAAGCGCAGAGGATAGAAGGTTGATTCGAAAAAGAAAGATTCGAGTAGCACAACCGGATCTGAAGACGCGACGGATCACACCGGACATTCTCATTGGTCAAGATCTAATTGATCAATTCATCTTGAGGGATCGACCATGTACAATTCTTCCGTCTGGGCTTATTCTCACCCCTACTGTTTTCGGCCATGCAATCTCCGGAAGCAGTCGTATGTATGGAATCAAAACGGAGGAGTATTCGCAGAACACCGCAATCACCAGCGCCTCCTACCATCCAGTCAGTAAAGGAAACTCAGTGAAGCAGAAGCCAAATACAATTGTTGAACAAACGAACCGCGCAAGTTCCAAACGCCGTGTGAAGAAGCTCGACTGTTCGATTCGGGCAAAGAAGCTTGCACAACGTGTAAAGTCACCAACGAAAAATAGAAGCGATCAACGCAACAACGCTTTTGATGGACTGCAGTTCAATCGCAAACGCCGGAAATCAAGGACTTATGGACAGTCGGTGAAGAAGAACACTGATGCTCAACTGGGACATTTCGCTTCAGCGTTGCGCCTGGCCCCGAAGGCCGACCACGGCACGATGACAGACCACCGTACGGTTCTTAGACGAGGACACAACCCTGTTGTAGAACTCAAGTGATATATGTAATTTAACTAATGTTGTGATGATGTAATTTGAATTTGTTAACGCTTCAGTAATAGTGTAATTTGTATTTTCTTGCTTTCGCGCCTTCCGTCGCGCGCCCCACTGTCGTAGATTATTTGCGAATCTACAACCTTTACCATTGTAGAGTCATATTGTATGCTATATTCAGTATCCACTAGTTTGTCGTTGACAGACATTACTGTTCACTGACCACTTAAGCCGCCAGGTCACCCCTCCACTGTGCTTGATAGTCTACTTGGCGGCGCCTACTTTCATGTAGGCAATCCTTGATTCTGTATGATACTGTTATTTGCCAGAAGTGAGCATTCAGGTTATCCACGCCCAAAATAGTGGCATAAAAGGGCCTGAATACTCAGTTCTGGTGTTGGTTCGATTAATACCACTATCGTCAGCGGCTGTTCCGCATATTCACTGTTAATAGTCAGCGGCTGCTCCGCTACTATCTAATAAACAGTTATACCCGTTGTGGTACCAGCTTAGTCTTTACCAAACCGCGCATAGTGTGCAGCTCACATTGGGTTACAAATGACTCGAAAATACTTCGTTGTTCCCTCGTCAGGTATAATTCGCTTCTAGACGGTAATCGTCAACACACATAGGAGATAAAAGTGCATGAACGGTGTTATTATCGAAGCACCTAGCAACAGAGAGCCACCCTTTCAAGGCTTAACACGCGCGCATCTCCCTCATTATCTCGGCTTTCATGCGCATAAAGCGAGCGCGGAGAAAAAAAAGAAACTACTGAGATTTTTCTAGAAAAAAATTAGAGATTAGATCAGGAAGTAACCAGAACTGAAATCAAACTCGTGCGAGATCATGACACCATTTCAGTGCGTTATTCAGATTTTTTTGAACCAATCAATACTCACCTCCCAATTACTGTAGTCGACCTTCAATTCATCACATACGAGCTTTAATGCTCGCCAAACGGAAAGCACATTATGTTGCAAATTATGCGAGTAATATTCGAGCACCGGTGTTTGAGATCGAGTTTGTCGACTGAAAAGAATATTTTGGAAAAAAATTAACTCTGCAAGGTAATATTTTCAGAAACAATAAATCTTGTCCAAGCATTCCCTTCAAACAAAGTCAAGCTTACTCAACAGTAATCGATCTAAGATTTTGCCAATTTTGTGAATACCGGAGTTTTAGCCAAGCCATTGCCCAAGGCAGCTCATAGAACTCATCTGCTATCGAGAAAATTTGACTGCAATTTCTCGCCCAGACCGTAATTCTTTCCGAACAGACCAGTCTGAGTCAACAGTCTGAGCAAGGGTTTAGAATCGACATCGCGGTTAGAAATAGATTATCAAGTCAAATTTGCCTGGACACCGCTTCCGATAGCAATAATCACTCTGCCTTGATCCTTTTCTTTTTAGGATATTTTTTGGAAGAAAATAAACAAAACTCCCCAATACTTCTTCACATTTTGATCTTCTTTAGCGTAAGGCAACAAACAAACAGATAATAACTGATTGATTGGAGCAGATCAATACGCATAAAGAAAGTTCTAGTATGAGTGAGAAGATCAACTCTCTGGAAGAATCTCAGACGAATATTAATTTTTGAAAAATATGCTTACACAGTAAGAGCAAATGTAAGGAGCGGGTTCAAAAATACACTTTATGTTCTACATATTACTTTGTTCAGACGTGAAACAAGCGGAGCAGCTGAAATAGTTTCCTTTATTACAACGTAGATTTGTGTATGTACTTGCACTTTCAAGAAGTTTGTAGTTAAACAAAAGTTGACATATAGCTCAGGTACCATAAAAGTATAAAATAGTACAGATAGTAGAGATATTTTATGTATGCCGACTTCATAAGGAAGCATTGAAAATGAAAAGAAACAATTAGTTGAGAAAGGTATAAGGAGTATTAGTGGCGTTTTTCAGCAAAGAGAATGTTTTCATTATTTATTAACATAACAAAGTAGATTGATTCATGATGCTCGGAAATTTGATTGAATTTGCGGGATCACAATGGTGTGAAATAAACCGCTACTTGGTCCATACAGGTCAGTGGGTGAGGCTTTGGCTTGTTTGCTTTTCCCACCTACATATAACTTCCGCATGTCCCCTCTACTTTCCTTTTTGAAGAAATTCTGCAAAGATGATAGCAAATTTTGCAGTTGCGGGGCACAATTACCAGACGCAAATTATGGCGGCGGAAAAGATTTATTATAACCTATATTGAACTGGGATTATACTTCAAACATCAAACAATGGAAATATTTTAATGCTCCGAAGGGATGGAGTATGAGTTGAAAAGTAAGCTAATTTTCATGTTGTTATGCTCTTGCTGTCACAGGATGAACTTTACCGGGTAATGAATTTGTTGATGAGCAAGAAGTTCTCAAAACATTTTGAAACAGAATATGATGAGCTCCGTAACCGGTAATCGATAACTATCGTGGTTGCGCTAATACAGATTTTACTATAAAGTATGAGGTAGTCAATAGATACAATATTGAAAAATATTTTAACCCTTCGGGGATTAATCAGTTACCAAGTCTTTTCAGCATTTCGACACCATACAGTGAAAACTTAAAGTCGTATAAAAATATAAATGAATTTGCGATCAAGAATCACTTTAAATTGTTGCTATCTCCTTGATCCAGATGAGAAGATTTCCCCTTGAACAAATACGATTGAATTGAAATTTCGCTACTCATTGCACGTAGTATTTTTAAGGAGAAAGTTAAAACTTTAGTGCGGTGATTTTGTACTGATAATCTCAACTATAATTCCTAGTTTAACTTAATCTTTCTACAATGATTAGTATTTCAATGAACCGTATAGTGTTTGCTGTTCAGCACATCTTCCAAATCAATGATAACAAAATGCTTTGATCAATACTTCGAGAAATATTTTCACAACAGCATTGATTCGGATAGTCTGCAATACAATAATGACAAGTTAGAATGTTGTGTGATTTCTGAGCTTGCACACAGACGAACAACAAGCTATGTACAATCTCGCAAATTACGATAAACGAACAAAAGCTCGCTGATTAAGAAAATAAAGAGAATCGAAAAGATCCTGGGTAAAACTGCAGTAATGGTCGAGAAAAGTTCTTTTTGAAGTGGGGGGAGAACAAAAAAAATTTCAGATTGTTCGTAGAATCTGAAAACATCACATCGCAAGCTTATAACCCGTTTCAATATTTTTTACAAATTTGATAGTTTTTTTTATAAATTCAGTAACTGTGGTTACACAAAAATGGAACAAGCTAACTACAGAATAAAATTTCACAAGAAACGAAACACTCTCCCCCCCCCCCCTCCCCACCTCTTCCCCCTACAGCCACTCAAAATGGAATTGGATGGTAAGTGATTTTGAAATAACTAGTCACCCTTTGACAAAGGTGTTTTTTTTTTAAATCAATTTTGCTTCGTAAGATTTGTGTACCTGAATAATATCAATCCGCAGTTTTTACTGGCAGAAAAAGTGCATAGAACTATAAATAAGCTTTCTTATTACATCATCCCTGGGACCATTACAATGAAAGCTTAATAAACATCGAGAAATCCTTCAGACACCCCGCAATTGCTCGGTTAAGTCCAATTATCCCTGCATAATCCACTAACGACGACTGATAGGCAATAGGTGAGGTGATCGGCGATGCACTCTACGATACATACTGCAGTGAATCAAAACATTACCTCAGCTCCCAAGGAGGGGTACGGGGGGGGGGATGTAAACATTTAAAAATGAAAAGAGCAGACTGATAGCTTTAGTTAGCAATTTTCGTATTGTAATGTATCCACTAGCAATCAGAGGTCAACAAGTCTGGAACAGCGGGAGACGAATATATTGATACAATGAAACAGCGATGTTCATACAAATTTTGTAACTGCAAACTAGGCGCAAGCGAAAATGGCGCGAATTTTGAAATTACATAGTCTAGGTGAGTTATAATATGGAAGTGATATGTTTCAATTTTGATTAGCTAATTAATCCTTCTGATCAATAATTCTTTCATAAATAAATATATACAAAAAATGTAAAAACACAATCAAGACTTGCAAAAAAAATGATTTGGGAGTAAGGCTGCTGTTATTGAAACTTCTTTCAAAATTTAAATGTTGTAACCTTGCAAAAAAATCTGTAGAGTTCCTCAAAAGAAAAATCCAGGGGACTACTTCAGAACGTCACTGGAAATTAGCTAACAAACTCGTCTTAGTGTTTATAGTGTTTTTTTTTTTTGGCCAAACAGAAATTTTTATTGACATTTGGCTCCAAACAAAAAAAGTGGAGGATTTTGACAGTTCAGGGTATGCAAGAGAAATTTTTTTCGAAATTCTAAAGAAGTTACCGCTGGATAGTCAGGGAGAAGAATCAAAAGAGGCCTATATAACTCGAAATAACAATTTCGCAAAAATGCTTTATAGACGCATAACATAATATAAGCTACTGATCGAATACTGTTCCTTTTGAACTTCTTTGTACCTCAAAGCATGTACTTTAAAAATCATTAATGAGTCAGTGAATACGAATGAAGTATTTTACACTATTATTGCCCTAAAAGTACAGTACATTACTTCCTTGTGAGAGTTTCTATGAGTTAATGTTCCTTTCTTGAAATCAAAAGTGAAATTCTAGAAAAAAAACCTACTGGTTCCAAATGTGCAAGAAATGACAGGAATTGATATTCATAAAATATGCAGACAAATTTTTCAAAATCGAAAATAGTTTTAACAGTGTGAGCATTGTAGTTCAATTCTGAGCCTAATAATATTTCATTATTTCTAGTTTTGTAATAAGAATGTAAAGAGGGATGATTCACAGAAATCTGATCCTTCAAAAATGGTAACTGTAATCTCAGCTTTAGCTATACGATACATACAGTATATTTACAGTAGTTACTTCATATAGTCGGTATAAGATTAGATTCTAGACTGTATTATTTGAATACTTTATTGCAGATCAAAGCTGTATTGTTTCCTCAAAGCTCATTGTTTTCAAATCTCTGAATTTGTCTTTATAGATAAATTATTTTCAAAACTGATGGAAGCAATAATTTGTGAAAAAACGGCACAGAAACGCGTGAAAGACTCAGAAATTAATATTTTAGTATTAGCTTTACCATGTCTACATATGCTACAGAATTTGTAGCAGCTTATAACTACAAGTGCGGAAGCAATTAAGCAAAGCAATAAAATGTTGAGGACATAGTAAGCGAGCTTTACGAGACAAATGTGATGATTAATGGTTTGAGTGTTTTATTCTTAGGAGCATTAAATTAAATGCAGACTTCAACTCACTTCAACTGCCGACATAACGTTGTTTTGCCGCTTCCCATACAGCCTGAAAAGTGTGAAATTCAAATAAGGGAGCAAAACTCACAAGGATTCTAAGGATTTGTACATATTGTATTGTAGATTCTAAGGAAGTTCAGTTTGAGGAATAAGCAGTTGAGTATGTTAGACTACAAACAACTCTTCGCCATCACTTCATTACAAAGTTCTATACAAACGCAGATTTAACCGCTAATCGTAAATTCATCCGTCAGGTTGAAACATACGTCTCGCAATAAAAATTCCAAAAAAATCTATTTAAAATTGCTCAAGCAGCCTTTCCAAACCGCATTGTTTACAATATACGCAGTGTTGTATCATGCATATTATAGTTCTAATTTGAACAAAATCAAAATTCGAAAAATAAAATTGAAAATCACAACTTTTCGTATAGAGATCCAATTAGCACAATTTCATCGCAAAAAACAGAGGTTGCTAGAAATTCAGCATTTTTAACGATCGCAAATCAAAAAACTAAGATTTAGAGCTTGCGTTTATCAGGTTTTATTGCCGCTACAAAATAACAGTAATTTTTGTTCTCACAATTAGCACTAGCAAAAACCGCATGATTTTCTCTATTTCATATTATATCGAACAGAGTCGTTGTATTTGTAGGATCTTATGGATATTTCAAAAATCTGAGTACAAGACTTATGTCCCAGAATGATACAAATGATAATATTAGGTTGTCCGGAAATTAATGCAGGTTTTGAATTCCAACCGCAATAAGTCGTACATTTCTCATTTCTAAGTAGGTTGCAATACATCATTCGATAGAGCAAAGCAAGCTCTACAAAATGGCATTCTTGATTTTGCAACAGCTCTAATCCACCACGAGTTTCGAGCCAAAAACTAAAAAGATTCAACTACTCAAAAAATCGAGAAAAATCGTAACTCAGTTCATAAAAATCCTACAAAAGTTCTAATTCGCTCACGTAAACACTATCCATATAAGACATCTATGTACGCCGTTGCCGTATTTTTTTCTCGGTTAGAAACCAAGAAAACGAAGATTTTCATGTTTCTGCCAAAGTGATCCTGTGCCGTTCCCACATAAGTAGTTGTATACTACTTTACCTGTTGAAGTACAGACGTAAATTTCCAGCTCTCTACAAGCTTCAGTTCTCGAGAAATTTGAATTTTAGCTTGAACCACATGACTAGGAAAAGTGTATTCGATATTTCTCGAAAACTAAAGCTTGTAGAGAGCTGGAAATTTACGTTTGTACTTCTACAGGTAAAGTAGTTACAACTACTTATGTGGGAACGGCACAGGATCATTTTGGCAGAAACATGAAAATCTTCGTTTTCTTGGTTTCTAACCGAGAAAAAAATACGGCAACGGCGTACATATAAGTCTTATGTGGACAGCGTTTACGTGAGCGAGTTAGAATTTTTGTAGAATTTTTATGAACTGAGTTACGATTTTTCTCGATTTTTTAGGTAGTTGAATCTTTTTGGTTTTTGGCTCGAAACTCGTGGTGGATTAAAGCTGTTGCAAAATCAAGAATGCCATCTTGTAGAGCTTGCTTTGCTCTATCGAATGATGTATTGCACCCTACTTAGAAATGAGAAGTGTATGACTTATTGCGGTTGGAATTCAAAGCCTGCATTAATTTCCGGACAACCTAATATATACGTAAAAGTGCTTTGGTCAACAACAGTTGGGAAATTTTATACTCGTAATTGCAAGCGCTAAGACATCAATCTTCAGAAAATTTATGTCCAAGGTGTAAGCTTCCACTCCACGAACAAATTATAGATTCTATCGAATGCGCTCACTAAGCATACATAAAAAGGCTACTTTGATGTCAATTAGTTTGTCCCATAAGTACTGCACTAAAAAATCACGAGAGTTTGTTCAAAATTGTGCAAGATAACGACTTGACTCAAATCGTTCTACAACGTAGAATTATTTTGCACACTTCAGCACTTTCGAGGACGAAATAAGAAAAAACATGGTTTGAGTTCTGCACGATTCCCCTGATAATCTTCATACCGAGTTATGTGAGAGGATGAATTACTCTTTCCAACACATTTGGAGGGAAAGAAATCAGTGATAATGGAGAAATTCAAGCACTTCAAATTGGTATAAGACTTTTATCACGACCCTATATAAACTAGCGTAGCGATTCTTCCCGCGGTACTTTATAGAGCACCTTTTTCAAACAAAGCGCCCTACATGGGATCACGCATCTGGTAAAATATTTAGTCTACCTCTCAATAAAGTCTCAAAAGCCAAGTCAGAGATCTTGGTTCGCAAACATAGCTCCTTTGTTCCGCGAAAAGCCTTTTTAGGCACCGCAAAGGTTTCCAACAGTTTTGATTCCTCCTAATAGTAGTGTCAACATTTCGCATGATTACTACCTCGAACTCAGTAGATGACCCTTATACGCCCCTGAAGTAGTTTTCGCGATCTAATGCCTCGTGGTTGGAGGAAAGGTACTCTGAGAGATCACTTAGCTTAACTAATAAACAAGAGATGCTCTTAAAAAAATTCATAGTTTTCAGGTCAAGGATTAGTCGTCACAGCACAAAAGAAACTCGAGAAATTTCCAGTCAGACCTTAGTAGGTAGCCCTATAATTGAGATGGTCTAAACAATCTTGATAGTGATTCACACACTTCAATGTTGATCACTTGTGCAATTTAGCATGTATTTCACAAAATCGGTTGAACAGTGAATCAGTCACCAGCCTACGTTTTCTTGTGTAACTATATAAAGCAAATTCTTACCAATCAACCAACCTATTCAAGCTTACAGTAGAGTGAGAAATCTCGTAAACATTTATTCGGAAAACCACCCTATAGATATATGATACATGCACATTTTTGCAAGAAAAAAGAGAATGAAACATCAATATATAGAAGTAAGGATAACACAAGAATGCGAAAGACGCTTTTGGCATCAAAAGAATCACAGCACATAGCAATAAGCTTACCGAGTACAAGAATCCTTGGCGGTTCATCCTCTTCATTGAAAAAAGGCAATAACGTATTGAATCTTTGAGTAGAAGGTGAAGCTCCCATGGCGAAAGCGGAGCATCAGCCTACAGGCGTCGTAACGATTTAGCCAGTAAGCGTCACTAAGCACCGCCTCCGTTCATAGGGGGCGTGGCACGAGTAGAGACTTAATTAGGTTGAACACAGCACGGTTACCATCGCGATCAGCTAACAAGCCAAGATTAGCCACGCCACTGTCTGGGCGCTACCCAGACATTTAGCTGAAACAAACAAATTGTATACAAGAAAAAATCTCCGCAATTACAGCGACAAGACCAGAAAACAAAAGACAAACTCCTAGAAAAGGCATATGAATGACTTCAAGTGTCTCACCTGCCTCATCCACCACCTGCCATTGGAGGGCATGACATTCCACTACCTCGTGGCAAGCCGCCGATGTTGCGTCGAAATCCACCTGAATGCTTGCGTTTCAGGAAAAGATTTTGTCAGAAACGTAACGAGAATCGACTTTTGCATGCAACAGACAATTTACATTGGTGAGAGGCGTATTTTTGGGGAGAGGGGAGGGGGTTTACCTCAACAAGATTTTCGCCTCTGTTGAATTTTTTGAGATGCTTAGACAAATCAAATGGCCATTTTCGAAAGTCGTGATAAGTCAGTCGCCTCCTTCAGTCTTACCTGAACCCTTTCGCTAAAGTTCCGCTCGAAATTTCAAACGAAATGAGCAACTATGAAAATCACCTAACCAAGCAGCAGCTACAAAGGCATCTAGTACTCTTAATATACCTTGCTATGACAATAGTTCTTCATTCACCAAAACCTTACTTCCCAGTATAATCTTTTCCAGTCAAAGCATGCATGAACCGAGATTTTTGTAAAGCTTGGACTTATTATTCTCTGTGCGTTGTAGCTGATCGCGAAAGACCTTTCGAAGGGCATTTCAAAGGACAAAACCAGGTCAGACATTACACGCCCACTGACTAACAAAGTCATTCTTGCGCGTTTGATTCTAAGTTCCTATCTGTTAACACAATTATGGAAAATTTTAGTCAGAAGAGGCAAAACTTCTCGTTCGCAGGATTGCGAATGTCGCATCTTATTCTTCCCCAGTTCGCAACTCTAACCTCCACAGCATACTTATATGTGGGAAAGATGGCCTAAGCATCCAAAGACATGCAACAGGGTCGCGTCACATGCGACAGGGGTGCGTTAAGGGTGCGCTTGAATAGAATCTGGGAATTCGAAGAAAATGCTTGAAGGCATGCATTGCGATGGAATTCTACTGACTTAAAGTCTATTTTCAAACGAAAACCTCTGATCGCATACACAGGACGTACGAACTCCTACTGTTCGAACGCGCCCACATGCAAGCTTCGCAATAAACCTGATTGCCCTCGTCATGGAGCAGACTTTAGACACGCGAGCATATACCCTGTTTTTGGTAACAGACACAAATATCCTGTCAAAACCATCAATCCTTTTACCTTAACACAGAATAAAACTTCGAACATCAACAATGGGATAACACTTTGTGCCTCGCGTAAGCATCAAAAGATTCTAGAAAGGTTTCAAATAACTGACTGAACACTCCCTTACCGTTTCTTGGAGGTCCTCCCGGCCCGCCACTGCCAGGCCATCTTCCTCCACCTCCACCATTTGAACGCCTCAGAAAATCTCTATTCCGATTAGCATCTGTACCGCAGTCATTGAAACCAAACAATGACTTGAAGCTAAAAGGCAAAGAAATACAAAAATGAAAACAGACTTTGGACGGTCTTTTGCAGACGTCCAATCACAGTACAAAACCAAGATGTAAACTTACAACAAAATGAAGAACGAGAAGAAAGATAAGATGTAGGAGATGATGGAGCCATTGGTCTCACGAACATTTCCACCTAGAAGCAAGCAGAATAACTATGTAGCTCAAACATCATTCGAAAAATTCGAAAAAAGCTGATGAACCGCCTTCAACTGCTAGTCTCTAAGATGGTAAAAACACTTTGAACAGTGAGGAACTTCAGACTGGAGGAAGGATATCTGAAGCCAGGGGTCAAAAACTGCTGAAATTTTCGGCGCTATTCCAGTATCCGGGCCCCAAAATTTCTTTTGACATGGATTTTGCTGAAACTTGCCCCAGGGGGGTTATTCGGTCCGCTGATGCTGAATATCACATTGGTTTTGTACCGTAGCGTCATTTTTCGGGTTACGGTAGGTATACGGTAAGGGGTCAAAATTCCAGAATTCGCCGAAACTTGACCCAGGGGGGTTATTCGGCCCGCTGACCTGAATATCACATTGGTTTTGTACCGTAGCGTCATCTTCTCGGGTTACGGTAGGTATACGGTACGGGGTCAAAATCTTAAAATTCGTTGTAACTTCGCACAGAGGGGTTATTCGACATGCTGATTGGAAATAACACCTCGCTGCATGGTTACGGTAGGTTTACGGTAGGGCTCAAAATCACAAATCGGCAAATGTATCTTTCCCCTGTGCTTTGCTTAAACAAAAGCCGCCGCAAGGCGTGTAGCGCGCGGCGATCGTGTGTGCAAAGCTAGCTTCACGATCGTCCGAATCGCCGTACACCCGTTTCAGGCAGAACTATATTTTTCACCCGTTACCGTATACCTAACATAACCCGAGAAAATGACGCTACGGTAGAAAACCAATGTGATATTTGGCATCAGCGGGCCGAATAACCCCTCTGGGCCAAATTTCAGCAAAATCCATGCGTAAAACATTTTGGGGCCCGGATATTGGAATAGCTATATGATCAGTTACTTGAAAATAACACAGATACAATGCTTTGAAAACATTACAAATGCTTGCTAAGCCTTCATTGAAAGGGCTGATAGACTTTTTCCCCACAACGCCCCATTACCATGAACTTGCTACTTGCTACACTCAAACATATGCTCCATCTCAGTACAAATAACATACATGCTGAATTCTAAAGAAAAAGGGATCTTTCTGCCCAGACTTGTCAATTCCATTTTCACAGTTGCCCAAAACAGGCAAACGATCAAGTTTACCAAATATTATCACGTACTGTACGTATAAAGAAAAGTGCAAAAACGTTCTACGACAACATATCCCTGGTTTTATGCCTGGAAGACACTCGCCTCTTTGTTACGATAAAGCACCAAGGTTAATACCGCTTGCCGTGGTAAAAATTGAAGAAAAAGCTTGAACCTAACCTTTACCAAAGAGACGCTCGCGCAATTAAGGAAAGTTTTCAAAGCACGGTCTCAAGAGCAAATTCTCTTCATCGTTCCCCATATGGCTGGTCTGTTAGTATCCTTTCTCTTTAGCAGCAGCACTAATACAGAAAAGATGTTTGGAAGGAGAAAACTTACTTGAATCTATATACACCATGGTTTCAGACCTGGTATCCACTCAGTCCATATGAGTTCGGGGCTAAATCAGGCGGCGATTAAGACACGAACTTATCAACAAGAAAATACAGGAGCACTTCAAATACTCAATCTTAGATGTTGAGATGGAAAGCAAACGCCAGAGGGAATGAAAAGCGTGAACACCGCCTTGGTGAGAATGATGACTAAAAGGACAAACTGGTTCGGAACCGCTTCGATGATCACGTGAATAACGATAGCAATCAATCGCCATGGTGTAGCAGATGACCATGAACACCAGTATTACGCCTTTCAAGATAAACAAGTTGATTCATAGTCAACTAGCATTATCGGAGACGACGTACGGTATATGCCCAACTTCCATCGGCTGCGAGATAACGTGCTCCAAACAAACAGAGCCCCAAATCTTTTTAGAAGACCTTATTTTCAGCGGTGTTTTCTTCAGACACATTACCATAAAGAAACTATAAAACTTCTTACTAGTTACGGTGTTACTTTTCCCTATAAACTTCAAAATCGCTAAAGTCATATGGATTAAGGTCTTTTTTCCTGGCGATTCCATGTTGTATCATTATAGTGACATCGACTTTGGTATCTAGCTCATTTCTACACACTTGCGCTAGGTGCACAGTCTAGATTCAAGAATATTGTGCCAGGGAAGTTGACTTTGTGATTTACTTGGATACGTCTTGATGAATGCCTTGTGTGATTATGTTCTTAGGAAAACTACTGCGAAAAATGTTTCGATCATTCCAAGAATGACATTGCGCACCGCACAAAAAATCTTTGGGGAGAATAAAAAGGTAAAGAAGTACATGCTTACTGAACTGTAAGGCATGCGTCACTGCTGGATCAAATTCATCTCAAATCGAAACAAATAATACAATTTTGGGGCAGAAACGCTTCTCCTCGAAATACCACAAACGGTGGCGAAACACCCTCTACTGAAGATATTGGGAACGACAAAAATCAAGAGTAGTGAACGAACCGTTTGTTCTGGAATTAACACACATCGACACCGGCTAAGTTTTTTGGGCAAATCCGTGACCTCGGCTTTGCTCATTCTTTATCTGAGTGAGAAGAAGAAGATAATAGAAAAGAGGGAATTAACAAAAAGATACGTCTATGTGACTACCTTACGTAACTATGCAAGAAAGGAATTCGCAATTAGTTCACCTTAATTTCGCATAAAAAATAGCCCAGTGACATAAGAGTCAACTAAAAAAAAGCAATTTTGAAGTTTCTAGACGGAAGAGAGATGCTGCACCGGGAAAAAATTTGAGATTTCACTCTTGATAGTGTGTCTGAAGAAAATACGTCGAAAATAAGGTCTTTAAACAAGATTAGGGCTCTGTTTGCTTGTAGCACGTTATCTCGCAGCCGATGGAAGTTGGGCATATACCGTACGTCATCGGAGACAGACTCATAATCAAATTATGATGTTCAAAAAACGGAAAGTACTGAATTAATGGAGACGATGAACACCGGTTGCCGCAACCGTATTCACACCATCAGGTAGGTGCCAGAGTAAGCGAATTTTCTGTTCAAGTTGGGGTCTCGCGCAGAATTGACGTCACTTGGATTGATGCCATCATGGTGAGAGACGTCAATTCTGCGCGGGACCCCAACCTGAACAAAATATTCGCTTACTCTGGCACCTACCTCACGGGCGTGCGATTTTGGATCGTTTCCAAGATCCTGTAGCGTGTGGGGGGCGCCATCTATTCCTACCGGGCTGGCTGCGCGAGCGGTTCGCGTGCGTTCATTTCTATTCGTCCGGGCTTATACACTTCTGTATATTCATTCGTCAGCCTCCACTATTCTGGGAGTTGCTATTTCGAGCCTTTTTCCGTGTCGGTGTGAAGAGGTTGCTGTTATTGCTTGCTATTTGCTTCTGCGTTCCGACCGTCTGCATTGGCCTACTGGTGGTCCTGCATCCTTACCGCAGCTATTCCTCCACCCTATCTGTATTCTGTTGCTAGTTCACTCAGCTCTACTGCCCCTTCGTCTGCTCCCATTTCGTCTCCTGTTGTTGGGAGTTTTACCGCATCTAATCCCCCTCCCCCTGCAACCCCTACCAAGAGCAGATCATCAATTTTTTTTTCTTTGCTGTCTCGCCGCTCCATCTCTGACAGCATTCCCACTATCGATCAGCCTATCTTTTGCTGAGCTGTATCGATTATTCTGCTGTTCCTTTCCTGAGTTCTGGTATTGCTGATGGAGACCCCCGCATACCCCCTCAGGCCCATCGACAGGCTGAAAAAAAGGAAGCTAGAATTCACTTCCCCATCCCCTGAGCTTGACAAGGCAGCAAACGATCTCACCAAGGACGAAACGCTGCCCCTATATGCTAGAACCATCATAGCATATCTGCTAGAGTCTAGAAAGCAAATCGATGAACTCCTTCTACAGAACCGTGAGTTGAATGATCAAATAGTTTCCTTAAATGAGCAGGTTACTAGTCTTAAGCGTGAGAATGACAAGTTGAAATCTTTGAGCTCTCCTAGTGTACGTCCCCCTGTTTATCGTGAACCTGCTCCTCAACCTGCTCCCACTGTCCCCACGGTCTCGCCCAACGTTGATGAAGAAAGGAAGAGATCCTTAGTTTTTATCGGTGTCCCCGAAAGAAAAAATGTTGCTTGTAGGCTTAGAGTAAATCACGACTATATGTGCATTGAACAAATCCTTGATTATCTCGGTGTAGAATGTCGTCCTCTTTGTTTTTACCGCATGGGGAAACCCCAGTATTCCCATAACCGGCTCCTCAAGGTTGTTTTACCGTGTTCGTATTTTGCTAACCTGGTTTTACGTCGAGCACCCCAACTAAAAACTTTCCCCTTACAACGGGGTATTTTTGTGCGACCCTCTCTTCCTAAGGAAGAGAGGGATCGGCTTCGCAAACAAAGGGTGGCTCAGCGTAATCAAGCTAAAAGTACAACAACTACTACCTCTCAAGAATGTTCTCATAATGTTTCTCATAATGTTGCTCCTGATCATGCTGCTTCACTAGGCACCAATCTTATGTCGTCTCAGTGTGATGAATATCGTTTTGATGAATTGAATTCTTTAAACGCTTAAATTTTCTGCGGACTGTTGATAGCTCACTTAAATGTCTTTTGGCTAATGCAAGATCACTATGCAGGAACATGGCGAGTCTAATATTTCTTGTCGCAAAGTACAATCTAGGAATCATTGGAATTACTGAGAGTTGGCTTAATCATAATATCAGTGACAGCTCGTTACTAGGAGCTCTTGATAATTACGTGATTCACAGGTGTGATCGCGTGGAGAAACGAGGAGGGGGAGTAGCTTTGATCATGACCTCTAAGCTTAACCCTCATATGGTGTTCAGTGAATCTGAACCCGATAGTTATGAACTTCTTTGCACCGACATCTATTCTTACAAGACCGTGCGTCTTATCTTGTTGTATAGGACTCCCTCCTGCTCGAGTTATAAAACGATGCAAATGATTAATGCAATCACTGATCTCATTGGGTGCTGCAACTCCGTTTTGATCATGGGTGACTTCAATTTGCCAGGAATCAATTGGACTAACCTCTGTGTTGTGTCAGGACATGCGTCCGCTGCAAGGGATTTCTTGGATATGTGTCGCTTGCATGGTCTATCCCAAAAAGTTTTCTCTCATACACTACGACATAATATTCTTGATTTGATCTTAACTAATGATGAGCATTTAATCAGGGAGGTAAATGTTGGGGCTCCTCTTGGTTCAAGCGATCATGCAACCGTTAGATTTGTGATCACCAATCCCACCGTTCAAACTGGATACATAAGACGTAGAGATTTCAAACATGTTAATCAGGATAAACTTATTGATTACTTGAGAGGGGTGGATTGGTACGGATCATTCGGTACAGTTGAGTCCATCAATGAAAAGTATGAACTATTTATTCATATACTACATCATGCCATAGAACTTTTTGTTCCCTTGAGGGATATCCCACTGGCAACAATCAATCTACCAAGCTACCTCCGGGTACTATATAATAAAAGGGAGCGTGCGTGGAATAGGGTGGCTGACAGCGGATACGTGTGCAATTGGGATGAATTTATTAGAATCAATGATATATTCGCCAAAAGATTGAGAAAGTACAATGCGTCTGTAGAACGCAAGATCATTGACTCGGGAAAGAAGGGTTCGTTTTTCAGGCTTATTAGTTCTAGACTCAAGGAAAAGAGCAGGATAGGGGTATTGTTGTCTGATAATGGGACTGTAGTAACAAATGATTTCGATAAAGCCGAATATTTTGCAGATGTTTTTGAAAATGGCTTTCAAAGGGATTGTTCCATTGATCATGGAGGTCACAGTACTCCTTGTTGTGCTGTGATGGATGATGGACCGTGGTTTTATGGTGAGGAAATCTACAAGTTGCTGATCGCTTGGCCCAAGTCAACTTCCGTGACACCTGATATGGTTCCACTAGAGTTCATAAAGTTGATTGCGCACGTGATAGCCGGGCCCCTCCAGTTCCTGTTCAATTTGAGTATGATGAAGGCCGAGGTACCGGATAGGTGGCGGGCTTCATATGTGACTCCGATTCCGAAAAAGAAACCGTTTACCTCCCCTTATAACTTTCGCCCCGTTAGCATTACCTCAATTTTTGCTAGGCTCTTTGAAAAGATACTGAAAAGGCGTATTATCAAGCATCTAGAGAGCAATAGAATTATTTCTCCTGTCCAACATGGTTTTCAGAGTGGTAAGTCCACGACGACAGCCATGTTGCACTGCCTCAATGATTGGACACAAAACTTTGAGAATAGGCTGAATACCGATGTTATTTATTTGGATTTCACCAAAGCTTTTGATAAAGTACCACACCCTAAGCTGTTGCAGAAATTGGTTATGGTAGGAATACACCCACGTGTTGTGGCGTGGATAAAAGCCTTTCTGGAGGACAGATCTTTCACGGTGCGTGTTAATGGCTCTTTCTCCAGTCTGAGGAAGATGCATAGCGGTGTGCCACAAGGTGGTGTGCTTTCACCTCTGCTATTTAATATCTATACTCACGAGCTTCCTTCTATTCCTTTAAGCCAGGGGATTTCCTGCAGCGCTTTCGCTGACGATTTCAAACTGTATGCAGTTGTCAAGGATGTGACAGACTATGAACGGTTGCAAAGAGCACTCAATGAGGTTTATGATTGGTCGCAGGAGTGGTCTCTTCCTATTTCTACAGAGAAAACTAAAGTGATCCATATCGGTCCAAAGACATCTAATCCAAACTTTAAGTATGTCCTTGGGGAAACTTATCTTCAAGAAGTTGATTCTATAAGAGATCTGGGCTTCATGGTCAAAAGCGACCTCACCTTCGATGATCACTGCAAGTTGATAGCAGATAAAGCCACTAGATCGGTATATAACTTGTTCAGGGCTTTCGCAATTAATGACACGGCTTCTCTATTGAAAGCTTACAAATCGTTCATCAGACCTATGGTTGAATATGGAACTGTTATTTTTTGTCCTCATTTGCATAAAACGATTGACTATATGGAAAGAGTTCAGAATAGTTTTACACGCAAACTTTTCATCCGAAGAATTGGTTTCAGATATGATCTCATACCGAATGGTATGACTAGGAACACTGAATTAGGGCTTTCTTCCCTTGCCTATAGAAGGCGTAAGTTTGACCTTCTCATGGCACATAAGATTGCGTATGGTCATTGTGGCTTGGATTTCGGGGTATTTTTTCCTACCAGGATTTCTAATACAAGGGGAGGGAGTAGAAAATTGATTATCTCCAGATCAAAACACAAAGTTCGCCGACACTTTTTTACATGTCGTGTAATCAATGACATGGACAAGCTTATTAGAAAACGCCTGTTTCCTGCAAAGTTGTCTACGTTTAAGTCTGTTTTAAGGAACTATCTACAGTCTCGGTAATTTGTTGTTACTAACACGGGTTGGTCACGAGCTATCACTCATGATTCCATTTTTGTTGTGTTCTGGTTTCGTATGTTCTTTTTTTGTTATTGTTGCAGTTATCATAGGGTTACCCTATGCAATAAATGAAATGAAATGAAATAAGGTCTTTAAACAAGATTAGGGCTCTGTTTGCTTGTAGCACGTTATCTCGCAGCCGATGGAAGTTGGGCATATACCGTACGTCATCGGAGACAGACTCATAATCAAATTATGATGTTCAAAAAACGGAAAGTACTGAATTAATGGAGACGATGAACACCGGTTGCCGCAACCGTATTCACACCATCAGGTAGGTGCCAGAGTAAGCGAATTTTCTGTTCAAGTTGGGGTCTCGCGCAGAATTGACGTCACTTGGATTGATGCCATCATGGTGAGAGACGTCAATTCTGCGCGGGACCCCAACCTGAACAAAATATTCGCTTACTCTGGCACCTACCTCACGGGCGTGCGATTTTGGATCGTTTCCAAGATCCTGTAGCGTGTGGGGGGCGCCATCTATTCCTACCGGGCTGGCTGCGCGAGCGGTTCGCGTGCGGTAGCCGAGATTGGCGCAAGGGCGCGCATTTCATCTTGTTCATACTGTTAGTTGCTTTCCATGGCATCGAACTGGCTCTTGAGGATTTTCGCGTTCGTTCTCACTCATGAAGGAGTAACTGATGAAGGCATTAAATTTATTTTGCGCTAATGTACGCTAGTTGGCTTAGCTCTATGACCACATGGTATTGAACTAGTCCAAGACCCAATTGTAACTAAACAGCTTGTTCGTTTTCTGAATTGGAAAAGTAGTGGTTTGAGCATCCTGCCCTATCTTTATCTGAACTTCGTAAGTGTAAACTGACCACCTCTCCTTAACTTGTGTGTCTGCGATGATCTGAGGGGTTTCAATATCATATACGATTTCATCGTGACAAGATTGATAGGAGGAAATGAGGAGCAGCCTATGAAGCTCTCACTACTTCTATTTCTCAACAGCCGTCTAATCAAATGTCGGGCAGAGTTTGGGTGACATGACACCAAAGCACTATATTCCGTCTATAGTGGCCACTAAAGATTTGCGCTGCTTGAACGCTTGATCGTAAGGCATTCTTTTGACTGCATCCGCAGTATGCATGCCAATATTCGTATATCTTTAGCGTTCTCCTCTTGCTAAGATCGTTAATTTAACGAATGTATAAAGCAATGGGAATCCTCATAGACCGCTATTTGACTTCCTATGAGCGTGCTGACATCTCCAACGCTGTCTAATGTTAGACAGTTGAAACAAGTAGTTTACTGGAGTATTCTAAATGTGCTAACACGCTGCAAAAATGCTTAGTCAACATCGAACATTTCACACACAATAAAACTCTTCAGCAAGTTACTTTTGATGTAAGGATACCACACTCCTTTTGATCTGAAATCACAACGAGTGAAGTGTTCGCATACCCTCATCGCAACATAGATATACTTGAAGCTACTCAGACACTCGCACCGGCCGGCGACCGTCCGACGACGGCCTTCCGGCTGGCGACCGTTCCATAAATCTGGGCGGAGCTAAATGCCGGCCGGCGACCGTCCCAAAAGATCATGCCGGCCGGCGACCGTCCCAAAAGATCATGCCGGCCGGCGACCGTCCCAAAATTCTATCTCCCAGTGTCTTAGCGTAAAGGGTACTTGCGTGAGATACGACGCATGGTTAGGCTACCCTCAATGCCTTGTATGTTCTTCAATTTCCGAAGCAGGAGCAAGGCAACATGTTGTCTTATAGACAACCCTCGATAGTATCTCGGTGTTGTCGAATTTCAAAATCGGACGTGGTCTCCGAAGCTGCTACATCAGCGGCCTTGATTTTTGTTCTTTGCAGTGTATTTTCCTATATGCCAGTGAATAAAAGACAGTTCTACCATGTAAAACAGTTCTACCGTTCCTCAGTATACACCGGCTGGCGGCCGTACCTTTCCGGCCGGCGGCCGTCCGAATACCGGCCGGTGGTCGTAGACTACGCGGCTGAGTGAAATTGACACCACCCCCACCGGCCGGTAGTCGGACGGTCACCGGCCGGTGCGAGTGCCTGACTAGATATAGATATTGTTGATGTAGAAATGACGAACATATCCAGCTTCAAAACTTGGCCAGTGTTATCACCATACGCGTGAACATTGATGTTTCTGATGAAAATATTGATGTTTTGCATCTACTGCGATTAACGAAAATCGCTAATTTCAGCATTTCTGCAGCAGTTTGAGTTTTGATATCAGATACAGAGATACAAGAAAGCATTGCATGACTTCGCGACGGATTCTTCTTATGTAAGCTATGAGACCAGTCTTAGGCTTTGTAAGGAGGAAAACATTCAAACTGCGAGTTCTCAAAATGGTATGAACGAATGGTACAAGACTTGACAAGCTCATGTGATGGTTAAAGAGAAAAGATTTTCATAACAAATCCAATAAAAGCAAAAAAAGAAGATATTGTTGACATACTACACAGTTTTACAATCAGTCATAGCATCCAATGGCGAATAAGTACGTAGCTTATATATTCATCTATATTCCCTTACAAGCTGCCCTCCGTAATGAGTTCACTACTTCTTATCAGCAGTCGTGGTCCGATGAACATCAAAGCCCGCCTGCACACATGCAAGAATGCGCGCCCTCTCGCTAATCAGCAGCCGCGCGCGAACCGCTCGCGCAGCCAGCCCGGTAGGAATAGATGGCGCCCGTGTGGGGACCACACCACGAGGCACACAACCTTGACGTCCTATACTCTTTATCTGTACTTTATACTTTATTTTTATCTTTCTTTCCTTGTTGTTTCGCATTTCTTTTGAGTTGTCTTCACCACAGCTCTTGCATATCCCCCCGCGCTAACCTAACTTTTATGTTGCCAGAACAATAGAGAAGAGTTGAAGTGATTTAGATCTTCTCAGATCTTGACTGCTTAAAGTTTTTGCTCACTTCTTTACAGCTTGGAGCTACTTCAAGACGTGACATGAAAAACTCATATCATAAAGACAAAATAGGGATGAAGTGCGAAGAAAAGCAATAAGTAGAAATAGCCACAGTTTGAAGGATGAAATGGATCAGAAACATGTCGTACCCATGATCCAACGATTCAGATGCACTCTTTAGTAATCTGAAACTGAGCACTTGTCCCAGTTCCACCCATAAATCCCATGCCTTTTCGAAATCATTCTCACGAATCACTTCCGTGGGCAAATCTCGAGAGAAACTTCGAATTTTCAGGATTTACCAGCGAAAAAATGTCGAGATCTTTGCGCCACAGGTTTTACAGAGGATTCAAGAAAATCGCTACGATGCTATTAGTAGACAAACTTAGTCCTTTGACTTCAATATGATCAAACTGCGTTGACGTTGCGGAAAAATGCCACATAAACGTGTCAAAAGCATGGATTCTAAAAGAAATGTCTATGATGACGTAAATTTTAGTGAGGTCATCAATTGTGCCCCATTGAAGGCTGACGTGGCGTGTAAATTTCGATAAGAGCGCGAAATCAATCGCCAGTGGCTTTCAGTTCTTTCCGGCAGCATCGCAGTTCCGGTGTTTTCCTTTATCTTTAGAAAACATTACATTTTCTTCGAACATCTTTAGAATAGTGGTATCTTTTCTTATCTAATTGTTACATTTCAGAGCGCAAAGTTTCCTGGCAACGGTATTTGCTCCTCATCTCAACATAATAGAAGATGGCATACCGCGGTACGAGAGGTGCTTCTTCTTCTTTATTTGTCCGACCCAAATACTAATGCCTTTCTACTTTGAAGGTCCGAGTACCAGTAATAATTTTGAAGGCAGTTATCTGGAACGTCAGAATGATAACCTTGTTGATGAACTATCGACAAAAGTGGCTGCTTTGAAGAAGGTGATTTTCTTTTGTTCAATTTATGATTTATGCCAATGACTCCATGCTTCTCATATAATAGTGGGTATTTTCAAGTTTCTTCTGTTCCAAAGGACATCATTTTTTTCCGTTACGTAGGGGTTGTTGGGTCTAACTCTATTACTGGGTTGAGTCAAAAGTAATGAGGACTTTTCGCGCACCCTTTCGACCTCTTAGCAAATTGTGTAGAAAAGCGATAGAAGGGTAGTTTTAACTGTATTAAACGTAGCTTCTCTTTCTCTTTCCAGCAGCCAGGCCAACGGCCCACTTGACTTCTTAGTTGTCGAAAAAATTTCCCAAATTTCGAATCTGTCACCTTTGCTTTGAATAAGTTTAGTTAATCCTCAGAACTTTTAGTTTGAGGGTTTCAGATAATTTCGATTGTCTGAAGAGAGAGCAGGTCCTGCTCAATGCAAATCACCTCTTAGGTCTTTCGAAACTAGCATTTTGAGGCTTCTTAAAATCATTTTCCCAAAAGCCCTAAAATTTCAAAAAATCGTTCAAAACAAAAAATGCATCAAACTTTACAATGTCTTTCGAAACTTGGAGCTTCGCAAATAGTTTATTATCAAACCTTGATTTTGCAAAGTATTCAAACACTTACCATTACCGTTTCAAATTACTATAATCAGTTTTTTGCCACGTCTGAAAAAAAAACTTAGAATTTAAACGGCAAACGCTTTGGGTTCGAAATTTCTGAAAATATTTCATCAACATTCAAGTCATTTGGTTGGAAATTATGACTGCTAGAAAGAGGAAGAAAAGCCGTATCGGATATTTTTTAGAGCATTTGCTCGTTTACATTCTACCTAATTTGAGAATAGGTTTTAAGAGGAGATACTAAGTTCTCGTTACTTCTGACTCACCCTAGTAATTTTCTACCCTTGAACTGAGTGAATGATTAAAAATTTTCTTCATTGCTTTTCTCAAGATAAAACCTCAATTTTGCTTGGCCAAACCTCAGCAGGTTCCAGTAGGAGGATAGGGAACGAGAAATTGCTACTGAATATCGTTTCTGCCCTTATTATCCTACTCATCATCTTATGTCCGTATTTAGGTGACGATTTCAATTGGTGAAGATGTAAGAGAACAGAATCGGTTACTTAACAGTATGGATGATGACTTTGACTCGTCTAAAAATCTATTAATGTCGACTATGAAGCGTCTTGGCATCGTTAGCAGAGCAGGAGGTAAGCCTTATATTTTGTGATTCTCATATTGTTTGAACTGCTCATTTAGTTTTGAGCGCAACAATTTGGCAGATGTATGCCATGTTTGTGCAAAATTCCTCAAAAATACTTATTTCAGGTAAAAATCTCATATGCTACCTCGTATTGTTCGCCTTATTTGTCTTTTTCGTCATTTACTACCTAGCGAGGTAATATGTTTTCTGATTTCGTGGTACGATTTGAGCATATTGTTCATCATAACTTCATATATGTGGTGGCTGTCGATTTGGTTCTATATCATATTTATTATCTCGGTTTCATAGAGTTTCTACTTTGATGACTGTGATCGATTTCTTAGCTTTTCCATAATCTTTCGAAACAGATTGTCGGTACTTGTTAACAAAGTGGTACAAGATAAAGCTTTCTTTACACATTTTACCATGTTCCAACTTTTAGGACATGAACGAAAGACTACATATGCTTAAAAAAGTCATGCAATAGCAGACCCATAGGTGCGACAGTGTGGGAGGCCCTCCCATCCCCTTCATCCCCGAGGTTAAAAGGGGCAAGCATTCTACAGGGTGTCCCAAAAAAATGTATCGAACGTTTGATCGTTAATACCTCTCTTCCAAGTCTTTTGCCTTGCTTTAGACACCGTTTTGTAGAGTTGGCTTCAACTTAGATTTGCATTATAGAACGAATCACCCATCTCTCTTCCTTGCTGTAGGATTACGGTAGAAACTTGAAACATATGGTGTCAATGTGGAAAGAGCTGCCGTTTCAAAACTTTTCAAAAAAATGCGAAATCTTGTGTATTGGGGTTTTTATGGACGCTGAGTTCAATACTCAACTATTCACGAGATCACGAAGCTTTTTAAACGGTGTAACCGCACTTTTTAGGAACATTGAAAAAATGGCCGCTACCTCTTACCTGGCATAACTCTTCAATGAAGCATCATAATAAATCGGGAACTTTACAGTTATAATCAGCAACTCTAATTAGCCTAGTGTAAAAGTTTTCAGGCTGTTTTGTTTTTTTTTCTGGGGCAAAATATGGCCTTTCATTGCTTAAAACCCTCTTTGAAGTTTCTACCGTAATCCTATAGTAATGAAGAGATATGAGTGATTCGTTCTATATTGCAAATCTAAGTTGAAGCTAGCTCTACAGATTGGTACCTGAAGCAAGGGAAAAGACTTCTTCAGAAGAGAGATATCAACGATCAAACGTTCGGTACATTTTTTTTGGGACACCCTGTATAACGGTGTTCACAGATGAAGCGATCAACCATTTTGAGAATCCTTGAAGTGATAGACCGTTGGCAAAGACTAAATAGCAAGCAGGTAGTGCAAACCTGACTATATGACCTCTTCACGTTTTCGGAATAAGTAATCTCGACTCAAAGGTTTGTTGTAAAAAACCTGTATGTAGGTTTTTGCGCGCGATACCTCAAAACCACATTTCCGAATTTGAATTAAAGTTGAGTATAATTAGACTTTAACAAAAATCGCATATCAAATATTTGAGTAAGGAGGTTTGGTGATAGAAGTGCAATCACCTTCTTTCCATTTGTTAGAGGACCTCACTGCCCCACAAATAGTCTTGCAGAACAGTTTACAAGTGACAAAATAAATTGTAAAAAGATCTTTGTCTTGGTGGGTCAAGGCTGGTATAATTTGTAACAAAAATTAAAGAAAACTTGACTCTTCCAAAAATCCAGGTTTGCAACATTTGTGATACAGAGCTTGTGGGTGGCGCGTGGTGATTTTCACTTTTTGGTGCTTTTCAGCGCTTTTGAGCAGCCTTTTTTCGGAGCCTTTTTTCGGCAATGTCTGATAGGTCAAACCCTTCAATACGACGAGCTTAGAATAAACCCCGTTGCGATTCAAGTTACCTTGAGTCGTGAAGACAACTACTTCGGGGCAGAATTTTCGTATCCATTTAAATTTTTCTACCAAGGTTAGATTTATCTGTGAGAGCATGTTAAGGACTGACGTATATTAGGTTTAGGAGCATGGCATGACATATTGCAGTGACTTGTTTTCTCTTGTGTTAGCATGACATTTCCAGAGAGAACTTGTTGAATTTTAGCTTTTCAAAGTTATAGGGATAGTCAGAGTACCGGTGTTGCCAGTGTGACACATATTACTCATTTTACTCGTGTTACTAGTGTTACTCGTGTTACCACTGTTACCAGTGTTACTAGTGTTACCGATTTTACAGTGTCATTCGTATCGCCAGTGTTACTCGCGTCACTATGTTACCGCTTTTACTCTTGTTGAGTAGCGAAATAATCACCAATATAGTTTCATTTTTCCGGACGACATCTCACCAAATGTGTATCTTTATTACTCTGATGCCCAATGTTTTTCAAGTTCCGCAATTCTTGAAGCTAAGCAAATCAAATGAAGACCTTATGGTAACCTAATCACCTGCAGTCTGTTCCAATCGGGACCAAGCCGAATCGTCGGCCTGATTTGCGCTCTCGCAGCGCTTGAAGGCAGTGTCCGGGCACGAGGTGGGTTTGAGATTTCAGTGCCACGTGAGAGTGGTCCCCCTCAGACACAACATCGCGCAAGTGCGACGTCATAACGCTTGACCTAAAGCAAGAGAAACGACCAGAAAGTGGGGAAACTCAAGCCTTGGGGCGGAGCCCTCCCACCTGTCCGAATTCCTGCTACGCCACGTACGCCACGTACGCCACGTACGCCGCGTGCGCCGCTGCAGCGCAATGGAAATATGCTCACGGCAGCAAAGCTCCACTTTTTTTGGATGTATCTCTACATTTGCTGCACATTCGTGTCCCTCAATAGTGTTCCTTCACATTATGCATTTCTTCTTCTCTTTTGCCATGTTTATCCTGACTTTCCTTTGTCTATATCAATGATTGATGGAATGACTTAGGTTGTTGTGCTCCCTCTACTTTTGAGTTTCACATTTTGTATCGTAACTGACTGCACATTGCGTCATCTGGTTGTATATTAGTAGTATATGGTTGTATGGTTGTATGGTTGTATGTTGTACCTGGTTGTATATTTGCGCTGTTAACATCTCCTTACAAACACATCACTGGATGAAAAGGGTTTCTCTTCTTCATATTTCCATATTTCTATTGCTCTGCAGCGGCGTACGCGGCGTACGCCGCTGCAGAGCAATAGAAATATGGCGTGCGCGGCGTAGTATGAAGGAACCCACAGAGTACGCATGCCGCCACAGTTGAAATGTGGGGTCCCGCAGCGACTCTGCGTCTCTGCCTTGGTGGGTACCGTCGGATTTCAAATTGTGTGGCTTTGGAAAACGTATGTTCTTGCCGTTTTCGCGCCTTCGAAAGTGGATTTCGGATTCAGCGTTGCGGATAACTCCGGTAAGTGGATTTTCTAGAAATCGAGTTTTTGCCCGGACATTGCCTTTGAGGCTTGCGCTGCATATGCGCACAATCAGAGAGAGCGGAGAGATTGAAGAGAGAGCAGACAAGCACGCCAAAAGCGTGGCGCAACCTAGAAGCAGACTCTTGCCATGCCAATTATGGCCTATTAGCATTCGGACAGACTGTAACAACCTAATGAGCGCCGCGCCCCCTTCATGGCAGGCTAGGCTACTTTTTCTCAATAGTTACAGTAGTGAGCATGAGCTATAACTTCGGCATGCGCAGGGGCTCCTGCAGTGGGACCAGAAGGCATATAAAAAGTTCTCCAATTCTTGGATATCTCTGACGTATGATGGTTTGGCATTTTTACGTTATTATAAGGTTTCTTCGTGACGGTGAAGCTCCGTAAGTTAGTGGTCATTGCGCACGCAGTGCCCTATAAAATGAGACGCAACTCCCAAGAATTGCAAATTTAGTGTGCGCTTCACCATCACTGATCTGGATGAAGAGTCTATGAATGATGAAATTGGTATCTTCTAATTCCAAGAGTACAGCGGGAGGTGCATCGCAGAAGATTGATAACTACGTGTGGTAGTTTGTATAGTAAGAGAAAAATAAATGCAGGGATGGAGTTTTAACAAGTCTGGCAATATGCTTATATGTCTGCAATGTTTCACTGTTTCATTCTTCTGCCCCTTGCTCGAAAAAAGGGCTGTGTGTGAAAAAAAAGTCAATGCCGAGAAAAATTCGACGATGCTGCTATGGTAAAGTGTTAAAATATATTACTTTTGCATGATAACGCTGTGCCTTATAGGGCAGGCTATCTGCGATGTCGTGGATATAACCTGACTATTACATTTTGAGGGTGTTTATCGCCGAAACACTACGAGGTATGAACCCAGCCTGCAAATGAAAAAATGAATGTTATTATGATGACTATCACAAGCACAGTCCAGTACGTAGAGGTCAACAGCACAATGCAGCAGAGTGCTTCTGATGCATTTACTTGAAATTTCATTCATTTAGAGACTAGCTTAAAGTTACTATGTTCTTTATGAAAATTGTGTTTTTGGTGCGTCCAAACTTACCTGGTGCAACTGGTTTTGTTTTATTGTTATTGAGCTACATGCAATAAAACTCTATCTATAATCAACGTACGTTGAAAAAAGTCACAAGTTTTAGTTAGTATTCGTCAGTCTCCGCTGGAATGGCTACGTTCGAAGTTTTATTTTTATCTGTTCAGATGTACATATGAAACAATATAAACAACACACAAACAAAAATAACACAACACAACAAAGATATATTTTATCCGTTCCAATCTGCTAAGTTCATTATCGGCTCTGTCTGCCAATGAATTGAGCTAAAACTCTCTTCAGATAGGTGTGAAGCATGTATTATCTACTGATGACGGTAGGACCGGTGTTGAAGGTGAGGCAAGTGTTGAAATTGTGAAAGTGTTTCTCATTCTTCTTTGAGTGTTCTTGCACGTTGCTAGTCTGAACTACTGGACTGTAGTTACTAAACATACTGCACCGTAGTCTGTAGAGAAATGAGCAATCACGCCCTGTAACGCTTTGCATGCTTTGGTGAATCTACAAGCTGCTGTAGACGTTCACCCACGTCGTCGCCCGTACGTTCGTCGGGAACATCGCCTTATTTGGGAACTTTTTCCGATTCTTTGAATGGTATATGATTACTAGAAGGGCTCGCCTTTCGTGAGCTCATTATCCATTAAAAATAGCGAATTTTTATACAGATTCTTGAAACAGAATGTCGTTTTCCACCTATCAGACATAGGCATGGGCAGAACGACTATCTCCTTTATCGTAATCGAAGTGACGGAGGCGATTGTTAGGAATATACATATGGAAACGGTCCAGAAGAGTCTGTACTTTGAAATTGCATTATCAAGCATTCCCACCTATAACGCGCGAAGAATTTGAAGAGGTCGCCGTCAAAACTCAGGAGAATTTCGATACCGTTGGGATGGATGGGAAGCACATGGCTATTAAGGTTGTTTTGAAATTATAAACACTATTATTCAATCATACTTCTTGCGATTGCGGATGCTGATTGTCGTATCATGGCCTACGACGTTGCCGCCAACGGTCGCGCTGGCAACGCGGTGGTGTTCCGGAACTCCAATGTCAAGATGTTGACTTCCAAAAAAGAATGAAACATTCAAAGAGTTTAGATCTTCCTTGAACGTCGAAACGACTCATCCCCTCCCCCCCCCCCTTATAGCTGATATTGGCAATGTTGGCCCCGTGCAAAAACATATATTCTTGATGGAGGTTTGGCCAATGCTTCAGATTTGTGCGTCCATATAGGCAAAGAGAAGCTGACACTCCCGAAAAACGAAGGTTCAATAGCAAATTGAGAATCAAACATATATCAGTCGAATCAAAAAGTATTCTCTTAGTTTAGAGTTGAATCAGTCTCCGGTCTTTTGGCGCATAGATTTCAAAATACTATGATCGAGTCAGAAGACTTGTCGTGTCTTTGATGGCCAGTTCTGGCTCAATCAGATTAGCGCTTTAGATCAAACATAAATTGTCGCAGATTCTTCAAAATCTCATCTCAATCCTCTTTCGAGGCTGGACAAAGCAGCCTCGAAAGGGTGCAGAGGTATGAATCTGCCCCGAATGGGTACGATTCTTTGGAAATGGAGAACAAAGAACGAACAAAAGAGCAGTTTCAGCGAATCTGGCTAGTGATAGTATAACGTAGTACTTCATATAAAGAGAAGCAAATCACGCTGATGATATCAACCAGATTAATCCTAAATCGTCGAACATTTCGAAAGGTTTTCGCTTACATAAGGATTCTTGTCCAATCTAATTGTAGAACCCTGATTCGTTTGACTGAGAATGTAGACTCTAGCTGGAAGGACTTATTCAGATATGTCGCTTCTACGAAATCACTAACTATGTTATATATGGGAAGCAAAGAAAATTGGCTTAGTTAATAGATTGGCTTTTTTCTGTCAAGAATCTAATCGAGATACTGCTTTGAACAAGTTTTTTTTGCTGGAACAGGTTTTGTTTTTGTTTGGTGTATAAAGAATATGAACAAGGGCGTTCATTACCTAAGCAAGGCAACAGCGCATCAGCATCTTTTTGAGAATACTCGAAGAGGGTGTTGAAAGAAACAGTAAGAATAATTTTGAAAGGAAAAAACAAAGGCACAACAAAGACACTTACTAATCAGTGAGTTTACGTTCAAGAATGAGACTGTATTGGTGTTCTTTCGTAAACAAGAATAAAAGCGGTAACATACATGTAACACTAGTGACACGAGTAGCACTAGTAACACCGGTAACAGTGGAAACACTTTTCACACAAGTAACACGAGTAACACTAGTAAGATGAAACATTGATAACACTGGTAAACTCTGACGGATCCCTTACATTCAATGACTTCGATATGAACTGTCTACGTAGTCAACTTCCAAGCTCAAAAGGGTTTTCTCCAAGTACTTATTTTTAGCTACACTTGAATTTATTCGTAATGTTGTTTCAACAACCGAACCTGCCTTTCTGGGCAAAACGTCTTGTAAAATCAACGGGGAACGTTGTTGTGACGAAGTTTTTCAAGTTTTCAAAACTATACTGATTTCACAGTCACCTTAGGTTGAAAAAACCTGCCTAATTTTAATTTCTGCAGTCTGCAAATTTTGTGGGTAAGCAAAAGTTTTGTTGGACCTTTTCCGCCTCGTATCTCGATTTCCTTCTAGCTCATACAGATTCAAGGTTTTTTAAGGAGTCGAGAAGTTCGTGGGGCTGCTGATGCTAACGAGGGAATGGTCAGAATCTACCCAGCCATTCCAAGCGAGCTATATACCAGCGAACTCGCACTGAAGCGCTGTTTCAAATCTTAGTTTATTATCTGCCGAAGGATTCTCTGGAAGGATTCTGAGCGTTTGAATGTGTGAAATCTTCCAAGGCTCAACAAATTAATTCGTTGCAAAGCAGGGTAAAGGTGCGTAATTACTGTGATTATGAGTATTCTCATTACAGGAAAGAAAAGCATTCCCCAAAAAACCAGATAAGTCTTTTTTAGTCTCTTGGAGCGTGCGCTACGGAATGCCTAACAAACCGCACAACTAAACGCTCGTGACTCCTTCCACGTAGTCGCTCAGCAAGTATTAAACATATATTTGAGATCAGCGTTTCAAGGCGATTCCGACGATATATAGCTTGTTTGGCACGGCTTGGTTGAATTTTGACTATTTCCCGCTAAGCATCAAGCATGCACCCACAGCTCCCTCCTAGAAGTCAGTTTGCAATTTGAATACTTCCCAATAAAATTACATGCTGCTCTCAAATGGTGCGCTGTGAAACAAAAGACGTATGAAAAGTAATGTGGAAGCTTTCCCTTCTAAGCCAGCAACAAAACAAGCCACGGCGCAGAAGATAGGCTACTTTTGGCGACATTTCGCTAGGTCCTTCTATCGACTTAATGATTTTGTTTACTAAAATCTAGGAAAATGAAGGCTATACCATTCATTTCTCCAAGTTAAGTAGTAAGAGGTGGTAGAGATCATTTGCATTTTGCGGTGAGGAGCATGCGGTGTCATGAAGCGAGCCGGTCAAGAAAGAAGACTATTCACCACGGATACTACACGAGCGCTGGAATTGACATGGAGGTGAAGCAGGAGAGTAACAGAAGATATGAACTGAAGAAAATGGAGGACTGATAAGTATACATCTTGAAGCACATCCTATGCTGGGCCATTCGGGACTCTCGGCCCGGGCGGGACCGGGGACCTCAGTTAGTATCCTCTAAAGGTGAAGATCGGATACGAAAGGTTTCATCAAGCAGTTTCGAATATGTGGTTGCAACATAGCTACTGCGCTCAGAGTGCTGTGAGAGTGGTTGAGTTGCTGTGTTTTCCTGTGGCTCCTCAAGCTTCATAGAAGCAAATTTATAGGCATTAGTCAATACTCAAAATTTGTAGGAATACAAACAAGTTTTGTACTAACGATAAGTTTGCTGTCGTATAACTTCCATATATGTCAGCCAATCGCAAAATTGCTATGATCGGCTCCCAGATTCGTGTGAAGGCGGGTTGCGGACTTCCCTGATGTTAAGGATAAGATGAACGAGAGAGTACGAATTAATGCTATACCGTGGAGGTTAAACAAGTTTATCCTGAAAATCAGGGAAGTTCGCAACCCGCCTCCACACGAATCCGGAAGCCGATAATACGCTGACATAGACTAGTCAAGGCATTGTTCACGCAAACGACTTCTAAAAATACATAGATCGCTATCCAACCTTGCCTCTAGCTAAGGTTACAAATTGCATTGAGAATGTACCTCAAGGTGAAAGCTCATCTTTGATTGATACGGATTTTGACTGAGATTAGTACCTTGAGTTAGAGTTTATCTGTACTTTTCATCTGATACTAAATGCCTTGATTCCTTCGTACCTACAGGGCTCCTAAATTGCAGAGTCGTTTGCACCAGCGGTCGCGCGACCGCGTCGCGCCATTCATTCTGCCGGCGCCGGCGCTATCGATCGAGGCGGCGCCATTGATACCCGGGCGCGACGCGGTCGCGCGACCGCTGGTGCAAACGACTCTGCAATTTAGGAGCCCTGCACCTGTTCCAATCTCAGCAATTCTGTACTCTCCACATTTTAGTTTTCAGATTGACTAGGCACGTCCCGAACAGACAAATTTTTTTGAGCTTATTCGGTAGGTATTGAAATGGTATTCGGTAGGCTTGCACTTCTGTCTTTCTTGTTCTTTTTCATCTTATCTCCTTTCTCCCTGCTATCTATCTTACGGTCGGTTACTTGTGCAGGACACTGACAGAAATATCAAAATTTTTAAATTTTTTTATACATATCACATTTTATTTCAACAAAATCTCGACAATAGATAAAATTTATAACCAAAAACAAACTTGATTTATATCCGTAGCTTCTGGCGGGCACGAGTGCAGGAATGTTGATAGTTTTTATAGCTCATCTTTCTGCAAATATGAAGAGACTTGGATATTGAACTCTGCGCTTGTTATAGAGATAGCGATATGTAGCGATAGAAAATTGTTAGAGATATGTTAGAATGGCTTCTTCCATACCCTGTTAGTAATGGTGAAAATAGGCAGAATACCAATTCTAATAACCTTACCTTCTCATCTTTAGTTGACTTTTTCTTCTTTTCGTCCTTCTTTTTATCCTCTTTCTTCTTGTCTTCCTTCTTCTTATCATCTTTCTTCTTATCCTCCTTCTTCTTATCTTCCTTCTTCTTGTCCTCTTTCTTCTTGTCTTCCTTCTTCTTGTCCTCTTTCTTCTTATCTTCCTTCTTCTTGGCTACCTTCTCTTCTTCTTCTTCGTCTTCCTTCTCTTCTTCCTCCTCCTTCTTCTTCTCTTTCTCTTTCTTTTCTTGTTCTGACTTCTTCTTCTCTGTCTTCTTTTCTTCCTTCACCTTCTCCTCCTTTTTCTTCTCATCCTTTTTGGAGTCTTTCTTCTTCTCAGTTTTGCTTTCTTCGTATTTCATCTCATCCTCCTCTTCGTCTTCTTCTTCTGCTTTTTTCCTAGGCTTAGTATCGGCCTGCTCTCCCTCCGCGTTTTTTGACAATCTAGGCCTTCTTCCTCCCTGCAACAGTTATGTGAGTTTAACATACCATGATATCTTATAATCTTACCTTTTCAATTTCTTTGAACTCTTCCAGTGCTCTCTTCATTCCGTCGACAAGCTCGGGGACAAATGGATAGAAATACTTGTTATTTTTGTATCTTTTTGCGTTGTTTGTGAGGAGTGGCTCAGCATCCGTATCTAAAAAAGAATACTATTAGGTGGGTGCAAAATTGATGAGCTATTTCTAGACCTTGCTTTTGGAAAACTTTTTTCCATCAAATCTCTGTCTTGGAATGGGTTGAACATAGTATGAAAAGCTTTTTATGCTTTATTTATAGATTGCTTGAGCGAGCTTCTAGCCCCATCTGTTGATTATAGAAGTTCACATTACCGTGCTTAACACATTGACGACTGCTTGACACACATGGTGTGTCAAGCAGTCGTCAATGTCAAGCAATGACTACCGCGTGGGACCGCTTGACACACCGTGTGTGTCAAGGCTTGAATTTTGGTAAAATAACTACTATCCTAAAATAAACTCACTCCATGAGCTTCCTTTGGCATAGAATCTAGGAACGACTTCTGCCTTTTTTGTCAGCCATTCAGATCTACTGTAAGTGTACTGTAGATGGCAGTATGCGTAATTACAGTTGAAAAAGTGGGCTGGTCCGTAAAAAAGCCTTGGTCCCAGAAGGCAGACAACCAAAAATCTGCATGGTCGTCAATGTGTTAAAAGCCGAATTTTGCTGCATTAACTTTCTAGCCAGAATTCATGCGCGAATAATGGCATTCATTCGGAAACTCAAATACTGCATGTAGTAGAAATTCCTACATTACGCATACTTAGTTATATTTTTGAGATCATCTATGTTGAGATTTCACCTCAACATGAGCAGTCGTTGCAAGCACTCAATCAGGCACCAAACTTCTCTCATTTCTATTTAAGGTAGGACCTCCTGTTTAGGTTTTTTGCAGAAATGTTTAGCTTTTCAGTACGCAGGAAATAAAAAAAACGTTATACTTTGAGACTTTGAGGTCTACAATTTTGAGTTCTTTTAGCGAATTTTCTTTGTTTGAACCCTTTTCATCCTCACTTGTACTATTGGTTTGAGGCTACAAGATAGGCTCTAATCATTTATAGACTAACTTCGAAAGGAGTTATGATTTGTCAACAACGAGATTTCAGAAGAAAACTTATCTGCTTTTCACTCTACATTTTCCCGCCCGTTTCTGAATGGGTATAGATGGATGTACGCTGTATTGCAAATAGGCTGCTTTTTTAGTTTTTATGTTAAAAACGTGGTTTTTATAGAAACTTATAGACGTCATAGTGAGAATTCGCAAAACGTCCAGTATTTTTCCACTAACCTAATAACTTTTTGCCGTAGTTTGAGATGAGAAGAGAATGAACCAATCAAATGAAAGTGGCGGTTTGCACACATGATACATACAGATTTTTCCTACTACTTGATTATATCTCTATTTGGTATTTTCTAACTGATTACTCAGTAAGTGGTTATTTTGATTATGTTAGTCACTTTTAGACTCCGGATGGTTCGCAGAAGAAGCGACAAGTCGAATCTGCTGCGATCTTATGCGGAAAATTATGAAAGAAGCGGAAGTGAAGGAAAATAAAAATTGTGCAATTGCACAAATGAAAGTAATGTAAGAGGTAGTCTATAGTGTTCCAATCAAAAAGGAGAAGCCAGAAAATTTTCAGTTGCCTAAATATTAAGAGTAAGTGGAAATTTTTTTTACCCAAAAACAGGACACGAGGGATGTATCCTCCATCCGGAGCGTATTTATGTTCTTGAGGCTCTTCATCATCTTGTACGTTGACCATCACAAATTTCTTGGAAAGGGTAACGAGATCTTTAGTTTGTGGTGCCGTAGAAAACTCGCTTTTCAATCCTAGAAAATTCAGAATAAAAATTCATAAAGTAGTATGTCATGAGTACGAACTTACGTTTGCAAGCTCCACACCAAGTTTTGTGAATGATCAGCATGATTGGTTTTCTGAGATCTTTTGCAACACCGATTGCTTTGTGCCATTCGACCCAGTCTATGTCGCCAACAAATCCTGTAAAGATTTCATGAAAAAATTAATATTCAAAAAGAGCTCAGATCCATCCTGAGAATGGGTGCGAAATTTTTGAAAGCCGTATACGTGATTTACAAAATTATGCAAACGAATCTCTTTCAAACCAAATACATTGTGTTGTAATTGTCATGAAAGTTGAAAAGGAAATGATTGAGAAATAAATTTTCGTAAAGACTCCAAAATCCCTTTCTCGCTCTAGTCCCCGTTTTTTGGAACACCAGTGATCCCAGGGAATACCCAGATTAGGGAAAACCTGATGCTTCCTATCAATAAGGGTTACGCTAAAGTTCTTCTGGAGGCCCGAACAAAAGGCGCTAATGGTCAAGCAATCACGTTGTACACCTCGTTTGCAACGTTCCAGTTCTGCATTAGTCTAACCTTTAGAACGAGAAACTGCGCGCTGATTTGGAGCGTATAGTAATTAAGAAATGAAATCAAGTTGTACATATAATTGGCGTTAACGCTCACTTCTTAATGTCATAATGGAGGCTTGATTTGATGATTGGATTATTACAAACAGTAACTACTATCTTGTAAAGGCACCATTACAACTTGATAAAATATTTTATCTGTAAAGCGAGTAGTTATTATGGTCGATTATTCAAACGTCAGCAATCTAATGATTTGAAAAAGGCACAAATGTGAAGAATTATTTGCATTCTAAAAATTCTGCGTCCATTAATATCTAATCAACCTACAAACGGGATTTTTAAGTAGTTTTCTTTCAGTATAATAGGTTACATTTTGATTACACTGTCAACGAAAAATCTAGAAAGCTTGTCATATTTGTATTTTATATCAAAGCTGATCTGCGTATAGAGGATAATAATTGAACGAAGATTTATTGCTGCTGATTTGCAGCTATCATGAAGTAAACAAACCCAGTAGAGCTCAAGGCGGAAGCCATGGTTTCCCTTATCGAAAGCCCCGATTGGTGATGGAATCCTAGTGATAAAACCCCACAAAATGAATTACTGCAAGCAGTTTTTGAAAAATGGTGACAGATTCTTTGTAAATGTAAGCTTTTCAACCGAAGTTCCCAGCCAAAACTGGTTTTCTGAAGGTCAATTAGTGTAGCTGTGCTCATCTAGGGAGCGCTGGGATTTTTTGCTTACATAAAAAAAGTTCGGCGCCCATACAAGGGTAAGCAACTCTGAAGAAAGGTTCCATCAGAGAAGTGATTGTATTTTTTTTTATGGATTCATGAGGAAGAAGCAGGGTCTGGCATGAGTTCGTTTCTAGGCTTCTAGAAAGCGAAGTCCCCCTTGACTCTCAGCCCTAAATATAAAAAGAAGCCCTCAAAAATCGAAACATCGAATAAAAAAGACGTCAGTTTTTGGCCACAAAAACGATATCTCCCTTGCTTTCTTGCCTAAAAAACGAAGTCCAGCTGATTCCATACAATCTGCGCCGGGCCCCGGGATAGATATAATCATTATGTAAGACATCGACCAAGAAGGTTAAGATTTTAGTGAGAAAATCAAGTCCAATTCCTCAACCCAAAAATTTTCAGAATATTGAAAGCTCATCATTTCTCGACTTTGGAAGCAAGCGGCAGAACTAATTTTGATCGTGTAAATGCTATCCTGTTTAGCAAAAAAGTGCGATAATTGTGGAGTTAACAAGAATTATTTTATTAGCGGCTACATCATATAAATTGTGATTACACATGAATAGAACAGTGTTTTTTGTGAGTCGGTTGCAATTTCTCTCAGATGCTCCTCAGGACTCGAAAAATTCATAAAAGTGGGTGAAATAATTATGCCAAAACCAAGATCCTTTAGACATGTCAAACAGTTTTGTACAAAACTAGTTATTGTATTGGGTCAATCAATTACTTATGACAGTTGGGTGATTGCAGCACCTAGTCTTTTTCTATAAGTTCTATTAGCATGCACTCAAAAACGTTAATTTGCAAACTCTAGCAGAAGTCGTCATATTTCGCGGCGTTCAAGACTGGATTTTCTAATGAAAACAAGATAGGTGCGCACAGCTTTTTTGCCTTTTCTGATTGATATGCCGGAACTGAAGGTAATCGCATGGATCCGGGTGCCGGGAATTTTTTTTCTGTCTTCTTATGGGGGAGCTAAAGGAGATAATAGCAGGTTTAGGATTTGGAATGGACGGGTTTGTTGTTGATTTGAAAGCAGCTTAGACTGAAAAAGACTGTTAGAAGAATTAGAAAGAAGACAGTTGGCTAAGGGAAGAAAAGGAAGAGGAAGATGGTCTCCCACTTTTTATAAGAAAATAGTTCTGTGGAAGCTATGTGAGATATCTATCTGACTAACATAAAAATTAGGTTGGCAATAACTCTCGCAACTTATTTTGTAACTTTTCTCTTTTGATTGTAACGCATCCTTTATAGAATATAATGAAGATAAGACAATAGGCTACATATTTGTGTAAACCGTTCGATTTGGCAATTTCGAACTGGAGAAAATTTACTCATATTTTGGAAGTTGGTCAAATCCGAAATTTCAAGAGTCGGAAAACCAAAAATAAAACCGTTCTCAGTTTGAATCAAACATATCAAGCCGAAATTGTACCCAGACTGCTGATTTACGGAACTCTAATATTCTAGACAGTTTCGGCTTGATTTGTATGATTCAGAACATAAAATAAAATAAAATTCAATATATTGTGGAACAATGAAAATTGCCAGAGGTACAAAACCATAAAATTCCTTCAATAAAGTGAATAACGAACCATTTGCTAATGGATTCTCAGCTTTCTCTGCTCCATCCTTTGCATCCTTCTTTTCCTCCTTTGCATAGGCTATAGAGTAGAGAGCAACGAGAAGAAGCCACAGCCTCATTCTGCAAATAGCAGCACTGTTTGTAGAGTGGGAACAAACGCTCGTAAGTGAATGAAACGGTCTCAGTGGAGCGATCGAGGTGGAAACGCTTCTTGCTACTAACTAGTTCAGTTTTACACCGCGTTAACCAGCCAAGCAGGGTGAAGCGGTTGATTGAATGAAAGTTATGGTCAGAAAAAAAGAAGAATGATTGGCTGGGAAGATGCGCGCGTTTCACGATGATTTGGCTGCGAACTGCAAGCGGGCGCGACCCGAGAATGTGTAGTTCGAAGAGGCGAGAGCCAAGGTGTGCGTTAGCAGTCGTTGACCTTGGCATGGGAACGGAAGAAGCAGATCAATAGGGATGGGGGACCTGTCGGGTCAATTTGGACCCTCCAACAGGTAGCCATCGGTTAAAGGTGAGCTACCGCTACCACTGGATGCAAGAGAGGGAGGAGAGTCAACAAAAGTGCGTTGGCTGGCTAATTTTCCTCAACCTTGTTGTCCCAACAGCTTTCGCGGACCATTTATGATTGGTACCACGTTGTGAAGTTGACCTCATTATATTTACACTACAAAATTTTGGCCTCACTATATTTACACTACAAAATTAATCACAATAGCCCTCACTACTGTAGGGATTCCCAACACATTGACGCCTCCCTCTAGACTCTCTGAGAAAGTAGCAGAAAATGTCTAGAAAATTTGAAAAAGGTTGTTTGAAGCTTTCGGGTCAAAATCGAGCAAATACACATTTCGGGGAGAGACCTAAAAATAACCGCACTATGAGGAGTGATCAGAAGTTTCCTTTACCTTTTTATCTTTTACTGTAGATACGTCTCTTTTCAACTAATAATAAGTGTTTCAACAAAAATTCGAAACATTGCGAAAACATCTGTTAGGAATACTAAATGTAGTTTTAGTGTTTACAACCAACAACTCCAACTAATACAGTAAGTTTCAGGCTTTTCAAACTTTTGCCTGCTTCAGTTTCAATTCTTACTGCCATATAATCTTTAGAAAGTTGTGGCCATAATTTTACAGTAATGATAGAGCGAACTATATTTCGTTTTGTTTTGAAATTAGAGTTGAAACGTAAAGGCGAGAAAACTTAGAATATACTATCTCCAAAACTTATTGAAACAGTAAATGACTAAAAATATGAGCATAGTTGAACGCTACCCAAGAAATTACAGGACCCAAATTCATGAATAAGCAAAGAAAAGTGACACGTTTTTTGGGACACACTATTACCTTTTTCAATGGGCGAGAAATGCGGAATCGAAATGATGGAAAAGATGCACTTTGAAATACTTCAGGGTCTAATAATTCAAAACAACGCTGTGTCACTTCAGTCCGTAGGACGCCATGCAGAAATTGCCGTTTGATAGAATCGTTAGAGAAATTCTTATCAGTCAGCCACCTTGACTAATAACAGTACTTTTTCTATACTGTTGCTCAGAAAAAACTGCCGTTAGTAAGCAGGAGGCAAACTTCAGAGAGAAGCATGTAGTTTTTCAAAATTTGCCAATAAATAAGTTTTCTGAATAAATTGAGGACAGAAACTAGCCTAGTGAAGCTTGTTCGTGTCAGGAAGCTTTCACGCTTTTACCTTTTTTATTTGGGCATGGAAGTGGCTAGCAGAAAGCCATAAAGTGGCTTTATTCTCTTCTCAGGGTAATTATAGCATTATTCTAGCCGAAGTGCAGTTTGATTGCTGCTGGAATTTGGCTACGAGCTACATTATTCAAAGAGGTGATGTTTGAAAGAAGCTAGCACCTTCCTTGTGGTCTGGGGAATAGCTCGAAATATATAGTAAAGTTTCTTTGCACTTCTGTGAGTGTAATTTATCCGCTTGGAGGCTGAAAATTTTGTTCGAAAGTGTTGATCATAATTCTTTTTCTATCAGGGATTCGAGGGAGACTCAGAACTAATTTCAAACTCCGTCCAAAGGAATGAACGAAACAGAGTGATAATGTCAGTGTTCTCACAAAAAATTCTAAATATCGTGGTTATGCTTACACCTCAGCAACGTTCTCATTCCATTTTTATTCATTACTTTATTCTATCAGTTACTGTCTTGAAACGAAATTATTGCACTAGACTGAAAATAACAATTAGGGCAAATTTGGCATATAGTGAGCACAGGCGTACCCAGGATTTCGGCTCGGGGGTGGGGGACAAAATTATTTTTTCGATGGCGTGGCGTCAGTCACGCACTCCGAAAATTCTTTTTCTGGGGCTAAAATGATTTTTTTGAAAATTTTAAAAATTATTTCAATTATTTACAAGTGCAGACAAGTCATTTGCACATTTTTATAACCCATGTAAAGAACTTTCAAAAATTTCGCGACCCGTTCTCGGGAGCAGCCTCCTCCCCCCCCCCCCTTCTACGCATTGATAGTGAGGGGAGTATGTTGCAAATTCATGCAGGCGAGCACAGGAGAATGTAATGCTTGCTTATGTCAACAAGGATCGCTTACTTTTTCAATTTTGCACAAAATTCAGAACAATATGTGAGCGTCGGAGTAGTTGATGATAATTTTTACTTCATTTGTTTTTCAATGATTTTATTTACGCTACTCTATCAGCAAACATTTTCTTATTCCTCGTGCTCTTTGCGACTTTTCTCAAAAAATCCGCGAAGCAAAACAATCAATGTCAATAAATACTCTTGCGATGAGCAAAGATCCTTGAACCCATTAAAACCCGGAATTTCGCAAAACGGAAGTAGCAATATGCATACAAAAAACAACTCAAAAAGTCAATTATCTTTTGCCAACGGGCATTTTTTGTCCCATACACAGCAAAAAGTCTCAAAAAAGTTACAGTTGTGTGAGCGAAAGAGAGTGCACGAGCCAGAAAAGAATTCTCATTTAACAGAAAATAGGGACAGCATGTTTGACATCAATAATCCACATGCATAGTTTTTGCATATTCATTCAACTCAGTCAACAATAGCAGATTCATGGCGTAGTCAATGATGGCGTGAGAAGCACATGATGTAGGCTTACTGATACCATATCAATTAACCTATATCAAATTTTAAAAGGTCCAAGTTCTTAGCAAATTATGTGATTCAACTAATGCCTCTTATAGTGTCGAAAACTAACCATCTTGAACACCTGTAACACCTGAAATATTATTCTAAACGACCACAAGTAATAGGTCGTTTTATACGACGTAATTTCAATCTCTTTCTCATATCTTCAAAGAGCGGTTGATTTGCGCAAAAATGTATATCATTGACAAGAGCTGATCATACTCTTTAAAATAAACCAGTTACTTTCGATGAAAACATGATATGCTTTGACTGCTCAACTTCCAAAGAAGGATTTCTCAAAGGGCAAAAAGAAGCATTTCCGGCACTTTCTCATTTTTTTCATGAAAAAAAAAATGATTTTGTGCCAAGTTTTTTGGTCAATCTGGACGGTGGCGTTTTTGTCAAATTAGGAAGAAAAGGATTGGATTGCTTCGAATAACAAAGAGTTTGGTGTCTTCTGAACGAGACTTTCTGCAGGTTGTGCAGGAGCTTCTGCCCTGAAAATTGCTATTCAAGAACGAGGCGGTCGCCCATGTCCTAAACCCTACTGCACAGTCTAAACAAATTTTTACTAAAAAAACCTAATAAACACTTCCAGTGAGCTTTTTTGCGCGACAAAACTTGGCCCCTACGGCAGCCATCGTCATACTGTCAGACTTGAGCGAGAGGTACATTAGTACCCAATGTACTCCTGAGATCTCGCGCTACCATATTATCACCCGTTCCACTCGATCACAAATCATATGAACGGTGTTTGTTTCGATTCTGAAGACGATTTCAGGCTCTAATTAGAGGACTTTTTGGGACCAGACCAGCTGAGTTTCGGAAAAACGGAAATGAAAATCTGATGGCATGGTGGCAGAAGGTTGCGCGCAACAAGCAAAAGCAACGGAACAAACATTGTTGACTGAATTTGCTAAGATTTTGCCATTTCGTTGATTTATCGAAACTTTACGAACTTATGAAACGACCTAATAAAAAGAAATCATAGATGGATGGCAGCTTGAACAAGTATTATTTGCTTCCTATTACTCACAATCCTAGCGGTCTTTTACCTGTGACATTGTTTGTTTGATTTCTCCCAACTTTTCCCAACACACATCTTACTGAAACATATCTATGTAGTGGAAGTAGACCAATAGTGGCTCTAAATCTTCCCATTATCTCTGCATGCGACCCTTTCCGTTCTAAATTATTTTTGTTTTGCCAATTAGCATCTTGCTACAACCAGAAGTCTGAAGTGTTACCGAATGTGTCGGATGGTCCAAAAACTGTGTCTCTTTGGTAAAATGACTGGCCAAAATGTGTACTTTATACGACCCTTTCGGTCACATATGACAGAGTGCACGCAGGGTGCGCCAATTCCAACAGCACCATTAGGCTGGGTTCGTACTGATCCCGCAATTCCGGCAATGTTTCAACACAGTTCTCAAATGTGCTGCAACTTGCCGGAACTGTATTGCATGCGCTGCAGCCTCGCGCAGCTGTTTTAAACGGAGGGAGTTGAAAATTCTTGACCGTCTTCAACGATTATACATTCGAACTTCATTCATTTCAAACTTATTTTTCTACTTCGCTTCTTGTGAGAAGACCCTCGACCTTGAAGTATTGGAGAATGAGCGCCGTTCTGCTTCCGGATAACCGGAAAGATTTGTTTTCGTGCGCTAGTCCATTTTCTTTTCGTTATCTTTGTTCAGATCTAGTTCATCTGTTCAGGAAGCCTGTGCATAGCTTCCACAAACATCTGTCTTGAGCTGGGGCATGCGAATAATTCTCAAATTGCGGTAAATCGGAACTTTTCCCTAGCATTCTGATGATTTCGGTTTAGGGCATTCCCAGTTTTTTTTCATATCATCGCTTATCCGTTCCTAATTATACCCCGCTTCTTCTTGTAATCAAAAAAGCTGCAAACTTGAAGCGGTATTGAAGAATGATTGGTGTTTGCTCCAAGGATTCGGCGTTCGAGATGCTCCGAAAGTGTTTTCCGAGGTGAGTATCACAAATGCAGTGACCTTTTGACGTAAGATAGG